TCTTTTATTGTATAACGATTTTTATCTCAACTATCTTATTGTATAACTATATTGAATATTCAAGAAAAGAACAAAAAAAAAAAAAAAAAAAAAAAAAAAAAAAAAAAGTTACATTACACAATTAATAACTCATTTTTTTCAAAAAGTGGAGATAGAACAAAATAATTCTAACCTCGCGATATATATATATATATATATATATATATATATATATATATATATATATATGTATATATATATATAATATTTAATAACTAGAAAAAAACCTTAATAACTAAATAAAAATAAAATAAAAATTGCACAGTTGGGCTTGTCTAAAATATTGCGTGGAATCAACGTAAAATATTACATTTCGCTAACTTAAAACTTGGACTTATATAAAACAGCTTTTATATAACCTTAGGGATCATCCATAAAGTATGTACGTTCGGAGGGGAAGAGGTGTGTGTAAATGGCGTATATGAGAAGGGAGAGCATATGGTACATTATTAAAGTAAGGAGACACTAAATTAAAAATAATATCATGAAATTTTGGGTAGGTACGTTAAAAGGGTATGCACATTTAGGAAGATAGAGGGTACTCAAAAAAGCATACAGCAAAATCCGTAGGGAGGGGGGGGGGATAAAAGCTGTATATGAAATAAAAGCATACGTACTTTATGGACGATCCCTTATTTCATTTACTAGCAACTAACTCAGTTTCTGTTTAATGTTTATAAATGTATAATAAGTTAAACACCGTTATGATGTATATTTTTTATTACAAATATAATTTTTTTTGTCTCCACTTTTATATTTTGTAAAAGTGCACGCATTTTCACGCGCATATTGCTTGCTCATGTCGTTTTACTTCTATGTCCGTACGCACAACTAATTATTACAATGTTTTTATCGTTGCTCTAAAGTTATTTTTTATCAATAGTTTAAAAGCGCCTCAGAAACGTAAGATCCCTGGTTCAAACTCCACCTCTGGGCAAGTTTTGAGACATCTGTTGGGAAGGAGGCGTGAACTTCCTATTAATACTTCTCCGCGGTGCTCTGTGATAAGACCGTAAAGACTTCTTGGGGCACCTAAATCAACTTTAAAAAAAAAATACATTAACAAAATAAATGTACTGATAAGTTTTTTGACATAAATGATTACAAATTTTAATCATTACATCAAGCAAAAATAAAAATATTTATAATAAAAATTAGGAATAAATTTTTTTTTTAATTTAGATTTTAGGCAATATTTAACAGGTAAGATATGATCAATGTGAAATAAACCTTCTATATATAAAGATGTATTGTTGTGCCATGTTGCGTTTAATTATTTATTGCTTTTTTGCTTTATTATTTTGCTTATTGCTATTTATTGCGTTTCATTATTTGTGTTAGTTGGCGCAACTGCATTGAATTTGGACCTAAACCAATTACAATTTATTTTTATCAGCCCAATAAAGCTAAAATAAACTAAATGGTTCAGCAATTAACAAAAAACTTGATGAAAAAAATTGTTTGTCGAATTGCACATTCTAACAACTAGTGAAATGTCTGTTCGCTTTTCTCTATGCTATCTTTCTAACTCCATTACTTCTGATTTTCATTCCTATATAATTTTGTTCTTCCTCAAACTCATTTACTCTTGGCCTATCAAAGCGTGTTATGATGCTTTTTAGTGAGCTAAACCTGTTTGAGGGCCTACTTATATTGCCCCTATATTGCGGAAGGGAATTTTGTTAAAAATCCACTGATTGTTAATTTGGTTTGGTAATTAATAATCATTGTAAAGGTTGTAAAGTTTAAATTGCTAAATTAAAGTTACACCTAAGAAACACCCTCATGGCACCGCACTCTCCTTTACACAAGTAGTTAGATTATTTTATTTAACCAATATAAAAATCTTTAAAAAAATAAAACTTTCAAACTATTTAATCACTTTAAAATTATAAGATCAAATGCTCTTATAAAATCTAGAAGTAACGAGTCAGTATCAAAACTATATCAAGTTGCAAAATATAATTATATTCTGCAACTTGATATAGTTATAACTTAACAACGTACTAATGAGTCATAGTTGTGTCGTCAAGTTTTAAATTCAGTGCAATAAAATATACTCAGATAAAAAAATAAAGTCGCTGTAACGTATTTTTACTTATGTATGAGTAAAACTACTCATATATATGACTAAAACTCCTTTATTGTGACTTAGAGGACCTTTTTCTTTTTTTTATTTATTTTTATTTTGTTAAAAGCAAACCTTTAACTTTTTGTGTAAAAAAGAAAACGATTAAAAATTGAACGTAAAAAAATTTACTTGGTTTAATACTATTTTAAACTAAATTTATTTTTATCAGTTTTTTTAATTTCATCGATTGATTTTATCTTGGTGTTCAAATTTCAAATTTTTTTAAAAAATGTTTTAGTGTTTGAAAGTTGTGACTGTAAAACTTATGTTACTCTCATGCAGGGACCAACTAGTAAGGAGAGGGGCGTTGTTGGGGAAAGAGGGGGCTACTTTTTGATTTGGTTAATCCAGAACAGACTTGGCATGGATCCATAACAGAGTTGGCGTGGATCCAGAATAGAGTTGACGGTGATCCAGATCAGAGTTGACAGTGATCCAGACCAGAGTTGACGGTGATCAGATCAAAGGAGGAAGGGGGGTAGGGGAAGCAATTTTCAGGTTTATATCATAACACGCTTTTAGTTTTTTTAGAATAATTAGACTTACACTGTTTTAATTTATGTAACTATGAAATTACGTCTTATTGACATCCCTCTTTTTATTGACATCCCTCAACACCTCTTTTTTTTTTTTGAACCAAAAAAGTTTTCTTCTATTTTCAAATAAAATGCTTTGTTAAATACATAAAAGTTACAAAAAAAAATTATTTCCAAAATATTGAAGGAGGTAAGGGGGGGTAATCTTTTTTATTAGGTAAGGTAAAAGATTTTCTTTATTTTAAATAATCTCAAAGTGCGTTCATTTATAGATTATTTAAAAAATAACTAAAAGCTTGAATGATTAAAATAATCAAAATATAAAATATTTTAGTAGTCTGGACCAGCAATTTTGTAACCTGTGCATAAATAGTTTGTCAAAATTATGTTTATTGCCTGAGGCACAATAGCTCTTAAGAGATTTTGAATAACGTCAATAGGTTTCGAATTCCATAAAAAAAAACTGATATTGTTAGCATATAGGAACACGAATTTCTAATTACAATTTTGAGTATCGTTTACCGTTAATCGTATAGCCTCTTAATTGCGATCATCGTTAATTTTGAGTATCGTTTAGTCTTTTAATTGTAATAATCGTTAATTTTTTTTTTTTAATAAAAGTATTTTTTTTGTCATTTATTTTTCTCAACGTATTTTTTAATCATATTTGGGAAAACCTATTTTGATCAAAGGTCTAAGACCTTGTAGTTATTTAAAATAATAATAGTGCAAAACTTGTTTGCTTTATACGCACAAATTAGAGGAAACTCTAGCAAAGACAACAAATTTTAAAGAAAATAGGGTATAACAAAAAACTCTCAAAAATCTTATATGCTCTTTATCTCACAGAAAAAATTTGGTAGAGATTTTTGTAGAAAATATGTTTTCATTTGTTATAGTAAACATTTAAAAAAAAAGATTTTATACTACTATGCATTTTTTTAAATTAGTATTTATATACTTTATAAAATTTAAAAAAACAAATAAAAAACACAGTATTTTTGTATTAGTTAAGTAAAATTAAAAAAAAAAAAACAGTATTTTTATATTGCTAAATAAAAAAACACAAAAAAAACAACAGTATTTATATATTATTTCATTTAAAAATGGCGTTGTAGCAAAATGTCCTGCTAAAAATATTGATTCAGTAGTTTGTTTAAGAGTCCCAACTTTTGTGAAAATTTCACAATTTTAAACTTGTTTTTCTGTGTATGTAAGTGTGTGTGCTTGTGTGCGTCTTAACAAATCTTTTGATTAGAATTGTAAAAATAATATGTTGTCAAAATAAAATTATTTATCTTTTATATAAATTTTCCAATAAAAATTGTTTGTGTAATGTTAAAAATTAATTTAAATAATTTACGTTGTGATTTAAATTATAAATGTCCCTTCCCTATCAAAAATATTTTTAAATTTCAAACATTGTTTTGCATAAATTTTTAAAATAGTCTAGAAGCGTCCTTAATCTGTAATCTTTCTTCTTCTTCTTCTTCATCTTTTAAAGAATTAAGTAAAAGTTGTATTAAAGAAATTCATTAGCTTAAGAAACGTATTATTGGTAAATTTTTTATATATTTCATCATCTTATATAACGATAAATTTTCTTATAAGTTTTTCCTTGTTAGCGTGTTTCTAAAATACATTTAACTTACGCAATAATTACACGCAATTTTTATTACGTTTGAAATGGCACACACGCACACACCTTCATTAGGACATTGTCAACCTACATTATTAAACAAACACGTTAGTTAAATAGCAATTTAACCAACGTGTTCAAGTGCAGTTTGTTTTTTTAATAAATTCCATCCAGGCAATTAATAATTCGTTATTTATAACAACACTATAACTATTTTTGTTAACAATGAACACATATAACTACCCAAACTAAAAATAATGCAAACCTCAAGATTTTGAAAAAGTCTATAGAATTGTTTTAGAATTAAAACGCGGCATACAAATTTTAACAACAAAATTTTAACCGTAACATTAGCTCCAGTAAATAAAAAAGTCTTTATCGTAAAGTAAACAAAAACTTTAATACCACGGGTTTTCCCTTAGAGATTTGTTATTTTGTTTTGAAATTATATATTTTAAGCGTTTAAAGGACATTATTACTCACTTTAATTTAATCTATTAATACGGTTATTACGTTGTAATTAAACTGGTGGTAAATAACTGGAACTTTTAACTAGTTCACCAATGAACAAAATAACTAGCTATTGCATCAGCCAATGTAGTAATTTATGCAAAAATCTTTTTTTAACCAATCAGGTGTTTGTTATTAAAGCACAATTTTTAAAATGAGCATAATTTACTCAAATTGTAAAAAAACACAACTTTCTGATGAAATAAAGCTAAATGTTTCACACACTGTTATCTATAAAAGCTATGTTTAGCTCTTCAAATTCGGTTAAAGATTTTATCTGGAAAAGAGGAATTAGTTTTTTAAATAAACGTTAGTTGTATTGCTAGTGAAAATGTTGTCTGATTATGCATGTTTAAACTTTGAAGGATTTTACTCAAATCCTACAAAACAAGAGAGTAAGTAATTCATTCATAATTAATTAGATATAATATATAAGTAATGTTCAAAGGACAATTAAAAAAAAGAGAGAAAGTTTAATACTTCTTCTGGGAATAGTATAACGTAATTCCCTGGCGCTTTAAAGCATTTTACGTTTGTGCACTTTTTAAAATACTAAGTCGACTCCAGTTCGGATACCACTGCTGGGCGACATCTAATTACGGCGTAACAACAACATATAGTTAAGTATTTATTGTGTGCATTTTTTTTTAGAGCAAATGTTGCATTCAAGTACAAAAGCGAAAATTTCTAACAATCCCTTAATGGGACGTAAAACTGCTCGTATTTTAGTTATATACACTGGAGGAACCATTGGGATGAAACAAGATAAAAATGGAAAAGGTATAGATTAAGATTTTTTATTTTAATACAGATTTTTAGTTTAATGAGTTCAATAAGTAAATTTTTACCTGGATGTTATTAATCATTTGTTGATGAGTGAAATAATATATATATATATATATATATATATATATATATATATATATATATATATATATATATATATATATATATATAAAATCTTTCATAACTTAGGCTACACTGTGGTACCAAACTATTTTGCTGATGCTTTAAAAAAGCTGCCAATGCTTTATGATGAAGAATATGTTAAGAGTGGAGCTGAAGAAATTCATAACAATAGTGACTTAGATCTACCCTACAATAAATATCCACAGTTAGTTATGCCGTAAGTTCTATAAAGTTTGTTTTTTCTATAAAAAAAAATTTGAACAATGATAAATAGGTAGTTTATTTTATTTCCTAAATTATGATATATAATTGAAATAATATTACAATTATTGGTATGAAAAATACTCTTTAGCAAAGCTTTTGTTTAGGCTTTCTAAAATGGGCACAAGAGTTTTTTATTACTTAAAAGAACATGACCCGATTCTGGATTCATCAAATATGTCCATGCATCATTGGACACTTATTGCTAATGATGTTAAGAAACATTATCAATACTTTGATTCTTTTGTAATTCTTCATGGAACTGATACTATGTCCTATACAGCGTCTGCATTATCATATATGTTTGAGAATCTAGATAAAACTGTTATATTGACTGGTTCTCAAGTAAGATTTTAGTACCCTAGTTTGTATATATTAAGTATGCTTTGTAAAAACATTATTCATATAAATTACTTAATTATTTTTATACATTTAAATTAGCTTTTCCTATTATTTTACACATTTAACTTTGAGATTTACAATAAACCATATATTACATATTATATATATATATATATATATATATATATATATATATATATATATATATATATATATATATATATATATATATATATATATATCATATATATATATATATATATATATACATATATATATATATATATATATATATATATATATATATATATATATATATATATATATATATATATATATATATATACATATATATATATATATATATATATATATATATATATATATATATATATATATATATATATATATATATATATATATATATATATGTATATGTATATATATATATATATATATATATACATATATATATATATATATATATATATATATATGTATATGTATATATATATGTATATGTATATATATATATATATATGTATATATATATATTCCACCAATTGCAAATTATAGCATTTTTATGGCTTTTTTATTGTTTTTTTACATTTGTTTGTTATAGATACCAATATTTGAACAAAGAAATGATGGACGTAGTAATTTTGTTGGAGCCCTAGAAATAGCTGGTCATTTTATAATCCCCGAAGTTACTCTTTTTTTTAACAATAAGTTGTTTCGCGGAAACAGAACACAAAAAGCTAGTGCATCAGATTTAGATGCATTTGCTTCTCCAAATCTGCCTCCACTTGCAAAACTTGGAACAGAAATTGAAATCACGTGGGATGCTGTATTTCCTAAAACAACAATTATGCCATTTACTGTTAGAGAAGAAATGAGCGAGAATGTTGGATTATTGAGATTATTTCCTGGAATAAATGCCAAAATTGTTAGAGCATTTTTGTCTCCACCAATGGAAGGTATTGTAATAGAATCATTTGGTGCTGGTAACATTCCATCAAATAGACCAGATCTTGTTGATGAATTTCGAAAAGCTGCTGAACGTAATGTACTTATTTTGAATATAACACAATGTTATAAAGGCTCTGTTTCCGATGCTTATGCAGCTGGAAAAGTTATGTATGATATTGGTGTCATACCTGGATATGATATGACACCTGAAGCTGCACTTACAAAAATGGCTTATGTGTTAGGAAACAAAGATCTAACATATGAAGATCGTAAAGAATTGTTGTCTAGAAATCTTCGTGGAGAGATGACTATTCCACAACAACAGCGACAGTATTCAATGAGAGATGGAGAGTTTGTAAAATCTGTTGCTGAAGCTCTTCGAGTTAGCTCCTTAAGAGTAAGTTATTTGGAAAAATTCCTTTTTGAATTTTTATTTATTTTAAAAATATATTTTTAATTTTTTTTTTTTTCTTCTAATTTTTTATTAAGGAAATGAATTGTGTACGACGGGCATTGCTTCCAATTATGCTAACATGTGCTGCAAAGGCAGGAGACCTTGAGACAATTAAGCAGCTGATTTCTCAAGGAGCTAATTTAAATGAACCTTCTGACTATGATGGTAAAACAAGTTTACATTTAGCAAGTGCAGAAGGTCATATAAATGTTGTAACAGAACTTTTAAAAAATGGTTCATCTGTGTATGTTCGTGATAGGAGAGGAAGAACTCCTTTGTTTGATGCCATAAGGTTTGAATTCATATCAATTTATGTCAAATGTATATTTTGTTAAAATTATACAATTTTAAGTAATTTGACAGAACATTCTTTTATTAGAAATAAACAGTACAAAGTTGTCAAAGTTCTACTCAGTGTTGGAGCAAAATTTGATCATGATGACATTGAAGTGACAAGAGAACTTTGCATTGCTGCAAATGAGAATGATGTTGAAAGATTGCGTCTATGGAATTGTGCATGTGTTGACATGAATCAAGTAGACTTAGATGGGAGAACCCCATTACATGTGGTGAGTTTTTACTATTTTTTATAAATATTCTACACATAAGTATACATCTACTATGGTAGTACAATACACTTTTTAGCGTATTGTACTGACATAGTCATTTTCTACTTCTCCATTCTTTGTAAACAAGCAGACATTAAAGTGGTTCAATATGCTCCATATTGTAACGATACTTTGTATCAGACCGCTTGAAGACATGTCTACTTGGTTACAAAAAAGTGATTTTGTTCAGCAATTTTTCTAAACTTGTTTATTTAAATATGTATTTTTCTTTGCTTATATATAGGCCGTTCTGAAACATAGTATTGATGCTATACGTTTTCTTGTATTTGATGTTGGTGTCAATTCAAATAAGAAAGATATATATGGTAGAACACCACTCGAAAGTGCTATCAAGTTAAATTACACTGATATCATCAACATGTTAATTAGAGCTCCGAATACAAAGTTACCAAATGTTTTGAATGAGCGATTAGAAGAGAACCTTGACAATATTTATTCCATAAATGATTTAAATCATAACAAATTAATAAACTGCAAAATGAACTTCTTTGCATAGCTTAACGTTGTGAAATATGTCACTAAAATAAATACATAAAGAAAATGTCAACATATCTTGCATTAATGTTAACGACGTCTTAATAGACTTTTTATTTACTATCAGAGTTAAATATTTGAAAATAATAATTTTTAAATTATTTACTTGTACATAATTGTATATATATATATGTAAATTAAAACTGTAAAATATAGTTTTGTAAATAACTCTGTAAATATTAATATTGCAATATTCTTTGATAAATAAAACTGGATAAGTTTAATTTTTCATTTTTCGTATATTGTAAACATTAAATTGTATAACAAATGTTGCAATACTGTGTACATTTGTATTGTATACTTTGTTTTCTACTTTGCTTACTACTTATGTTTAAATATTTTTTAAGTTCCAAATTGCTAATACCATAAATATTTGCTGTTGCTAGATATTGTGACATTAACATTTTTTAAAGGTAAGTTGACCGTCGTTTTGAAAAGCTAATTATTTTGAATAACGGTCAAATGTTTATGTTGTAATAAATTCTAAAACAAGAAACTAGTCTAAATCTTGGGAGTGATTGATATTTTAGTGATGCCACTTTCTAATATAAAATTTTGCAAATCAAAAATACATATTTTATAATATAGTACTACTTACAAAAAGTAAAAACGCTTAAATAAATGTGTTTACGTTAAATGAAACCAAACGATCCACTGAAGAAAATAAAGTTGTATGCCTTTATTGCTAAATTAGTTTCGTTTTCGCTTTCGTTTGTTTGTTTGTAAAACTATTTGTAGTAGCTTAGATTTAAAAAGGAATTCAAATTACGTGGTGTTTTCAGGTTAAGAAGCAAACTTCAAACTTTAGCTCAAAATGGAGAACTTGGATCTTATTAGTTCAGGATGGATTTTAAACCATATTAGTTTAGTTTTCTGTAGTTAAAACCGAACCGAAAATATGCTAATCAAAAAAGTCATTTTCAACAAAGTGCAATTTTTTTTAGGTATTGAGACGCTATAACTAGCCTACAGGAAAGTTAGTTATAGTCATCCTACGCCTAAAAATGTAGCACTCTTTTTTTCAAATTTTTTATTTTTAAATGCCTATTTTTTTAATACCGACACAAGTCACAGATTTTGCTTGGGTAACTTTCACGGCTTTCTCTATAAATAAAATTTCCATAAAACGTTCTTAAAAAATATTCTGAGGTACATAACACTATCAGTAACTCAATTTTTTCTAAAAGTTTTTTTAAAGCAAGATAATTCTAATGTCACGAAGCGTAAAATATAAAAATATAAAAAGTATATCCACAACTATTCTAAAAACAACAAAATGCTTATTAAAAAGAAAATTTTTGATAAACCTTTAAAACTAACTAATCACGCTTTAAAACTTTATTTAATCACGAATCTTCAAAAATTATATCTAAACGCTTAGTTTGTTTTCATTGTGACAAGCACAGCCTCGTTCTAAGAAATCTCAAAAATATTAATGATAAGCTCTAAAGATAATGATAAGCTCTATTATTTATTGACTATAAAAAATACGAAAGTTATGACTATCGTATTTTTTACTAATATCACATGTAAAATGTAATTAATGTAATATAAAGTTTAACTGAAAATTATAAAATAGTTACATTTATAAAAGGTGTAGTAAGTGCTTATATTTACCGCCTATTATTATAGTGATGCTATTTAAATTTCATACAATATTCTTTTAGCATTTTAAAATTATTATCATTTAAAGTTTGACCGCGCCTCCTCCTTCAATTTGAGAGGGTTACTAATTTTTTGTGGTCATCATTTTTGAACGTTAAGAAATTATTTTATGAAATTTACTTTTTATCGATGTTATTGAAAAAATTATCAAAAATATTGATGAATATTAATTTTGTTTAGAATAGTAGAAAAAATATTTTATCAGTGTATTGCTATCGCGTTTGGGTCAAGGGCGTCTCAAATTTTTGAGTTTTTTTTGTTCCCAAGCTCCGTTCATCGCAATTTTTCGCAAAGTATCTTATTTAACATAAGTATAAATATTTGAAGCATTTTTTTGTGTTTGAGATTCCAACTTCCACGTCTGAAAGTTGGAAACTCATAGACAACGTTTTAGGCTGAAAGACTGAAATCTGACGTAGTTATGGAATAAATACTTATCTTTAACTAATTATAGTTGACAAATGAATTATTACTTTATGTAAGAACTGACCGTTATCATGATGTTGCATTTCAAAATTACAGCTGCATTAAAATTGCTTTTTCTTTAGAGAGTGAATATTTTTAAGCAGATAGTGAATTAAAAACCCGTGTCAGGGCCAATGATACGAGTTTGTGGAAGTAGAGGGGTACAATTGTCAATTTCAAAAAAAAGTCCTCTATATCTAGAAATTAAAAAAAAAGAATATGAGTAGAATATTTGTATTAATTTTTATTTTGTTTTGGAATATGAGTAGAATATTTGTATTTATTTTTATTTTCACTAGGGGGTGGAGTCCACACCAGGTGACGCCTTGATGGCGTCACCTGGTGACGCCATCAAGGTGACGCCTTGATGGCGTCACCTTGATGGCGTCACCTGGTGGGTGGTACTCCACCCCCTAGTGAAGTCACTAGTTCTATACATCTACAAGTACATGTTACTAAAGAAATGTACACTGTATGTAAGATATTATACAGGCCCGTAGAAATAAAAATTGTATTTGAAGGAGGGAGGCAGTACTACCCCAAAATAGTTTTAATGACTTTTTTTTTAGTCCTTTTTCCTGTCAATTTCTTCAAAATTATTTATTCAAAAATTATTGGGGGGAGGGGGGCCAATGCCCCTGCTATCCCCCCGGTTGCTACGGGCCTGTTATATACAGTGCACATACCTTTAGAACAATTTCAAATAGACCTAAATCAAGTTGCTTTTATTATTTTTCCAAGTCTTTTATAATTTTGTAATACTAGTTTAACATTTATTTTCTAAAAATTAATTTTGTTAGAAAATAATATAAAATTAAAACCTATTTCAAAATCAGTATTATAAATGAATACATTTTTTGTATTTTTTTAGACAAAAAAGTTTTTTGGTGTAAAGAAGAAAAACACTATATAATTAAGCCTGTACATGATGGTAATGATATTTCTAAGAAGGTTATTGCATTTTATGGTCACATAGGTATTAATTCAAAAACAGAACGTATTAAAATTAGATTTTTTTGGTTTGGAATATTAAAAGACATCATCGTCTATATTTCAGAATGTAATAACTGTCAAAAAGCAAACAGGAAACTTTAAGTTAAACCATTATTACAAAGCACATCAATTACAAAAGATGAATAAAAAAAGAAAAAGGTTTGGATTTATTTAAATCAATTTCCAGAAGTAAATGGTTATCAATATCTGATAGTACTAGTCGATTATTTCTGCTAATGGGTAGAAACTGATCCTCTTTTTAACAAAACAGCATATTGTGGCATTATTCCTGTAATAAATTTAAACAATAAAGAAAAAAAAAACTAAAACTGTAAAACTGTAAAGAAATATGCAGGCATGGATGTTTTGAAATACAGGTTAAGGCCGTAAATTTGTCAATGAGCTTTCTAATGAACTTCACAAGAAAACCGGGACCCGTCAACGTACGACGAGTACTTACCATTTACAAGCAAATGGTTTAGTAATTTGGAAAAATTCAATGAAATGAAGAAGTGTATCTTTGATAAAGCAAAAACACCTATAATCGCAAATAAGGTAAAAACGGGACAATGACAAAAGAATCAATCCAAGTAATAAGTTAATCTATTGAAATAGTTATCTATCGAAACAAAAGTGTTTTTGCGAAATCATGAACGTGATGACAGAAAAAATGGAAAACCAAACAAAAAGACAAACAAAAGCTGGTGGCTAAATAGAGTCAAAGTTGTACCAAAATACAGGATGAAATGACTGGATATTCGAATATGCCAATTTGAATGCATATTTCTAAAACTAAAATGCTTAAAGATGCAACATGGGCAACTGATGCGGAGATAATTAGATGTGCTTTATTTATGAAGGTAAATATCTAAGTATACAGCAAATATGGAGCAAAAACAAAATGGACGATCTACCCATGCAATTTACGGCTTAATAAGTTAAGTGATTATTCTATACTAGCAGTAAGCAACCCGTAATACGGGTTAGTAATAAATAAATAACAATTTAACTTGATATATTATCTGAAAAATATAAAAATCAAATTTATCTATATAGGGCTGCCATTGTCCCGGTTTTTCCGCTTAAGAACGCTATAAAAATTTTAATTAGTTTAGCGTTGTGCTTTCCTCAGTAAAAATCGGGACAATGGCAGCCTTATCAATATAATGTTATGTTTTTAATTTTGTTCGTTTTTATTGGTCTTGACAATTAGTAAAAACCACGTAATTTAAGATATTAGGTTCTTTTTAATAACAGCAAGCACCAGATAAGGAAAGCCAAGTACAACTTACTAATACCTAAAAAAAAAAAAAAGCAAAAAAAAAAGAGGTCACCTTAAACTACAAAAGCATTATTTTACATATTTATTATTGTATTTTAGAATAAGTAAATTTATTTATAAAGCGGAGCATTATTTTACATATTTATTACTGTGTTCGACTCGTAAAACATTTCTTAAATATGGTCATTATCAATTATGGTACCAAAAAATACATAAGAGCATAGTAAAACAATGTGTTCCAATAATTCTCTCCTTTATTAATAAAGGTTCGTTAAACAGAGTGGAGACAGTCTGTTTCAAAGGTACTGTGTTTTAAAAAAAAGTTACAATAACTTATTATATTCATAACTTGCGGTAGTGGTGTAGTGGTAGAGCGCTCGCTTCATAAACGAGTGGTTCCGAGTTCGATCCCCACCACGTCCCTGGTAGTACCGCGCTCAACTCGTTTCTCCGCGCAGCGGCCTTGTTCGTCAAGGTTCGTGTTTCGGAGTTATAGAGTTGAGAGAGGGTTATAGCCACAAAATAAGTAGCCTCCTCGTCTGTAGTGGCCTTCTCGGCCTTAAGGAGGTGAAGTAAAATTAAAAAAAAAAAAAAAAAAAACTTAAGTTATTGTTGTTTAATAACAATGACAAAAAAATATATACTAGCACAAAATAGCTATAGCACAATTAACCATTAAAGAAAGGCTTTTTAATGTTACCACTAAACAAAATTATTTTTTACCTCAATAGTTTGGAATTCCAATTTCTCCATAACTGCAAATAATTAACAAACCAATTTTTATATCATATAAATTTACTAAATTAAAACCATGTTTCAACAGTAAGCAAACTAATAAAGCAATGACAACTAAAAAAAAAAAAAAGAATACAGTTATGTTTGAACTTCAAAAAAAAAAATTAAAAAAATTTTTAATTTTAGAATAATTATAATCAGTTAGGGGAAAGGCGCCTATGATGGCATACTTAACATTGAAGCTTCATTATTCAGTATCTTGAAGACTAATAATTAAAGTTTTGATATGGATACATTCCTTGTTACAAGTAGAACAACAATAACTCTCGGATTTTTTATCAGTTTTTTTTTTTTTATGTTATTCCTATTTAAAAAAAAAGAAGCATAAGTATGCCATCATTGGCAACCACTTCTCATATGATGGCATAGAGGAGGATAGGCTGGTTAGGATCAAGGGTAACTTGATGATTTCATTCAATCTTAGAGTCTTCCCTCAGAAATGCCAGAAATTAATCGGAACCATCCTAATTTACCATTTCATGCTACACAGCAGCATTGTAAAGTTTCGCACATGTGCATAAAATGTATTGCGTTTTATGCATTTTTTGGACAAAAAAAAAACTTTTGGAGCATCGCTTTTATTTTACTTTACTTAAAAATAAGTTTTTCTTATAAAAAAAAAAAGGTTTCCCGAAATCGCCAATATTGCAACACACTCAACTCGTCAGTATGCCATCATAGGAAGAAGTCATCTTTTTCATTAAAACAAGCTATGTCTGCCTTTTTCAAAAAATAAAATTAAAGTAAGTATTCCACTAAATGCACAAAACTTGGATATAAAATGCATGAAATTTCCCTTTCTGCACAGTCAATAATAAAATCACAATTCTAAATATAGGAAAGGAATAAAACTACAACAGCACATCCCAAAATCGATTTTTGCTGATTATAAAAAAAATATTTGTGCACAAGGGACGTATTTTCACTAAAACTAATGTAAAGTCAGTTTATTCATGGAGATGTAATCACTTTTTCACAAAAACTAATTTTTATGGAAATATGACTGATATGCCATCATAGGCGCTATGCCATCATAGGCGCCTTCCCCTATATGAAAATTTAACAAAATTTGAATATCAAATTGTAAAAAAATGTAGTGACTAATATTTGAACTAAAATATATAACAAATCTGATAACAGTCTAATTAATTAAAGTCATAAAAACTTAGTTATTATAATAATCTTTAACTTATCAGTCGTGATATCTGAAAATAATGAGAAACAAAAAGTTGAGTATAGTAAAAAGTAGATATAGATAAGGTTGAATTTCAATTAAAATATAAATATTAGCACTTATCTGATGGGTCCAAGAAATTATAATTGGTAACTTAAAAAAAAAAAAGAAAAAGATATAGCTTAAAAATTCTAGTATTTACATTTTGATACTGATTATAGTAAGATTTATTCTTTGTCTTTATTTTTGAGTGCCTTAAAAAATAATTAACAGAAATTAAGACCACCCGGCACTTTATAGTGCTAAGTAATACCACAACTTAGTAACATCTCTTGACTGGCATGGATAACAATATTGTTTTACACACTGATAAGTAACATCGCTTATAAAACATAAAAAAACACAGAATATAAACATCTATAAGCTTTGAACATATTATATTTTATAAATTATTAACGCAAACTTGATCTGAAGCTTCGGTTACATTTCATAGGGTTTTCCATGTCATACTCCTTGAGTATGGAAATTTGTATGGAAAATGCTACACATCTGGAAGATAAGCATTCGGTTAACATTTTATGAGCGTTTCAATTAGATTTTCATATGAAATGTGAGTGGTAATTTAGTTCACATTTTTTCCAATCAATTAGGTCTATATAGCCTTTTGCTTCAAAATTGATTTCTGGTATAGAGAATCTCTATTCCAGAAATCAATTTATTTAGCTTCAGATCAAGTTTGCGGTTTGGCTAGTAGAAACGGCTTCATTCGTGCAAGACTTGCATCGCGAAAAATAAAGCCTTTATTCAACACAAAAAATTAATTTGAGACAGATCCATATGAACCAGATAGCTGAACTTTATTACAGCTAAACTTTAAACATTTTTCAAAAACATTTCCCACTCCATTAAAACTTTAATTGTACATTATGGACTGCAGAGCTTGTTTGCCGGAAACTCATGAAGCAGTGTTTTTTCGTAAAAACTCACCCCTCCAGCGGTAACTGAAGATTTTAAAATGTTTTCTTAAAAATCGCAACCATTTCTAACTTAGACATTGTGAAATGTTTAAACTCTATTGCAACTCTAGTATATGCACAGAACACGTTTTCTGACTTTTTTTACAAATTTTTAATTTGTAAAAAAGGTCAGAAAACGTGTTTTTGTAAGAAAAATAAAGCCCTAGCGCGAACTGAAGACATAAAAAAATATATAAAAAATTTGGCACAATTACTTTTTATTGCATTATACAACTTTCCCGCTCTATTACTATTTATAATTTAAAAAAAGTTGTTTTTCGATACACTCTATTAACCAGGTAAAAAAGACTGGTATTTAAAAACAATTTTTTAAATAAAAACTAATACGCCAAACTTATTATTATTTTTTAATAAATTACATATAATAAAATATTCTATTTACATTTAGCTTTATACTATTTAATGACATATTTACATAGATAAATATATGATAAATTCATATTTTTGCTTCTTTAACGTGCTCATGTATGATGCAACAAATTACGTTACGCAATCTCAGTGACGTCACTGACAGGCATATTTATAACTGCACACACCACTGGAGAAGGTTCATAACGACGCAGAACAAATACCTTCAAAAAATTAAATACACCAAAATAACAATTAAATGAAATTATTAATATACAAATAATATTTTAAATTTAAGCAGAGTACTGTCAAAAAATGTACCATTATATATCATTATAAAAAATATAATCATGTAAGATTATATTTTTTAGCAAATGTTTTCGCTATATTTTATTTTCTACTTTTTAGTCTTTATAATGAGTCACGGTATTTAACAATGCGAATTATTGTTATGTAGCATTGTTAATGTTATGTCGCAACATAATTATTAAACAGTGTTCAGACTACAAGAAATAATAGGAAGAGTTGTGATTAAAATCTCTAGTAGCAAGCAACATTGGTACAATATTTGTACAATTATTTATCTCAGTGCTGGCTAAATGTTTCTAACAATATTGCACCAATATAAAATGTCAACTCTTTTAAAGTTTAACATTTTTACATTTTTGAGTTTTTAAGGTGGTAACCACAAAAAAAAAAGTTTTTTTTATGAAAAAATGAATTTTTTGATATTTAAGTGATATAATTCTTTAATGATCCATTTTAACTATGGTTAATACTAATTTTATTTAACTCATTTCGAAAATTAATCTATTTTGGATACTTTGTTGGTTAGTATAAAAAAGCGTCATTAGCAACGACCATAGCAACTACATTTTTTTTTGTAAAGTCTTTATTAACTAGATTTTCTTTATGATCAACTGCATAAAAATTTAAACATATTATGGTTTATTATGCCAGCATTATGCCAGCGTTATTACAAATAATGGAAGGTTTTTTATCTATACTGATTGTGCACATTTTTATTATTATTATTTTTGTTAACTGGTGGTATTTTAAAAACGCGCAAATTTGTTACGAAATTAAAAAAACGTGGTTTTTAAACAGAATAGTGTTGAGGCCCAATACACAGCAATAAGAAATTTGTTAGATGATTTTGATCTCATCAGTTCACCCACTTCAATTCCTAGCTATTTATAAGGGGTTTGTACAAGATTAGCTAAGTTTCCTGGCCGACCATTACTCTTGTTAACCTCCTGCCATCATGTCGAAGAGCTTCATATACTGCGGATATAGCCGCAGCCGTAAATAAAACTGTTAAGCCAGAGAACAAACTATTTATATCATAAAACCATGAAAGGTTTAAAAATAGTAAGGTAAAACTACTTCACTTTAAAATATCTTTTTGCAAAAACAAAATGCATGAGTTTCTAATTTTAAAATTATTTATATTTAGACTATTGAGAAGTGCAACGATTTTAGAGAAATGCAACTTGAATTTCATGAAATTCAAGTTGCATTTCTCTAAAATCAGGCAGGTTTATATTCTACTCAAAGAGATCAATAGATTTTACATTACATTTCTCCCTCCAATAGAATGGCTGACTTCACTTCTCTCTCCATCAATAGAATGGCTGACTACATTTCTCTCTCCATCAATAGAATGGCTGACTACATTTCTCTCTCCATCAATAGAATGGCTGACTACATTTCTCCCTCCAATAGAATGGCTGACTACATTTCTCCTTCCATCAATAGAATGGCTGACTACATTTCTCCCTCCATCAATAGAATGGCTGACTACATTTCTCCCTCCAGGGCATAACGGTTCCACAAATTTTAAAGTAAAACTTAATTTCATAAGTTTTGATATTTTTGTCATTATTTAAGAATAATTTATGTCATTAAGTAACAAAATGTTTAAAAACAATGGTTTGCAAAATGGTTAAAAATCAGATGTAAAATACAAAAAAAAAATAACCCTAAACCAATTTTTTTTTCCAATGAAAGACTTTTCTTAAAATTAGTAGAAATATAATAAAAAATGAAATTAATAGAAATAGCACTTTGATTTTATCTTGTCAAAATTAAATGTAATAAGTTTTTAGCAGTGTCATTTTAAACCTTATCTACATAGCATTATTTTTAATTTACACTTTTAAGATCAACAAGACTATTGGCAGATGTATATTGAGCCTGATGCAGAGGTGAAGTTCAAATCATGGTAAAACCATAGAGGTATTTGGTGCTGGTGTTAACATCTTTTGACCGAGATCACAATATAAAAATGATAAAAAGTTCTGTATTCAAAAACAAAGGGAGGTCAGAAAAGATGTAAAAACGAATAGAATCAAAACTGAAATCCTTCTGAAAGCAGTTTTTGTTAAAAAAGACTAGCCACTATGTATATTTCACCAGACTCTGGTTAATTTTTGATATTCTAGGTCATAGTTTGAAAAAATGCCTACAGATGAGACTCCCTCAGTTTTATTGGATACATTTAATTCTAAAACTGAGAAAAACTTTCAAATTTGCTAACAACTCATCAGAATTCACAACAAAAACATAAATCTATTGACCATAGTTTAAAAAATTTATTTCTCAAAACAAGAAATATCATTCATATTTTTAAAAAAGAATTGCAGGGTAGGATATTTATTTCCTCAAACAAGAAACGTACTTCTTGTTTTAAGAAAAGAAAAAGTTCAATTTTGCTGTACTTACAGTAAAAATTATTTAAGATAATATAGAGCGTGTGATGGGCTTGGAAAAGCCATCACACACTCTATATTATCTTAAATAAATTTTAAGTACAGCAAAATTGAACCATCAAAAAAAAAAAGAAAAGTGGATTCAAGGAGCTAGCTACGGCGACTGCTTTCTCGTTATTGAATAGTTGTAATAATTTGAACTTTGATCCGATACCTAACTGCAAACTCTGAACCTTAAAAGTACATTAAAATTTTTTTTTTTTTAAATTAAAAGTACATTTAATTATTTTACATACTTTCTTGAGATATTTGTCATAAGCTCAAAATTTACATGTATATAAATATTTATCATAGATGAGTATTTGACTTTATAAAAATCCCGGAAATTTTTTTTCTATGATAATCCCGGAAAATCCCTGAAAATTATTTTAATAAAAATTGATCGCATTTAACTGTCAAACCGAATTTAGATTATTTTAAAATGGAATTTAGATTACTTAACTTTATACAAAAAGGAATTTCTAATATTCAAAAAAGTTTGAATGAATTAAAAAGCAAAAAAAAAAAAGAAAAAAATTGTTACGAAAATTGATCTTGTAAAAATTTTAATTATAGAAAATATATTTGTTTAAATGCAAAAGTTGTCGTATGTAAAATTTTATGTAAAAGTATATTAATTTTTTTTCAAATTAATATCAAAAAACATCCGGAAATTTCTGGAAAAATTAAAGGTGTTTTAAGTGAATTTCCGGAATTCCGAGAATTTCTGGAAAAATCTATGATTTATTGTGCATTTGCAGCATTTAAACGTTGAATTCTGAAGCAAATTAGCTTCAGAAACAAGAGATCTGTGGCATTGGTGGATCCAGCATTTTATGGTGTTTGAGATAGCAGACATGGCGCAAACTCCAAACATTTGTATGTTTATACTTATGTCAAATAATGTTTTTTAAAAAGTTGCAATGATTGAAGGCTGGTACCAATAAAGGGTAAAAATTTAATCACCCCTGCCCCAAACGTGAGAACAACAAGTTGATGAAATAACTTTTTGCTATTCTAAACTAAATTTATATTCATTGATAAATTTTAAGTATTGTTTTACAATCTCTAAGCGTTCAAAAATTATAACCATATAAAATTTGTAACCTTAGCAAATTGAGGGGGGTTTAAACTTTTTATAGTCATAAGTTATGAACACTGAGAGATAATACTATGAAACTTAAAATTTATTGATGATTATAAACTTAGATAAGAATAGCAAAAAAATTACTTTACCAACCTATTACTCTCTTGTTTGGGGCAGGGGGGATGAAATTTTAGGGCTTTTTTTGTTCCATCGCAATATTTTGCAAAGCATTATTATTTGACGTAAGTATAAACATACAAATGTTTGGAGTTTGCGCTATGTCTGTTAGCTATCTTAAACCCCAAAAAATGCTGGATCCTTTACTGATCTGTGGTTCGATGCCTACTCAAGGCTTTTTTTCGACATAAAGCAAGTGTTAACTTCTAAGTTAAATTCTCTTCTGCTGTACTCTGTAATGCAACCATTAGGTCTTTTTGGAGCACCTAAAATAACCACAGAAAAAATGTGCATATATATTTTTGAATCACATTGATACGTTTTGATTTAACTTAGTTTACAACAAAAGATCGAAAGTCTTTTACCCAATCTTTTAAGGAAACCATTTTGGATTTGGATTTGCTTGATCCAAGGCTTCAATAACAGTATTTAAAAAATAAATATCATTTAATAATAAAATGAAGTAAAAATCATAAAACTTGTTGTATGACTGGAAAAAAACTCAAAGCTAAACAAAAAATCACTTTACAATAGTCAAAGTGTTAATTTATCTATCGTAATCAGTGAAAGATAGGTACAACATATTTCTTAAATTAATAAGTACAGTATTTTTTTTGGTACAGGAACACATTAAGAATATTTTGTTGAACAAATTTACTGGATTTGACATCAGAACCTATTTGCACCAATGTTTGGAAATTGCTCTAAATTTAGTCAAAAATCATAAAAAGCATAACTTTGAACAATTGGCACAAAAATTTTTATAAAAAAAAATTTTTTTTCCGTATAAATATGACCTTTACGCACAGAAATATAAATATGACCTTTACGCACAGAAAAATAAATATGACCTTTATCACAGAATTGAACCTGTAACCCAGTGAGCCGCACCTCACAATTAGAGACCTATTACATCCGCATGACTACCGTATTAATGAGGAGAAAAAATCAAAGTTTTTTAATATTTTTTTTGCATACTTATTTGTAAAAGGTTTTTGTTTTGTAAATATTATATGTACAAATGTAAAAATAATGGGAGCGACAATGTAATGAGAACCTACAATTGTACAAGCATAAAAATAATGACCAAGTAAAAATAAAACATAATACAAAAAAGTCTTCTGTGAAGGACTTGAACCCTCAACACTGTCACACGCGCCTCAATAGAAGAGCGTTTTGCATACACAGCATTACGCGAATAAATTGATGATGTAACAAATAAAAATCAAATTTCTGAACAAGTTTATTGATGTTCTAGTGAAAAGTGAAAGAAAAGATTTTAAAAAAACAAGTTCTAGTGAAAAGTGAAAGAAAAGATTATAAAAAAGCTTGGAATTTAAAGTTTTATAATTGGAATTTGTACTGACACAACAGTATGTAACACTGGTTGTAATAAGAGTTACATTTTAGAAGAACATTTAGATCAACCTCTGTTAAGACTTATTTGCAGAAAACATTCTTAAGAATGATAAATGCAATCAAAAACCAGAAAAGATTAAAATCTATTTAAGCAAGATTTAAAGCTGCAAACACATTGTGAAAATGTCAAAAAAAAATATGGATCAGTCATTAAAGTTTTTGTGGTGCCAAGTTAGCAGAACTCCATTAGAAGATATGGCTAAAAAGCATCTTTTTGCAGGCAAGCTATGGAAATTTATTAGTTCCCCAGAAATATCTGTGTTAATATGTCATTGTTTTTCTGGAAGGAGGGCAGTATCTGGATTTATAATACATAAATCAGTTGCTGAACACGAAGCTAGATTTATAGCAGACACATTTTATAAATTTTGCCAATGAAGCTTACTAACCAATCATAAAAAATTAAACTTAGAAGAAAAAAAGGTATTTTCAAAAGCATATATAGAGTGATATATGTAGCCTCAATTCATACAAAAAACTTTTGTCAATGAAGTTAAATTATTTCTGCAGTATATAATGATTTATGAAAAGTTAAAGAGATGATAAAGATAAAAAATGTTGATGTTCCATAAGCTTTTATTTTAAGCTTAGATTTTTATTTTTTTATTGTTATAATTTTTCTGAAAAAAAAAAAAAAAAAAAAAAAAAGTTATCTTTTGTTTATTTAACAAAAGTTTTAAAAATAAAGTTAAAGAAAAAGTTGCTCAGCAGTTACTGAAAACAAATTTACCTGAAATCTTTAGACTTAAAAAACTAGTCTGTAGAAACAAATAAAAATTTAGAACTTAATGAGCACGCTGGAAACAATTTTAGGCAAATATTTTTAATAACTCCTTACTAATCAAAGTGAGAAATGAGAAAGTCTAACTGATTATGATCCTACCTATAGAAATATTCAAATGCTTTTTGTTTTTTTTTTGTTTTTTTTTTTAACATTTTTGTTTGTGTCTGTTGTAAAAACATTAGTCTGTCTCTGTTGTAAAAACATTAGTCTGTGTCTGTTGTAAAAACATTAGTCTGTGTCTGTTGTAAAAACATTTGTCTGTGTCTGTTGTAAAAACATTAGTCTGTGTCTGTTGTAAAAACATTTGTCTGTGTCTGTTGTAAAAACATTAGTCTGTGTCTGTTGTAAAAACATTTGTCTGTGTCTGTTGTAAAAACATTTGTCTGTGTCTGTTGTAAAAACATTAGTCTGTGTCTGTTGTAAAAACATTAGTCTGTGTCTGTTGTAAAAACATTAGTCTGTGTCTGTTGTAAAAACATTTTTGTCTGTGTCTGTTGTAAAAACATTAGTCTGTGTCTGTTGTAAAAACATTTGTCTGTGTCTGTTGTAAAAACATTAGTCTGTGTCTGTTGTAAAAACATTAGTCTGTGTCTGTTGTAAAAACATTTGTCTGTGTCTGTTGTAAAAACATTAGTCTGTGTCTGTTGTAAAAACATTTGTCTGTGTCTGTTGTAAAAACATTAGTCTGTGTCTGTTGTAAAAACATTTGTCTGTGTCTGTTGTAAAAACATTTGTCTGTGTCTGTTGTAAAAACATTAGTCTGTGTCTGTTGTAAAAACATTAGTCTGTGTCTGTTGTAAAAACATTAGTCTGTGTCTGTTGTAAAAACATTAGTCTGTGTCTGTTGTAAAAACATTAGTCTGTGTCTGTTGTAAAAACATTTGTCTGTGTCTGTTGTAAAAACATTAGTCTGTGTCTGTTGTAAAAACATTAGTCTGTGTCTGTTGTAAAAACATTAGTCTGTGTCTGTTGTAAAAACATTTGTCTGTGTCTGTTGTAAAAACATTAGTCTGTGTCTGTTGTAAAAACATTAGTCTGTGTCTGTTGTAAAAACATTAGTCTGTGTCTGTTGTAAAAACATTTTTGTCTGTGTCTGTTGTAAAAACATTAGTCTGTGTCTGTTGTAAAAACATTTGTCTGTGTCTGTTGTAAAAACATTAGTCTGTGTCTGTTGTAAAAACATTAGTCTGTGTCTGTTGTAAAAACATTTGTCTGTGTCTGTTGTAAAAACATTAGTCTGTGTCTGTTGTAAAAACATTAGTCTGTGTCTGTTGTAAAAACATTTGTCTGTGTCTGTTGTAAAAACATTAGTCTGTGTCTGTTGTAAAAACATTAGTCTGTGTCTGTTGTAAAAACATTTGTCTGTGTCTGTTGTAAAAACATTAGTCTGTGTCTGTTGTAAAAACATTAGTCTGTGTCTGTTGTAAAAACATTTGTCTGTGTCTGTTGTAAAAACATTAGTCTGTGTCTGTTGTAAAAACATTAGTCTGTGTCTGTTGTAAAAACATTAGTCTGTGTCTGTTGTAAAAACATTTTTGTCTGTGTCTGTTGTAAAAACATTAGTCTGTGTCTGTTGTAAAAACATTTGTCTGTGTCTGTTGTAAAAACATTAGTCTGTGTCTGTTGTAAAAACATTAGTCTGTGTCTGTTGTAAAAACATTTGTCTGTGTCTGTTGTAAAAACATTAGTCTGTGTCTGTTGTAAAAACATTAGTCTGTGTCTGTTGTAAAAACATTTGTCTGTGTCTGTTGTAAAAACATTAGTCTGTGTCTGTTGTAAAAACATTAGTCTGTGTCTGTTGTAAAAACATTTGTCTGTGTCTGTTGTAAAAACATTAGTCTGTGTCTGTTGTAAAAACATTAGTCTGTGTCTGTTGTAAAAACATTTGTCTGTGTCTGTTGTAAAAACATTAGTCTGTGTCTGTTGTAAAAACATTAGTCTGTGTCTGTTGTAAAAACATTAGTCTGTGTCTGTTGTAAAAACATTAGTCTGTGTCTGTTGTAAAAACATTAGTCTGTGTCTGTTGTAAAAACATTAGTCTGTGTCTGTTGTAAAAACATTAGTCTGTGTCTGTTGTAAAAACATTAGTCTGTGTCTGTTGTAAAAAGAGTTAAAATAGTCCTTTATCAACTCAATAAATAAACTGGAAAAGTTACAAAATATTTTATTAGTTTTGAAGGAACACAGAATTAGTTTCCCATTTTATAAATGTAAACTGGTTGAAAGAAGTACTGAATAAATTGTGAAATTAAATTTTTTTCAAAAACTTTTTTGTCTTGTATAATAGTGTCTTGTATAAGTGGAAACAGAAAAAATTGTATAGCAAAGTTATAGTTTTTCCAACTCCTTAAAATGGACTCGCTAATGTAGATGTCTAAATAATTGTGCTGGACTTCTTTATGTGATGTTGCCTGAAAAAATTGTATAGCAAAGGCAGATTGAAAATATTCAGACCATGAAACAATAACTATTCTTTAAACTAAATTTAAGCATTGGAGATCAAGCTCAATAACAAATGTAAAACAGCAATACAAACTTGTCTTGCAACAAATGTGAAACAGCAACACAAACTTTTCTTGCAACAAAAAACACTAAAAAGTAATTTTTTAAATCAATTTTTTAAAACTACTCTTTAGAAATTTTTGAATATATTTAGCAAGTTTAGGAAACAATCCTTCTGTGTTAATAAAATTCATTTTCATATATCAATGTATAAGAAGAAAGTTTGAAGAATTTGAAGAAAAAACTTTGAAGAATGCTTAACACGCTGATTGCTCAGCATAAAGAGTCCATGAAATCTTTTAAATAATTTGTTATTTATGCTGCATGATACATTTTCTAATAAAGAACAATGCTTCATTAAATGAAGTAGCTTACAAAGTGTTTATTGATATGCTTTGACAGATAGTGAAATATTTGCGAGTTTTTGACAATAATATTTTCAATTTTTTATGATTACTTAAAGTGTTATTGATACAATAATTAAATTTCTTTATTTCAGTATGTATTCTTCTAATTTTTTCACTTTATAACAAATTACAATGGCTAATAATTAAATTATTTAATAATAAATGTATTTTACAATTAAGTCAATAAAATTACTGTTGCTGTTAATCTTAAGTTAAGATAACTGAACTTAATCTCAGTCGATAACTGTCATTTTGTTAATTTAAACCAAAGCAATGTGTAATTTTTCTGATCTCAGTCTGATATCATTTTAATAATATTGCCCCAATACTAGTAGACCTTTATCATGATGAGCAAAAACAGTCAGCTGGATGTAGAAATACTAGAAATAAGTAGGCCCAATGTGTATGTTATCTGGGAAATTATTAATCTACATTAATTAGTTATATATTAATTAATTATATACTAATAACTCATTATTCGAATTAATGAGTCAGTCTTAAAACTATCTTATTAAAAGTAATTTTTACTTTCCTTAATTGAAAAAATAAGTAAAAATCGAAAGCTTATGAAAACTTTATAAATAAATATTTAAAAAAAGTAAAAATATTTTTGATAAATAATATTGTTAAGAAAAATATATTTAAAATAATTCCAACTATTGACAATATCAACTGAAAGAGCATTAAAAACAAAATAAAAAACACTTTTGCCAAGTAACAAAAACTTTTGCTTAGTAACAAAACAGAATACAAAAAAAAAAGAAAAAGACGATTGAAAAATATTACTATACAATATAAATTTCTAGAAGTTTAAAAACCTTAATTTTGTCAGCTATTCCTTTGTCACTTATGGCTTCAACAAATGTTTCAAAGTTATAAAGCAGTCCAGGTATTAGAATTGGAACCTGAAATAAAAACAGTAAAATTAAACCTTATCTACGTAAAAAAAAGTCTATAAATAATGTCTATAAAAAATATCAAGTCACCTCAATAAGTGGATTGGCTATATTATAAATTTTAAGATCTGTTAAAAACGAGATTAATAAATCTCTTGGGACGACAGAAGTCGATGTATTTTGTAAAGACATCAGTAGCTTGAAGCCTGGTCCAAAGCCTTGAACCTGAAGGCAAAAACTTTAGCTATAAACATAAATATTAAAAATGAGAGCATAAAAAAAAAAAAAAAAAAAAAAAAAGACCTAGAATCTTTATTTTGCTTCAAACACCTGTTCAACATATCTTATTTACTTTGTTCTTCTTTTTTTTTCAGTTTCTTATTTCTTTTTTTTTTTCTTTTATTCTGAAAGTTGTAGGTTGTATGAGTCAGGAAAACATGAAGATGGGAGAGAGTTCAAACGGTTTGAAGTGCCAGGAAAAAAACTAGACAAATAAAAGTTTTTAGAGCATGCAAGGACAGATACAGTAAAATAATGAGATTTAGCTGAATGATGAGTCAAGAGAGCATACATTTTGGTTAATGGAACTAGAAATGATAGCTCCTTTGAGCAGCGACCATAATAGTATTTGTAGAAAAGAGCAAGAAATGCAACTTTATGATAATGAGAAAGAGGCTCCCATAGCAGATAGAGTGGGTCCAACTACATTCAAAACCTTTTGAACTTTGTCTAGAAGAGAAAGAGCATTATTAGAAGAACCAGCTCAAATATGACAATAGTATTCCATACAGAGGCACATAAGAGATTTTTAGAGATAGAGAATGAAATCATGAGTAAGAAAATGGTGAGCACAATAAAGAGAAGCAACCTTAGCAGATGCTAATTTAGCAATCCATTGTATATATGGTTTCCACAAAAGGTCGGCAGTCAATAATAATCCAAGAAGATGTAAAAAAGAGGATTCAGTGAGAGGATTGCAATTCATCAATATAGAAATGTCAATAGTATTTTATTCTTTTTTTTGTTGCACAGAATTGCATTTCTTTAGAGAATGTTTTGGTATTTTTCAATCCCTCAATTCGCACCAGGTTTTGAAACTTTGTTTCAAGCAAAGCATCTCCAGACCATGACTGAGCGCCCACCATACTTGACTGTTGGAATCACACGTTATTTTATTATGCATTCTCCAATTAATTGACAGGCACATTGTCTTTTTTTTGAAAGAAAATGATTTCTTCCAAAAATTTCAAACTTTGATTTATCTGTAAACAAACCTAGTGATCATTGTTAAAATGTTCAATTTTTATGTATTTTTGCCCAGTCTCAATCTTTTAACTTTATTTAGTTTGTGTAGTAATGGTTTTTTTTTGGCAGCAACAGATCTTTTTAAGCTATGATTGTGAAGACAATTTTTTTGAGCTAAAACAGAAACTGGTGTTTCCAGCAGGGATGACAGAGTCTGGAGTCCCACCTGTCACAAAAATTGTTGGTACTCTTAGATTCTGCAATTTTTAAAATTTTATATCAGCATATAAACGTTTTTCTAACGAACCCTTTTTACCTTCTTTCATTTTATTAATATAAAATTGTTTACCCAATAGTTATGTAACTTTAGGCTAGTAAAAACACAATTGTATTAAATTACGCTGTGCAAGCCCTCCAGCATATAAATTATTAAAAAATGTGCATTATGTTTATGGCAAACATCGCCAATAGAATACATTGCTTATAAAGAATATAAGAAGCAAATCACAGCCCATGTGATGTACAAAACCTTTGAAGTAAACTGATAGCTAGATGTCATACTTAGGCACAAATATTTACACACTCAAACCTGCATTGATACCAAAGTAAAAGAAAGTATTTTTCTAACATGTTTTCCTAATAATTTTGTTTAAACTAACAGATACGGTTTTATTGATAAAAAAAGTATAAAAATCATATTTTTAAGTCATATAACTCATTTTTTAGCTATTAAGTCTTTCTAAGCGTTTAAAAATACTTAATAGCTATTCTAATAAGCTTAAAAACTATTATTTGATTTTAATAACTATATTTTGTTAAACTAATTATGTAATTTTGGGAAGGGTATAAATAATAAGAGAAGGCCAATGCACAGAGAAACATTGAGCGCAGTAATCCAGCTCAAAACTTCTCGCTTACAAGGCTCTACCACTATACCACTACACCACTACTGAATGTAAACTCGAAGTAAACATATCCAATATCTAAAATATTTAAGTAGAAATACCTTCAATCTAAAAGAAATAGCTATGTTTTGAGCAAAGAAATGAAATCAATAATAAATTATCATTTACTGCATCATAATTGAAACTTTATATAGTCTACTCTAGCATTTCAGCAATTATTTTATCCCTAGAAATTCTGGTTAAATGACTCAAAAATTTATATAAATTTATATAACTAAAAAAAATTATATCTAAAAAAAAAAAAAAAAATTGGAATCCGGAGCCCTAAGACACTCTTTTTTAATCCTGAAGTCAGAGTCCCTAGAAAACTACAGGAGTTTGCATTTCTGGTTTCCAGTATAAGTTGCAGAAATTTTTTAGCAAATTTCAGGAGCAGTTCAAGTACAATTTCTTTTATTTTGAACACAAATTATCTTTGTAATTTTTTGCTCTAGGACTCCTAGATCTTTGTGATTCAGTATTGCTCTAGGACTCCTAGAACAATGACAATTCTGATTACAGTCAGTTTCATGCTATCTTTGCAATGCTTTCATGACTGCATTTTAAGAAACATTTTTTGAAGTTTTTGAAGCAACTTTTAGTGTTGAATAAGTCTCCTTGCGTAATGCCACAATAAAAGTTTGCTTTTCTACACTCAATTCTACTTTTTTAACCATTTTTCTTCAATTAAAACATAAAATATATACTTTTCTTCAAATTTCAATACTAGGACAAAATTCTTTAAATTACTTCAATGTGTATAACAATTATTCCTTAAAAGTTACAATATTAACATAAACAATCTTTTGATTACCTAACAGTATAAAAATACTATAAAACACAACAGGGAAAAAAAATTAATTAAGGTGTGTATATCTCTATAAAAAAGATGTGTAAATCTCTCTATACAAATAGGTGTGTAAATCACATTATAATGAAAATAAACAATAATGAAAATAAATAAATGCTAAAAATTATTGCTACACTAGTTTTGAATAGGAATATATATATATGTATATATATATATATATATATATATATATATATATATATATATATATATATATATACTCATATAGTGTCGCTTTAAGAGCATTTTAATGTAAAAAAAGTCTCTTACGACTACAATTTTAATTACCTCGTCTCTTAAGCTGTTTTTGATTGTCATCGAAACGTCAAAGCAATTAATTTATGCGGAAGTACATTAAATTTAATTGTTTTTTAAAAAATTTTTAAAAAACCGCAATTATAACGACTAGAAAGTTTTTTTTAATTAGTGGTGTTTTTGTTATTGATTTAATAAAAAACATTTTTTAAACATGCGTAAATGTTGCTACATCGACTATCTTATAGCCTGACTCGCAACAGAGTGCTGCTACATCGACTGACAAATAGCCTGACTTGCAACGGAGTGCTGCTACATCGACTGACAAATAGCCTGACTCGCAACGGAGTGCTGCTACATCGACTGACAAATAGCCTGACTCGCAAGGGAATGCTGCTACATCGACTGACAAATAGCCTGACTCGCAAGGGAGTGCTGCTACAACGACTGACAAATAGCCTGACTCGCAAGAGAGTGCTGCTACATCGACTGAGGGTTTGGTTTGGCCAGGCAGTCTATCAATTAAAAAAAAAAATTTAATTTTTAAAACTTTTTTTGGTCTGGTTTATTAACGCGCTCTTTAAAACTACAGTTTATGGGAAATATTTTTTGATGCTACGCAAGAGACATGCAAGACTATATATATATATATATATATATATATATATATATATATATATATATATATATATATATATATATATATATATATATATATATATATATATATATATATATATATATATATATATATATATATATATATATATATATATATATATATATATATATATATATATATATATATATATATATATATATATATATATATATATATATATATATATATATATATATATATATATATATATATATATATATATATATATATATATATATATATACACACACACACTATATACCTCAATATATGAAAAATATCACAAATAACTTAAGTTATTTGCATGCTAAGTGCTGTGGTCAAGTGCTCAAAACAAAATATATTTATTTAATAGTATATTAATAGTATATTTATTTAATAGTATATATAATTGTCATTTTATAAAAAAATGATAAATTTTATTTTAAATTTTATGGTGAATAAAATGACATTTTAAAAATAAAAATGAAAAAAAGTAAAATTTTACAAGAAAAATTTTAAATAATGCAGTAAAATTCCAGTAATTCAAACATTGGTTAAATATTGCAGTAAAATACTGAACTGCATTTGAAGCTTCATTTGGTCCCTTGAAAAAAAATCTTAGTCTAATTGATTACTGTTAAAAATCTTTGATTAAGTTGAACATCCGATAACTCTAATTTTGTTAAGTGGAACCATTTTTCTGTCCTTTAGCAAATTTCCTTGGATAACTTGAACTTTTTGTAAAAAAAGAGAAATCAAAATAACGTGATTAAATTTTTTTAAAAGAAGTCCAGAAATTATAAACAACAGTAGCTGAATTTTGCCTTTTTTTTTCATTGTATTTAGATTTGAATAGAATAGATCATTATTAGACATAAAATACTTGCAAAAATAAAACTGTTACAGAATAAATTATAACAAAATATTGTTAAAAAGCAATTATTTTAGAGTTTTAATCAATTTATTAATAAAAGACAATTCTCTTTTAGAAACAACTTTATCACCAAATTAAAAGAAAGCCATTGTATGGCTAAACTTTTTTGAATGTTTTTATTTTAAGTGTACAGTGTGAATATGAAATGTAACTTATTTCAATGACTTTATTCTTTTCATTTTCAGCTTATATTAATATAATGATGTATGTTATATGTTTATACTTTAGCATTAAATAAAAATTATTAAAAATTTTGTTAAAAAAATAATTGGCTCAAAAGTAATAGTAAAACTAAATTTCAATTACCTTTTTGGAATAAAAATTTGTAAAAAATTTGGAATAAAATTTGTAATAATCAGTTTATCATAATGGGACATAATAAACCTTTTGGGAGATACAAATTAGGAGCAACTAATAATGGTAAAACTGTGCAACAAATTCCAATCAAAATTAAATATTTCACAATCAACATTTTGTTATAGATCAAAACTTTTTTGATAACAGCTGATTTTTTGACTGACAGCTGAGGCTAGAAAAAAATTCATGAAATAAATTCGAAAATATCATGCTTGCAATTTATAAGGTAAGTTAATGTTATACTTGCATAAATCGTGTTAAACTCCAAAAACCATATAACCGACACAAGTATAGCTTACCTTATGCAATCAATGAGTTGTGTAAAGTGACTCAAACAAAACAAGAAGCCATGATCTTAGACTTAGATTAAAAATAATGAGTTTATTGGACTGCATTACAAACTCCAGTTTGAGAAAGTAGATTATGAGGTTTTATATTAGAGAAGAGGGAGGCTAAATCAATGATGACGATGATGTTATTTGTCAAAATACAGCCACAAACCCAACCTTGGCTATACTTTATCAAATTTTAAGTCAAGTCGCTTACTAGTTCAAGGCATTATGGAAAAAATATATATATATAAAGGAATAACCAAAGACACAATGCTACCACATGCGAAAGAAAAATATTTTTTTGACCTCTGGACCTGAACTCAATTGAAAATCTTTAACAGATTATGAATAAATATTTTTAGGAACTTCATCATGTCATACAAAGAACAATCAACTTCCTGAGCTTAATTCCAAGTTCTTAGTGCAAATCTTGTAGCTTGGTTTTCCATTATACTTCAGTATCTCCTCTATCTTTCATATCATTAAAAATAGATATTTTAGTAACTACAAATCTTAAAGCTTGTGCAATGCTACTTTTTTTTTTATTTTTTTATAATTATTGTTTGTTATTTTTAGATATTTATTATTTTCTTGCTCTATTTTTTTTTTTTTTTTTTTTTAATTTATCAGTTTAACTTCAAAACTAATTAAATATTATTTTAACTTTAAAATTAGATTATTATTAAATATCAGAAAATAGTTATTACAAAACCTATAGTTTAGTAATAAATTGAAATTTTTTATAATTCTCAAGGTAAAAATTAATAAAAGACAAACCTGAACAGAAAACTTTATTGGGGTAGTCTTTGAAAAAGATAAAGGATTTAACTTTGTTTCTAACGTTTTAACATAATGACGAGCTGTAGACAGTTTTAATTTAAATAGTTCTGATTGAAACGTTTGATGCATGCCTATAAATATACAACACATACAACAAATATAAAATGTATACTATAAATAAACAACACATACTATAAATATACAACACATACTATAAATATACAACACATACAATAAATATACAACACATACTATAAATATACAACACATACTATAAATATACAACACTTACTATAAATAAACAACACATACTATAATTCATTATTTTTGTTAATTAATAATTTCTATTAGGGTTAAAGCACTTATCTATGATATTGACGGGCACCCCCTAATGAATTGTTTAAAAAAAATGTAATTGTATTTAAAAACTAGATTATAAAATATATATTCAGAGGCTACTACCTTGATTATTAAAAATAACAAGTAATAATTGCAAATATTAAAGTAACATAACAAATATTTTTCAAAAGTAGATCAACTTGGATCTCAAAAAAGTAGATCAACTTGGATCTCAAAAAAGTAGATCAACTTGGATCTCAAAAAAGTAGATCAACTTGGATCTCAAAAAAGTAGATCAACTTGGATCTCAAAAAAGTAGATCAACTTGGATCTCAAAAAAGTAGATCAACTTGGATCTCAAAAAAGTAGATCAACTTGGATCTCAAAAAAGTAGATCAACTTGAATCTCAAAAAAGTAGATTAACTTGGATCTCAAAAAATCTCTGGAGCAAAACTAAACAAGGATATCAAAAAAACATTTATTTCAAAAATAACATTTATTAAGTCAATAGTCATTTATTTCAAAAATAACATTTATTTCAAAAATAACATTTATTAAGTCAATAGTCATTTATTTCAAAAATAACATTTATATCAAAAATAACATTTATTAAGTCAAGATATTTCAATTTTATCCCATAAGTGACATTTTAGTTCTGAGAGAATACTATAAAGGGCATCATAGACCACCAATACAAAACTAATTACTCCCTGTTACTAACTATTTACCTGCAAATTTCTAAAAGATGAAAATAATGACAACATCAACAAAAACGCGATTGATAACACATCTACTAAATTCATATGTTTTTAAATTACTTCACCATAATTTGGGTTGGGGTATAGATGTTACCACAGCTTGGGTTGGGGTATAGATGTTAGGGTATAGATAGCTCTTTCTTGGGGTATAGATAGCTCTTTCTTGGGGTATAGATAGCTCTTTCTTTGTTCCGAATTTTCTTAACTCTTTTCTAAAGTTTCCATTAATCAAATAGGGCTAATCAAATAGTTGAAAAATTAAATTATTTAAATATCAAATAATTTATAATTGCATTTTGGTGTAATACCTTTTAAAGATGGAATAAAACAATTTGGCTCAGCCAAAGAAATGAAAAGTATTCATTTCTAGTTAAAAATCACCCCTTAAAAATGCTATGCATTATTTTATCACTTAACAATGTTCTAAGTTTAGTAATTAATAAGCCAGCCGCGATAAAGCATCTTTCAGCTTCCACAGATGAAAGTGACATAAAAAAATTAAGATATTTTTTTTTTCTTATATTATTTTTTTATAATTAGTTGTTTGATCAGAGACTATCTTTATCAAAAATTCAAATTAAAAAAAATCAATTTTTTCAATTTTATGTCCATCTAAAATCAAGTGTCTATTTTTTGAATTTCTCAAAGTCAAAGTAATGAAGTTAGATTTTATAATTTTTGCAGTTTTCCAAAAGCATAAATTTCATTCCATGAACATTACTTAAAGATATTTAGTTTTGCACTGCCCAATCATTTTTAATACATTTTCACTTTTCTGTAACTTAAAAACTGAAATAAGATCTACTGCAAAAAGTTTGTCAAGAACAACCTCGGATCTTGGTTCTAAAACATAATTGACATTTGATAACTTTTAACTGATTTAACTCTATATTTAGAACATTTTCAGTTGGTAAAACACACTGATTTTCTATTTTTTAAAAAGTTTTAACGTAAAAATATTTTTTGTTTACTTTTTATAATAAAAAATTTGCCACTCAGTAAGCACAAGTCAAAGATGAGTTAGTTGTGTTAACTGCACATTGGTAGTGTTGACTGCACATTGGTAGTGTTGACTGCACATTGGTTGTGTTAACTGCACATTGGTAGTGTTGACTACACATTGGTAGTGTTGACTGCACATTGGTTGTGTTAACTGCACATTGGTAGTGTTGACTGCACATTGGTTGTGTTAACTGCACATTGGTAGTGTTGACTGTCTTTGCTGTACAAGCAAGAAATAAAATATAAACATAAACTAGTTAACTTGGTTGAGGTAAAAAAAGAGGATGCAACCATGCAAAATTTTTTAAAAAATGCTTTAGTGCGCTAAAACCATTCGAATTATTTTACCAACAAAATATTCAATTTTTTTATTAAAATTATTTGTTTGATAACAACACTAGTTTAAAAGACACATCAATTTTATCCAACTTTTTCTGTAAACAATTTACCACAGTTGCAAATAATCTTTCCACATCAATTGATGAAATACTTTTTTTAAATAAAAGTCATACAAAAAAAAATCATTTCACAACTTGAGTACTTTTAGCCACCCCAAACTACATAGTGCAACCTAACTTGTCAGCTAGCACACCATCTGAGTAGTATACCATCCCAGCTAGTACACTATCCCAGTCACTAATAGTTGTATTACATTTAAATGCATTGAAACTAAACATAATTTTTGATCTGTAAAAATTTTTTACCTATAGGATCCTCTCGTTCTCTCAATGCCTGGTCTAAAAATAATTTTGTTTTTCGCGGTACATTCAGTGTAGTTAAGACAGGATTACGTTTTTCTAAAAAAAATATCGAAGATAAAATACATCAAGCAATGATAAAAAAAAACTCCATAATCCTATTATATGATTAAATATATGAATGATATTTATAAAAAATTTATTACCATTTGACAAATTTGTATTTTCTAAATTCGATGTTCGCTTTAATATTTTTATAATAAGTCCACCACCTTAATAAAAAACAAATATATAAAAATAATATTGCAATTTATAAATTTACAATAAATTTCAATCATATTTATTTAAAAAAATATTTTATAATTACTAAAATACTTAATTATCAGAAATAAATAAAATAAATAATTAGAATAATAACAGAATAAAACTTTTCGCGAAAAGTTGAACAATGTACAAAGCATAATTGCTAAAATTTAAAGGTAAAAGAATAAAAATTTTTATTTTTTTATTCTTTTTTTGTTGTTGTTATTTTTCACTATTGGCTGCAAAATTTCTGACTTGGATATCAAATCTAAAAAACCTTATCATTTGATAATCTTTTATTGATTTTTCCAAAAAAGTAAATACTATCTCTGTCCAAAAAGAATACTTAATACAATAGTATGTACTTGCCTGCAATACAATAGTGCAATAGCATTAGCTTGCCTAAGGAACATAAGTTGCAGAGTAGTGTGGAGCGATTTCCAAAATTTTTCAAATTAGATTAGCTTGAGGTGCAAATGGATGTCTAATAGTAAAAAAAAAAACCTTACTTTTTTTTCTCAAACAGATGAGTTCTTCAGGCTCCTCTTTGGATTCAAAACTGTCATTTTTGCCCAAAAAGACTTAAAAAGTCATCTATTATGAAGTCATCTGCATGGGCAAATCAAATATATTTAAAATGCTAAAATATTTGCTCATCTGCGTTCGCATTTTTATTTATTATTGACATTAGTTCTTAAACAGATTTTTAACCTGTTTAAAAAATGATCAACAAATTTTGAGCTTGATAGCAAACATAAACAAAGAATATGAGTCTATTTAAAAAAATCTTCATAAGTTACAAGACAAGGCAACCATGTTTAGAAAAATATGTGAAATAACTCTGTTAGATCTATGTACCTGCAAATGTAAAAACTTTATTGACTTTTCTTGTCAACCAACAAACAGTATGGAAAATGGTAATTGGTAATGTTGATAAAAAAGTTACCCAACTTCTTCATAAAAATATAAAAAGGAAAGCAATACAATCATCACAACTGAAAAAAAAATTTTATGCAGACAATATAGCTGGAAAAAGTAAAAAAATATTTCAATCTACATGTAACACAGAAATTTGAAAAGAAACATCTTTTGTAAACTCAGATAATATCTGAAGAATTGTTTGGAATTAAAACTTCTAATCCCAACACATCATCAGAATCTATACTTGTCCTTCTGGAAAAAGTCTACTATACTTGTCCGGAAAAAGTCTACTATACTTGTCCTTCTGGAAAAAGATTGAAATTGTGTAATCTAGCTTTGGCATGCGATCAAATTGGCATTTCAGATCGATCTGCTTCATTATTAGTTAATGCTATTTTAAAGGGATTTTAAATCGTAACAAAAGAATCAAAAATAATTGATCAAAGTAAAATAAGAAGAGAATGAAAAAAAAAAGATCAGAACTTCAAAATTGTGCACGAAAGAATTATTTTGAAGTTCAAGGGTTGTTTTTTGATGGAAAGAAAATATTTACGCAGGTTAAAAAAAGGGCAAAATATTACAGAAAATATGTTACTGAGCAACATATTGTTCTAGTTTCCGAACCTGGATCAAAATATCTGTGTTATGTAACGCCATCATCAGAAACTGCACTAGGTATTGCATCAAGCATTTAACACTTTTAGGGGATCCAAATAAAAAATTTATATTGGAGCAGGTAAAGGCTGTTGGATGTGATGGTACTATCACAAATACAGGATGGAAAAATGGTGTTATCAGTCAATTAGAATTATTTCTTGACTGCCCTACAGTGGCTTACTACACACTATTAAATTGCCTCTCCACCATTTAATACAACACTAAAATGGGAAAACAAACAATCCTACAGGATTCAAAGGTGCATTTTAGAAAAATGTTAGAAAATTGTTAGAAAATTTCAGTTGTTTATTTTGAACCTATTCAAGTATAACTCCCAAAAATTGACTTTGAAGAAAATTGAAGAGTTAAGTACTGATCAGAAATAGCTTTTTGACATTTGAAATGAAATTTCAAGAGGTAATATATCAATATCTTTGTCACTTTGAGATCGTGGGATATTTCACGTTCACGTTGGTTAACAACAGCCAACTGAATTTTAGGGTTATATGTTTCAAAATTAGATTTATTAATAGATCTAAAAATTTCAACTATGTGATTAAAGTATACTCTAATAGCTGGTTAAGTGAGATAATAAGTATAAGTGAGATAAAAATAAAAATCTGTTTTTATGGATCCAATCATTTCTTTGGAATGATTAAAAAATCTTGTTACTTATTTGATGAACTTAAGAGTATTGTTGATCCAGTATTACACAGAAATGCCTATTTCTGCGACCCAAAAAATATTTTGTTGGCTATGCTAGTGGATACAAAAATGCACATTACAGAATTAGGTTTAACGCGAATTATCAAATAGAGAATCAAATGGTAATGAGAATCAAATGGTAATGAGAGGACTATTTGACCATTTAAAGTGCCAAATCTAACTTTTAATGCTGAAGATTACATAGATATGATTGGTTGGAAATATGTTAATGTTACTGAGCCTACTTTAATAAGACAAATCTCAATTGATAATTTAAAAAAATGATTTCATCCACTTCTGATATGATTGATATTGTAAAAATACCTTGCCACATTCAAGCAGTTGAACAATGTATAAAATGTGTATCAAATACTTCTATCAGTTGTGGAAATAAAGGAAAAGATGGAGTCATCCGAGCTAAGCTTATATCTTAGTGTGAACTACCAAAGTTTGAAACTAAAAAACACTTCATAAATTCATTAAAATAAATATAAACTAAATGATTTTTAAATATTTTACTCAACATTTTATTTTCTTTATTACCTCTGTTATGTCCAGGGTTCCATATTTTTGTACTTTGGACGGGTTTCCATAGTTCCATTGCATTATTTAAATATGTTATGTAAGAGTTGCGGTAACATTTTAAAACTGAATGACCTTCCTGGCGTTAATCTTATTTATAGTTCAAGGCTGAGTATTTTTATTGTGATACCACCGCTAGGTTACCATACTTAAGTTATGTCTTCCACAATTTTCTTTTTACACCTACCACATTTAAATTGGGGGTTTATATCAGAATTTTCATTCCCCTAGGTAAAGAGTCTTTTCCATGGCTAAAGACCCTATGGCTTAGTTACCTAATTACTATAAGTAAGGAAATTTAATGACTATATGGGAACATCAGTTTTGTTAGGTTTTTTAAATAAAAAAAGTTCTGAATAAAACTTAGAATTTATAAATTTTATATGGGGTTGTAATTTCACTGTTCGGAATTCTGTTAGTGATTGGACAAATATTTCATTTTACTTTTTATTGGTTGAGACATCTAAAAAAAATTATAATAAAAAAGTTTTAAAAACAAACAATTTTAAATTTGACAAAACTTATATTCTTCAGCCGCCAATGCAGAAAATTCAAGTCTACTCACAATTTTTTGTATTCTTACATTTGATTTTACACGCTATCTTAATATAATTCTTCCAGTTAACGTTTACCGTTGAATGCGAATGGTTACATCTATTGTTCAATCTTAGTTACGGTTCTGTATTCTGTAAAATATTCGCTAATAGCTTCCAATCTACTTCCAAAAATTCACGAGGCAAGCAATGAACAGTGTCAGCTTTTATATTTAAAAATAAAAGTTTAGTTTTAATAATAAGATTAAGTTGTATTTACTTTTGAAAAGTTTGTATTAGATTTTTTTTTGTTTATGCTCTAACCATTTTCCATTTTGTTTACTTTGTTTTATTTATTTACTTGTTTGGTTTGCTTTCACCCATAGTTTTTTGGCTTTTCATTAATATTTAATATAACTTTTTATTGAATAAATCAATTTTGTTCATAAATATAATATATAAACTTGATTTTGTATGTTTTGTATTAAGATATTTGCAGTAATCATTTGCATACATTTTTATTTATGTTTTAATTTGTTTAGCTATTTAGATACTTTAGATTTATTTCCCGATTTGTGATTCAGTTGTTGAACAAAAGAAATTGTAGAAGTTTATATATCACATGCTGTAGTAAGCCAAGGTCAGGTCGGCAAAAAACTTAATAAAAAAATACTCCATAAAAGCCTAAATAAATTTGAGAAAAAATGGACTAAAAATTAGTTAATTTTTTTTCCTAATTAAACTTTTCAAATGTTAGTTTTTTCAAAATTTATTCAAAAGTAAATACAAATACTTATATTGAACAAATATAACTCATTTTTTATATAAATTTATTTTTGCATGCCAAAACTTTTAGAGATTCAGGTCGGCAGTTGTATGCCATCGTAAAGCAAAGATAGGTTAGCTGTTTTTATTTTTTTTAGTATTTGCTTAGATTATTATTTATAGTTATTATTACTTTAATTTTTGATTCACAATATAACATGGCTATTACATTGCTTCGAATATATACCATATCAGTTAATCAGTTTTGAAAAATGTACTACAGCAGTTTATTAACTGTAACAAAAATCACATTTATATTTGTAATATTTTTAAGTTATAATTTTAAACTAATTTGTTGATTTCCAGCAGACTTTATTTCTTTTGATCGTTTTGAATTTAATAATTTAGTGTTTATAGCTTTTAACTTATGTAAAGCTTTAATAAATTTAATCTTCTGATTTTAATGTGTAATAAATAATATAAAATATTGGAAAAAAGATAAAGTAATAAAAAAAAAAAAAAAAATTAAATAAGTAACCTTTGATAAACTTTGTCATGTTGCTTTTTTGTCTTCTATTTTTGTATTAACAGTACCCTTTATCATTAAAATTTTTATTATTATTATTTACTATTGGTTAATTTTTTTATTTACATTATATTTATAAGTTTATTTTTTGTTTAAACATCTTTTAACGGATATATTTATAAAAATGTTTTTATAAAAAACTCACAATATTGTTGTATAATTTGGTTTATTTTAAATGAAAATTTCCTATGTAATGTTTTAAAAATTATTCTTTGTGTGCAATTTAGAGTAGTAAAAAAAAAAGATCACAATCTTCAAGATTCTTTCAAGAATTTTTGTTATTACTATCAATTAAAAGTGAAGTTTAAATGGATGATATAAGACTAGAAGTGGCTATTAGTTTAGAAAATGATGGAAATGTTAATAGGCAAGTTAAAAATTATGGTCGTAGAAATGCAAGAAATAGGCTGAGGCAAGATGAAATTAATAATCAACAAAATACTAGATATGCTGCTCGGTAAGCAGCAAATACTTTGAACTGAAATGAGGAAAAAAAAAAGGGCAAGATATACGTCACTATAATCTCCCTTCACATAATGAAGTTGCAGTTTTATTTGTTGGTGAAGATGGTGCTCCACCTGCTCCCAGGGAAGTTGTTATTTTCCCAAGAGGTCATCCTCTTAAAAATTATCAAGTATGTCTGCCAAATTAGAGCCTATTGTTTGTTCTCTATTTTTCCAAGGGGTGATGCTGGTTGGCATAATCAATTGGTTCACAACCCTGAACGTTCTACAATCAAATTGGTTCACAACCCTGAACGTGCTATATTGATTAGAAATCATGTTACATTATCTCAGTATTATAGTTATAGACTTTTAGTTGGACAATTAGCCTAAACAAAAAAAAAATAGGTGAAGTGATTTTTAGTAACTTCAGATCACTTTGTTGTTATTTTTTTATTACTATTAGAAGGGTTAATAATAAAAATTTTTAGACAGTAAAACTGGTACTGATTTTTGTAAGTTTGCTATATTTTTTTAATTAATATTTTCATTAGATTTAATAGTTTTATTCTTTATTAGATATATTATTTAACATAGAAAACTGTCTGATTTGTGACAAATAAGTTTATATACACAAATGTGCCTATATCTCAGTATATTTTATATTTCTCTGTATATGAATATTTTCTTTTAAAAAATATTTATATACACATGCTCTTGAATTCCTTTTTTTTTAATTACTTTTGAGTAAAATATATTGACTGATATTGCTTCATTTTTTACACTTTTAGATTATGTATTGTTGTCTAGATTCTTTGTTAAATTACAATTTATTGATGTAAATAAATTATTATTTTTGTTTTTGATAAACAACTTTTATCAAAAATAAAAATAAAAATTTATTTACATCAATAAGGAGGCGTGAACTTCCTATAAAATGCTTATCTGCGGTGCTCTGTGATAAGACCTTAAGTACTTCTTGGAGCACCTAAAATAAAATTAAAAAAAAATTGGTTGAAATATAAAAAATGCTGCTCGGCGAGCAGAAAACTTACTTGCCAGAATTCAGTGTCAAGCCGTGTTAATGTGTGTTTATTTGATTTTATTTTAAACACTTTAAAACAATTTAAATCAAATAGTTTTAAATTTAAATGATTTTAAATTTTTTTATAAATTCAAACATAATTATGTTCTTTTTTTTTAGTTGCCTTTGTTATCACTTGATTAGTTAGCTTACTATTGAAACATGGTTTTAATTTTGTAAATTTAATGAAATGAAATTTACTCTATTAATCATTAGTTGACAGTTAAAGAGAAGCTGGAACTTTACATAATAAAGGTAAATATAATTTTGTTTACTCTTAGATAAGAGTTAAAAGAGAATTAGTACATGGAGCATCAATAAAACTTATATAATTACTTTTTAGTTAAAAAAAAAGTAATTATATAAGTTTTATTAATGCCACAATTGATAATGACCATGTATATAAAATATTTTATGAGCTGCTTGCTATTTTATGATAAAATTGTTCAATATTGTAATCAAAAAATCTTTTTAGTTCAAGTATTTTAGTTGATAAAGTATCTTAATTTGTGGTGTTATACGTTATTACTTTATTTACTATGTTAAGTTGTCTAGCCTTTATATAATCTTTTCTTTTTTAATCATTTTGGAGAGACATAGTAATGTGTGCTTACAAATATCTTATGCTATGCGCTATTGTTAATGTGTTTTGTGTTGATAGAACTGGGAACTAGAATTACAGCAATTTTTTTTAAGTCTTTAAATCTTTATTCTACCAACAATAAAATGCAAATACTACTTTTTTGTTCCTTTTTTTAGGCATTGGAAGGCTTTACTTGACTTTCTTTTTATGGTACCTGCTGTTGTAACAGATTTTAAAAAAGAACTTAACTGATGTTAGTGTAGTCTTTTTGTAGTTAACTCTAAGCAATGATTTAATTACTAATAACCCGTATTATGGGTTGCTTACTGCTAGTTTCTTAATAATCAACAAAATTAAACAGTAACTTATTTCATTATATGTCAACATTGAAAAAAAATAATAATAAGAAAACATGAAAATTACTAAATACAAATAAACCTTTAAAAAATTGCTGAAAGCAAGGACTAACAAGCATAAATTAGACAATGAGTGGATCCCGCATTGATAGGGACCTCACCCGTATTTAAGTTTTAATAAATACTGTTCTTAATTTCAATTTTTCTTCGGTATTATAAAACTTTTTCTTAAGTTGATATATTTACTGTAATTCAAGCTATAAAATAAATATGCTGTTGCTATAAGCAATAGGTAGGCGTTTAAGTCCTTAGTAACATAATTTGTGAAATAAAAAAACATTTTTAACAAAGTTTTTTTATATTTTCTTTCTTTTTTTTGCTAAAAGTAACATTTTATGTTCTTTTATAAGTTTTACATTTAGAAGTCACTTTTCCAAGAAATTATCAAAACAATATTAAACTAGGAAGCATATGAACATCAAATAAATCGATGTTTTATAAATATATCAAAATTCTGAGATTCAATTCTCTGGAGGAACCTGAAGAAGTCATGAAAAACTGCAAAAAAATATTTTACTTTCCTATTCTTAATAATATGCACCGATTCGCACCTCAGGCAAAACGAATTTAAATATTTTTTTTTTGCTATGAAAATCGCTCCAACCTACTACAGAGGGATATAAAACTTTGTTGAAAATACTTTTACAATTCTTAACTGTGTTAGTATTTTTAATACTTACACTAAAAGGTAAAAAAATATATATACCTTTTGTTGTCATTACTAAAGTTCCATCCTCTCGTCCAAATCTTCCAAATTTCAACCCAGTAACAACATCCTACAATTAATCCAAGCATAATTGTTATTATGTGTTATTTTCATATTCACATTTATTATTTGTTTATTTATTATTATTATTATTACACATGTTTTATAAAAACCTTCCAAAAACAATTCCTACTAATAAAATTGTGTTGTAATCATTCATAACATTTTTCATATGACAATCGCACATTTCAAAAATCTTTCATATTACAATCGTCCACATATAATTATTCATAATTATGTCTTCCATATAACAATTAAATCAAAAAACCACATAAAATTCTTTCAACAATGTAATTTAGCATTTTTTTACTCTTTATATCATGTCATACATATTTCCAAAAAAAAATTTTAAATATAGCCAACATTACAATAGTGATGCTGATTTAAATTATGATTTATTTATATAAAAATAAATAATAACAAAAAATTTACATTATATAGTGTCTTTAAAATTGTTCAAAAAATAAAAATAAAAAACTATGTATTCATACTTACAGGTGTATTAATTATATCACAAAGAGTTTTATCTTTATAAATATGCACTTGACAGTTCTCTAAAGCTACCATCACTATAAATAAAAAGATATGTGTGTGTATAAAATATATATATTTATATTTATTTTTAAATAAATATATATATAAATATAAATATATATATATATATGTGTGTGTGTGTGTGTGTATGTGTGTGTGTGTGTGTGTGTATATATATATACATATATGTTAAATATATGGTGTACTCCTCCTATCTTAATCCTTATACCAAAACATGAATGTGTACCAAATTTTAGATCATTTCATGTTTTGACCTCATCCTAACACATATACTTAGAGTCCAAGGTCCCATATATCAGTGAAACTTATATATATCAACCTGGTTTCAAAAGACCCAGAGATTTCAAGAAAAAATTATTTTTAATAAAAATAAACTACTTAAAATATATGTTAACTTTTGTTAAAGAAGTGCAGGTAAAAACTCAAAAATGTCTAGCATGGTACACTGAAGGAACATAATATAAGAATTTTATAACGCCTTCAGTCAACAAGATTATCAAAATTTAAGTTGAAATAAATTGAATAAGTTACTGTTACTTACCTGTTACTTTTTAATTTATTTATAAATAAGATGTTAACTGAGGCAATAATTTATATGAAAATAAATTTTCCTTATAATTGGAATGCCAAAGCATATCAAACAGATAACTAAACCAAAAAAGAGTAATATGTATTTACTAACTGTAATAAAATAATTTGCAAATATGTTTCAAATAACTTTTTTTATTTAAAATAATGAAGAGAAAGACAATTGAGTGAAGAGATGACAAAAGTACTTAAAAGAACAGTCAGTGAATTCAAATCTAATTTTGTAACAAATAAGCGAAAGATGTATGCCAGGACAAAGCATGTGACAGTTAGAGTCTTCGAAATTCCAAGAACATTAGCCATTAACACTAAAACCAAAGATCTATTAATACTGCAACATAATACTGGATTATGTGAAATTTCTGTAAGAAATTACTAGAAGATATTATTGGAACAAATTACTGGAAAAAATTACTATTTATTTATCTACTGCAACATTGTTGTTATTTACTAAGTCATTTATTTATTTTTTTAAATGTATTACTAAATATATAATGTTATTAAATATTTCTATGTATGTTTGACTACTTATGTTTCTTTAGGGTTAATTTAGCTCTCTTACTAATAAACTTCCAGATGTAATCCAGATAAAGTTTTTATTACCGAATCATGTATGACTTCTGAAAACAATAACACAACAACAATGATAATAAATTATGGTTATGTTTTGCATCAAAAATTAAGAAATGAAAGAGATAAAGAAAAAGGTGGCAGGGTAGGAATTTTATTAAAACATTAATTGAACACAAACAACTATAAAATAAACAATTTCACTCCTTTGAACATGTGAGTGTTACAATTACTGTGGCCAAACAATTACAAGTTTAATTTGCATTTATAGACTAATATCTGTTTCTCACAGAACATTTCTGGATGAATTCATGGATTTACTTGAAACAATAGAATCAACAAGTTGCACATATGATATAGCTGGTGATATAAATTACACTTAGGTACTAAAGAACTATTTAGCAAAAGCTTTAAAGAACTACTAGATGTACTAAATCTTACACAATAAGTCAAAGAACAAACTCATAAAATGGGACACATACTAGATGTAGTAATTAATAAGCCAGATGAAAAACTAGTAATTATGCTAGCTGTGAGAAACTTGGATTCACCAATATTTGCACAGCTAGATTATTGCAACTCCCTCTACTTTAGAAATGAGAAGACACTATTAAGAAAACTGCAGTCTGAACAAATTTGTGCAGCGAGACTAGTATTTAAAACCAGAATAGAAAATCAAGTACACGACCACGAATTTAACAATTTGAATAGGCTGAAAATTAAAGAAAGAATTGATTTTAAAGCCCTTTTAACAATGCACAAATCTTTTATCCTGGAAGCACCAACATCATTATGCAATTTAATTTACTTCTCAACATCAAAAAAAAACACTAAAACTAAAGGAAACAAAATGCAGTAATTGTTTTGATAATTGAGCATTATAACCACTATGGCTTTAAACTTTGGAACATTCTTCCAAATATCATTCATGACAAAAAAAACAACTATTTATAAAAAAAAACTTAAGTCATATTTAATGGTGAATGGAGCACTATTCCACCAGAAAACTCTTGAATATTAAAATTAAATTTTAAGTAATATAATAATTTGTTGCACAGCTGAGCAAGTGTTTTGCTAACTTATCCATTATTCTGGCAAAACACAATAGCTGTGTGTAAACATTTGTATTTATTTGATTAGCATAATACATTTTTCAAAAAAGTTCCTAAATTTGATTCAAATATTCTGGAAGATCAATTGTGCAAGTGTATATGTATGATAAGTTTGAAAGTAAATATTTTAAGAAATCATTTATATCATGATCAAATCACAAAACGGATTTCAGTAAATATTAAACCAACTTCAGTAAGTATTAAACCAGCTTCAGTAAATAAACCAGCTTCAGTAAATAATAAACCAGCTTCAGTAAATATTAAAAATCTCTTGAACTAATTATAATCAAATTTGGTTTGATATTACTATGTTGTTGTCATCACCAATTCATATTACATTTGGACAACTTAACTCACCAACTACCAAAAAATTTGTGGAAGCTCTTAGATCCTCTTTATTACATAGTTTGATTAATACAATTTTAATTTTACATATCCTAACATTCATCCATTCATCCTAACATTCATCCATTCATCCTAACATTCATCCATTGATTCGTAGCAAAAGTATTTCAACTAACTACGTCTGAAAATATATTTCATTGAAGTTAAAAAAATGTCTGGCACCATATTAACATCTGTGCTAAACAGATTTTTTATTGGTAGATGAACCATTTTATTTATAACTACATAGCTTTTTTTAAAGATTTCTGTATATTTTAATGATACTTGTGATTAGTTAAATCAACAGTTTTTGTTGTCAATACTTATAAATGATGATATTCAAAGTGTTAACACATACAAAATATAAATATCTTATATACATTTTATAGAATTTTACTTTTGTTGAGTAAAAAAAAAAAAATTATTTTTCTACAAACTGTTAAATCTGTAGCCCAATTTTTTTGTAGTTTTCTTAAGTTCTTTTTGACTAAGAATTAATTAAAGAATTGATAACTTCACCATTAATTACAACAATAACAAAAACAATTGATTTTAAAACCACTCACAGGCTCGATACCCTCTAGCTTTATGATTCAGTACACTTATTGTTGTTACAAGTGCTGGAAGATGAATGGTCCATAACTTTTTACTCTAGAACAAATCAAAATATAACATATATAAAATTAATAAAATGTTATATAAAAAAGGGAAACAGAAATAACATAAACAACTAAAAAATAAAGAAAGTAATTAATCTATGATAATATATATAATCTATGATAATATATGTGGATAATGCAATTTACTGAAGGAATAAGATTGATTAAATTGACAGATTGGTTGATAGACTTAATAAAACCTAACAAGACACTTAAATAGATGTAACAATTAAAAATGTAATGCAATTTGTAAAAAAATCCATATAAGCAAAACTTTTATATAGATTATTATTTCTTTTAAGCAGAAAATTTCCCCTGCCTATAATTTCCTGTCTCTGTCAATATTGTCTAGAAGCTTTCTGTTTCTAGACAATATTATATAAGAATAAAAACAGGTTAACAGCAGCACCCTGCTAGGCTTAGTCATAGAAATACATGTAAATGTAATTTTGTATCTTATCTAAAAGAGAGAGGGTCTCATTAGAAGTACCAGCCTAAAATTGACAAGACTAGCATTTAAGGACAAAATCAGAGATTTATAAATGTAGAGAATTGAATCAAGAGTAAAAAATTGCAAGCAGGAAAAAAAATTGGCTTCCATACAGTGCAAAAAAGCATCTTTCTGTTATAATCATTATTCAGCAGTAGGATGAGAGAATTACAATTTGTATAGATTGTCAGACAGTTGATTGTTAGACTGAAATTGAGATATTAGAAATTTCTAATTTTATATATTTATGACTTTGCTTATAATAGTAAGTAGACTGATTGTAGTTAGAGGAGGCAGAGAGTTTTTTAAAACTGAAACTGCAGATATCATTTTTCAGCAGGCAGGAAAATAAGATTTAGTAAAGAAATAGTTAAATAACTCCAAGAATAACAGGGTTATGGAGAACACTTTTGTAAGACTGCAACAGATTTGTTGTCCAGACAACAAATTGTAGAGACATAAGAGAGAAATAACTTAAATAAAAAAAGCAGGAACTAGATGTCTAACAATTGTTTAACCTTTACCTTGGGAATGACAGGAAGAGTATGGTATCTTCCTGTCATCCCAAAAGAAAAAAAGTTCTTTGCAAATAGTTTTGTCTTATTCTTGGGAGAGGTAGTAAGATCAGAACCATTTATGAAAGATGGAATGTTAAACTTGCCTTGGTTAGGGACAATTTTAAAAACCTTATAAAAGTCCTTAGAACCTAACAGAGATAAAACACAAGATTTTGATAATCTGTAAATGGCCCAAGCTCTAAACAGTAATGATTAGAAACAGCAAATGCACAAGAAGAAAACCATAGGATAGAGGAAGTTATGAATTGAAAAGCCTGGCTTCTATGCCTGGCTGAATACAGGAGATTATAAAGGATTATAAAATTTTGGTAGATAGACAAAAAATGTCAGCCCAAGAACCAGCATGAGGAAAATCACAAAAAATCCCAGTCAGTATTAAGCTAGTAGAAAGAAGTGCAATAATATAGTGATGTAAAAGAAAACAATTAGAGAGTTAAAGTCATTTATAGACAAAATGAAACAATAAAACAGACAGTATGATATGCTTTTGTAGAAATCAAGTTACAAAAATTCAACTACAGCAGCTACCTTATTAGAGAAACAAGTAACTGTGTTATCCACACACGCCAATGCTATATTTTTACCAACTCTTTCCAATCCTACAATAGGTGACTGCATTTCAATACACAGCTTGGCTTCACTTTGACCTCTATAAACAAAAAGAAAAATTTTATAAAAATTAAAAAAAAGAATTAAATAAATATATGCAAACAAAAAACAAATTAAAAAAATAATAAAAGCATATAACACATGTAAAATTAACACTAAGAAATGTGTCACAAACATAAAAAAAAACTGTAAAAAAAGACTTTTATTTCTTATTTAAATAAAAAAATACTAAATATATACTTTTTGAGACTATATACTTTAGCATTACGACAAGCTATAAGAATGCGGTAATCAACATCGAACAATCCAGTAACTGCAAGAAATACTGGAACACTTGAAACAGTCATCTAAAAAAAATTTCAAACAAAACTTATAAAACAATAATATAGCAACTTGATAATCTTAATAAAACAGATTTTTTTTAAATTTAGTTTTCTTTACATATATACTTTTTATTTGCAACTCTCTCTCAAAATTTGGCAACAAAATGAGACAGTAAATAAATGCTCAGGGGAGCACATTCGTCAAAATGAGACCCTGTACATGTGTGTATACTGTCTATGACATGCACACATAGATGTAAGTATACATAAAAACACATATAAATAAATAGACTCTTGCATGGTTGTCGAAAAGTTTTACCATATTTTGTTGACATAAAAAAAAAAAAAAAATGCCGGAATTTTTTTTTTTAATTACTTGATAGACTGCCTGCCCCAACCAAACCAGTCAGGCTATTTGTCAGTCAATGTAGCAGCACTCATGTTGTGAGTCAGGCTATTTGTCAGTCAATGTAGCAGCACTCACGTTGTGAGTCAGGCTACAGGATAGTCAATGTAGCAGCACTCCGTTGCGAATCAGGCTATAAGATAGTCGATGTAACAGCACTTTCTTGTAGCAGCAGGCTATAAGATAGTCGATGTAGCAACACTCCACGCATAATTTACAGTAAAAAAAAATAAAAATAAAAAAAATTGTTTATATTTTGAAAAATATTCAGAATGTTTTAAAAACATTCACACTTAACACTCACAAAATTAACACCCTAGTTGATTAAATTTGTGTTTTAGCGGTTTTTTAAAAAAATGAATATTTTAATTTCCAATTAAGTTTATGGTTTTAACTTTATGACAACAAGGAAATGTTCGATGAAAATCAAAAGTAATTAAAGTGACATATTTGTTGTCAAAAGAATCATTTTTTACCTTCTGTAATCTCAAAGCCAACAATATATGTATATATATATATATATATATATATATATATATATATATATATATATATATATATATATATATATATATATATATATATATATATATATATATATATATATATATATATATATATATATATATATATATATATATATATTATGTATATATATATATATATATATGTATATATATATATATATATATATATATATATATATATATATATATATATATATATATATATATATATATATATATATATATATATATATATATATATATATATATATATATATATATATATATATATATATATATATATATATATATATATATATTTATAAGCAGCAATATTTATTGAACTTTAACCATTTTATGATATAACAAAAAAAATTGTTTTTTTTTTGTTATATCATAAAATGGTTAAAGTTCAATAAATATTGCTGCTTATATATATATTATATATTATAGTGTTTAACTTGTTTCTTCATGTATCCATATAGTCGTATAATGTGTACATGTTTCTTTATTCATATGGTCTTGTTTATCAAGATTTGTGGCTAAGAGTTATAGAGTTATAAGAAAAATTAACTAAATTGAGTCTTTAACTGGCTTGTGGACCAATATGCAAAAAGAAAAAACATACCAAAATCAGTATATCTCTAACAAATAGGCAAAAAAGACTTTTAAAAATTTAGCAATTTAAGTTGAAAAGGTTACTACTCCATGGTTTATGATTATATTATATAACTATTGCATTTGTTTGCAATAAATTTATGACTGTATTTTACCAAACAAGAATTTTGCTTGATTTGATTTTATGGTGTTAATTACAACATAACAAACACATAAAAAAATTTCAATAATTTAAATAAATTTTAAAAACTTTTAATATCAAAAACTAGAAACCTTTTCTAAAATAGTGAAAGCTTCTGTGTCAAGAATGAATAAATCTTGATTTTCCGAAGCTACAACAAGACAACTGATGCCAATCTCTTCACTTGCACTCTTCGTTAGTGACTTCATACAAGTTATAATAGACTGTTTAAAAAGTAAAAAGATTTAATATATGTATGTATGCGTGTATATATATATATATATATATATATATATATATATATATATATATATATATATATATATATATATATATATATATATATATATATATATATATATATTATTCACCAAACCTTCCCAGGAAAAGCGTGCGGTTTTTCGTCTCGTATGACCACACGCGATTGTAATATTTTAGAAAACGTGAACACGGTTGCTTGCAAGTTTTATAATAATGCTGAAAAAGTTTCAAAAAACAAAAAAACAAAACTAACAAAATAAAAAAGAAATTGAAATAGAAAAAAATAACAAATTAATAATTTAAATAATTTGTGTACTATTTTTATATTTGTTTCTTTAGAGTTACATTCAGCAACAAAATTAGATAAGGCGAAGCAAAAAAAAAAACAATTTGAAGTCTACAATAAAAAGAATAATTTTCCTTTTCTTAATTTTTTTTCAGACGATAGCAAAAATACAAATTGCAATGTGTTTGTAAAATTTATTTGTATAATTTTAATGTAACAACAAGGGTTGAATTAAGCGAATGCAAAACGCAAAATCTGGAAAAATATCTAGTATTCAAAATTTTAATTTATACAAAACTGTGTTCCTTGTTTGTAAGGGGAGAATCAACTTAAATTTGTAAGCGAAAAAATAAAAAATAAAACAATAAACTTACGATTACAAAAGTAATAACACTCTAGTCACTAACTGCATTACAAAAGTAATAACACTATAATAGTGTTATCACTTTTATAACGCACTTATAACTTTTAAAATTCATTCTTTGTTCAAGCAACATCAGTATTCCCAAATTTTAATTGAAGTAGAAAAATATCTAGAAGAATAAAGTGGATGTTCAATTAATATTAAAACTAAAGTAACTTATAAAATCGTGACAAACAACTTTATGAAAACGTATCATATTAAAAATTTTGCATTGTGAAAAACGTTACTAATAGACCGTAAAAACGCGCGTTAATTTTAAAATTAACTAATAAAAATTTTTCATTGGTTGATTTTAAAATTAAAATCAACCAATGAAAAATTTTTATGTTTTTATGTAACGTTTTTCATAATGCTATACTTTTTATAAAGTACTTTTTTATAACGTTGTTTAAGTAATATGTGAAAGTTCCTGAAATTTTTAATAATATTTGAATATTCGCTTTATTTTTTCTAGATGCTTTTCTACTTTAATAAATGTTTGGAATTAATAATGTTGTTTGAACAAAGAATGAACTTTAAAAGTAATAAGTGCTTTATAAATGTAATAACACTATTATAGTTTTATTACTTTTATAATGCAGTTAGTGACTAAAGTGTTAATACTTTTGTAGTCCTAAGTTTATTGTTTTTGTTTTGTTTTTTGTAACTTTCTCGCTAGCAAGTTTTTAATAATTTGCTCCTTATAAACAAAGTACACAGCTTTGCATGAACTAATATTTTAAAGATCTAATATTTTACCAGAGTTTGCAAACGCGATCGTATAATTTAACTCTTGATATAAACTTGTTACATTATAATTATACAATATATTTTACAAACAGATGATGATACATATTTTCTCTTTCCTCTTTAAAAGAAAAAACACATAAAATATGGGAAAGTCATCCTTTTTAACACCTAAAACTATTTTTTTTTTTTTTTTTTAATAACCACAAAAAAAAAATCAAAAATAAAAACAACACACAAAATATTTAAACTATTATTATTGTTTTCTATTTAAGTTTACTTTAATTTCATATGCAGTTATTAAATTTAAAACAATTTTTCAGTAACGAATATAATATAACTTGCACAAACAGCCGTGATCACATTCTCTAACTTGAAAGACGTCTTCGTGGTCGTACGAGAAAAAAAAACCGCACGCCTTTCCTGGGAAGGCTTGCTTCACCATTTGAAATTTACTGCCAGCACACAAAAAGCGCTGGCCAGACAGTAATTATTTTTCTGGCGTGAGATTTTAAAATATATCTATATATATTTTAAAAGAGGTTGTCATTATACTAAATAGATATTCACAAGTACGAAATCTAAAGTAGACATTTAAATAACTATTAGTTAATAATAATACTAATATATATTAGTATTATTATAAATATATTTATTGAAGCTAAATACTAAAAATAATATGATAATAAGTAAAAGTAACAAAGATAGTGTAATAAAGATAGTAGCAACAAAACAATATTAAAATAATATCTACATCAAATATAATAATAACAAATAAATAATAATAATTCAAAATGAGCCCGACATTTTACAAACAATATCTCTTACAAATGAGCAAAAAGAAAAAACTTTAAATGGTGTAAGAGAGGTTAGTTATTTAAAATAAATTATATTATGATTCCAAACAAATAGACAATTGAATAGATCTAATCAACGAATTTTCATATCTTCTTTGACCAGAAGATATGGAAATTTGTTGATTAGATTGCATTTAGCATGTACCTAAAACAATCACATTAAATCATTAGTTATTACTTTATTGCAGAACATGATAATTAACTGCAATGTAAAAATATAAGTAAAAAATAAAACATAAAGAAAAAAATCTTGTCTTTTTTTTTCCCCTTTTTCTTTGATTTTTTGTTTGCTTTAAATTAATTTATAAGATTTTTAATCATTTATTTATAAGAGAAGTATATATTTTTTAATTTGTGTTGCACTTAACTTTATTGATTTAGGTCAGTCCATTTTGTTAGGTCAGTCCATTTTGTTTTGTTTTGTTTTTGTTATATTACTTTTGATTTGTCAGTCCATTTTGTTCGTCTAAAAAATATTTTGTACATTTGATTTTTAAAATTCTGAAGTCAGTTCTTCCCAAATATATTTTGTACATTTGAGTTTGAGAATTCTGACTATAAACTAGATTTTTTTACATAAAGGAGAAAAAATGAAAAACATATATTCAATTTCTATAAACTTTGTTTGTCAAGGTGCCTGTTTTGGAGTTATAGAGCTAAGAGTAATCACAACTAAAAGCAGTCTTCTTGACTGTAGTGGCTTTCATGGCCTTGGGGAGGTGAATTAAAATAAAATAAAAATTAGTTTATGAAATTAATGGTGGAAAAAGTAACTTCTATATTTCAGTAAAACTTAATAATATTATTTTAAAATTCAAACTTAAATGAAGTATGTTGCCATTATTTTGAATATACACCATTATCTGCACATTAGTGGAAAAAAATTGAGCATCTAGAGATTCAAACAAATCACTTGTATAAGTGAAAAAATTTTATTGAATTAATTGCTCAACTTGATCTGTTTTTTAAAAATACTTCACACCTCTATAAAACACTTCACACCTCTATAAAACAGTTTGTAAAAGGTTATTTAATTGATGGTAAAAAAAGTCCTACAAGCTACTGTGGCAGATCTGAAAAAATCAAATGATTAGACTATTTTTGTTAATTCCATTCCTGATGTATTGAATATGGAACTTTAGTTCTAAGTTATATAGAAAGACTCTTACACTTAATAAATATTGAGAACCACACTGGATTAGATTTAGCACAAATGTCAATTTTTAGTAAATAAAGCTGGATTAAACTTTTTAGAATAATGTACAGTACAATAATGCTTTAAACTTGATTGGAAAAAACACAGATAATAAGAACATTAAAAAAACAACAGAAAACAAAAGTTTTACCATGTGCAGGTCATAGAATCTGTTTTGGAATATAGCACAGAAGATTTGCTTTCTTTTTTTATGAGCAGAAGAAAAAATGTTCACCAAAAATCTGTCTTATTATGTCATGATAATAAAGAGTGATTACAGGGTTACCGCTATTAAAACTGAGACTAAAATTAAGGATTTTAAGTAGATTTAAGGAGATATTTTCCTAATATTTAAGGAGATTTGGTCGCGAACAACAATTTTTTGAAAGAAAAAGTAAGGAGAATTAAGCAGAAAATGATTACATTAAAAACAGAATCTTATTTTTTTCAATAAATTTTAAATATATACAGAGAAATTATTATAAACTAATATATTACTTTATATATATATATATATATATATATATATATATAAAATATATATAATAAAAATAAAGGTTTGCAAACTATCAAAGAATACATTTTCTTCTTTACTAATAAGAATAATCCATTCACTTTAATAAAATTTCCTAGATGAATAAAAAAAAATATCAATAAGGAGAAATTATAGAGAGCAGTAAAATTTTGACTTTTTTTAAGGCTAAAACATCAGTAGGAGAAGGGACATAAAGTATTCTTTTTAAAATGGAGGTATTTGAGTTGGCACTAATAACAGTGTTTTAGAATATAACTTTAGATAAAATGAATGCAATAAGCAAAAATTTCCAAGATTTAAAAAAAATTTAGATAAGTGCTGCTGTTCATTACTGTCATTTGCTGATTATGTTCTAACAGATCACTACAATGTTATTGAAGAAGAAGCTAAGTTTTTTTTTTTCATAGTGTTTACTACACGCTAAGAAAACAAGACCTGAACCAAATAAGAATGCATTGAGCCTAAAAAAAAATTTAAAAAAATATGCTTTCCTTAAAATTTTGGTCACTTTATATTCACATTTAAAAAAAGAGATTTCATATTAAAAGAAACTTTTTGAATTTTTGATTGATACTAAAATTTGCTACAAGAAAGAAAAGTGTTGAAGAAATCTTTAAATAATATCATGAAGATTACATTATTTAGTGTTAGTTATGCAAATATAAAATCTCAAAAAATATAATTATCATGAAACCATTTTCACATTAACTTTAATCACTCTAATTTATATATAAACAAATTAAAGAAAAAACATGGACATTCATTGGACCAATTTGTAACAACTTTTGTTATTAATTGTTCCAGAACTTGTTCCAAAACTAAAATTATTTAAAAGCTATTTAAGGTCAACAATGATACAAGATATTTTGAACAATTCTTCTATATTATTCAGTAAAGTTGCTATATTAAAATCTCTAAACAGATTTTTTGATTCATGAGTTTTCAAGAGAAGATTGTATAACAAATTAGTTTTTAATTCAAATACTTACTAAAAAATATGTATCTATATTTAATCAATAAACTTTCAAGTAAAATACAATAAAAACCCAAAACTCTTTGCAAACTTTATTTTCTCCAATATGAAATTACACAAACATTTACACAATTATTTAGATGTAAAAACCTTCAAAGATTTAAGCCAAACTTAGATATTAAGTGAATAAAATTTTTCAAGAGCCCTGAAACTTGGCTTGGCTTTAACTGTTAATTAGTTAGAAATTATTACAAATTAACATTTAAATTCCACTATTAATTTCCTTTAATCAGTTTAAATATTGAAAATGCAAAACAAATGTTACTATAGATTAATAAAGATTTAGAGAAACCAGATTTTTTTATTGATTTGAAAGTTCTTTAATTTAACCAAAATAATAAATGTCTTGCTTCCAACAACTACAAATTCTGCACATCTATAGGCGAATGTTTTAAATCAAGACCTGATATATATTAAGGTAATAATAAATAAAAAAAAGCCCCATATGCCGTGTTGAAAGGACGTGAATAAAATAGATTTAAAAAATCAGGAGGTGGGTGTGTGTGTGTGTGGTTAAAGAAACAATTTTTGCAATTACAGTGAGAAATCCATATCTTAGTTTTACTTAATGCAAACACAATTCAAAAGTTTATTTTCATGTTATTTTTAGCATTTTTACTAATACAATCCTTAAATATAGATAATTAAAAAAAAAATAAGAACATAGCCTGCTTCAATTAATTTCGGCCTTTTTTCAGTAAACACAGAAAATATTGAAAAAAAAAAAAAAAAAACGGTTATGCTCCTTTTGGTTCAAATTGGGAAAACAATGCAATTATATTTTGAATTAAGAAAACAATTTCAAATCTTTTGAGAACATTTTCAATCAAGTTTTAAGCTTTGAGTTAAAATTCAAAATTTTTACTCCACTTATCATGATTTAACAAAACTTTGTTGATTTTTGTTAAATCCTGATACAATGGAGTACATTTTTGTTAAATCCTGATAAAATGGAGTACATTTTTGTTAAATCTTGATACAATGGAGTACATTTTTGTTAAATCCTGATACAATGGAGTACATTTTTGTTAAATCCTGATACAATGGAGTACATTTTTGTTAAATCCTGATACAATGGAGTACATTTTTGTTAAATCCTGATACAATGGAGTACATTTGCAACTGATCAAAGAACTTTTTTTTTAAACAATTTATGTAACAAAAATATAAAGATTGACAGTATAACATAAAGCGGGTGATAGACATCATAATATCATTATAAATTTTTTTTTTACCCTGTCATCAAGTCCTGTCACTTGTAGGACTTGATGAGGTTTAAATCTGCCTCTGAATACGCAAATAAAACAAATGAAGAAACTGTTAATGCTATAAAAGATTATAAAATAAACAAAGAGAAACCTGTCGCTTGAGAGGTGCGAATTTATGTACGGCGGCAAAAGATTCCGCTTCCTCTAGTGGAAGCTGTAAAAATCTAAAATTGAATTGAAATGTTAATTAATTGAAGTTTTAAACCAAAAAAAAATTAAAATTAAAATTAGAAAATTACTTGAGTGAACGAACAGTAAGTGCTGAAACACCATTTTCTTCTCTAAAAAGTAGGTAACTAATATATTAAAAAAATTTTTTATTATTTAATTATTTTTTGAACCTTTATATATATATATATATATATATATATATATATATATATATATATATATATATATATATATATACATATATATATATATATATATATATATACACATACACACATAGAAAATCCGGAATATATTCCCTTATTTTCCTCCTAATTTTTCAAACTTTTCTTAATTTTTGTATGAGTGATGAGTAAAAAACAAATATATTACAAAAATATACAACAAAAGTTGTATGTATGAAAAATGTTTTGGATATCTGGAAAAACTTAAAGTTGAAAAAAGTATCTAGGATTCTGGAAATATCCTGAAAAAGATAACACATGTATATATATATATATATATATATATATATATATATATATATATTAGGGCGCAATAAATCATTTTTTTTAAAAGAATGTTGACATTTGTATCTTTATTTATTGACAAACGTCTCTTTTCAAATAATTTTTATTCTAGTTAATAAGTTAATAGATATATCAAAAATGTTTATTGAATTTAATCAATTTTTATTTTTTCAAAATAATTTTTTATGTAGTTACAAAGCATATGCAAATTAATGATAATTAATATGCAATGACCTGATGATTGCTAATTATTATCCATTGATACTAAATAGTAAATTGTTCTCAATTTAGTTTGTTAAATTTATTTACTAATAAAAAAACGTTTAAGAAAGAAGAAATCAAAGGAACTAAAAGTTTTTTTCTTTTTTAAAATAATAATACCATATTAAGTATTTAATAATAAGTTAATAAAAAAAACATTTTATTGGTGTTGTTAAACCCACAATAAAAAATGAAAACTATAATAAACATATTCTACATATTCTATTAGATTATATATATTTCAGCAAAACTTGAAAACTTTTTTAGAAACTTTCAATTTGTGTTTTTAATATGCAAACAAACATTACTTCACTTTAAGGTAAATAAAATTTTTTTTAAAAAAAGCACACTATAGAAGAAAGTAAACATGTTTTTGCATGGTTTCTTTCAAAGTTTTTAAAATGCGTTTTAAATTTTAGTAACTTTTTTTAAACATGTTTTTTTATAATAAATAAAAAACTATTAATTGCATAATTATTTGGAAATTGCTAAAGTAATGCATTCGTTTTGAAAAATTTTAAGCAAACACCAACAATTCATAAGTAAAAGGAAAGAAACCTGATATTATTTTACAGTCTTTTTTTTAACAAACATTTGCACATTCGTCCATTTGTTGCGCCCTGTAAATGTTGTATATATATGTATTATATATTATAAATATATATCAAGTTTAAATAATTATAAACCTCAAATTATACAACATTTCTCGAAGAACATGCACATCAATTTTGTCCTAAATAGAAACATAAAAAATTTACACATCAATAATGTGTTGCCGCAACTGAGTTGCTGGGTTAAAAAAAATTAAATTATAATTAAAATAGATTGCTGTTATAAAAAAATAGATATTTTTTTATTTATGAAAAAATTGTACTTTTGCAAGAGTAAATTGTTCCTGTGAATTTTGATTTGGTTTGATAAAAATTATAAAAATAATAAAATTGGTAAAGTAGGTAAAACTACATAAAAAATGGACCATCAATGACTGTATATGTGAACCAACGCATTAAGGTTTTAAATGTTTAGTTTTAAGAGAAGATTATTTGTCTGAAGAAAAGTGGTTGAATGAGGATAAAACTGTGTTTTATTGACTGTAAAAAAAATGGTGGATGCAATGTTATATTGTGGCATTGTTTTGGTAGGAGTGCTAAAGGTGACAATGTAAAAATAGAGGAAATAATGACAAAAGTTATTGAATAGATTGATTTAACCTTCCGATCACTAGATCTCTTTTCTATCAAATTTTTATGGGATGAATTAAAAGTAATTTAGTAAATTTTTAGCTTTAAAAAACCATAAACTTATTACTAAACTTAATAGCTGTTATTTAATAAAAAATATTTCTATTGATCTTGAATTATGATATGAAATCTTATTATAAAACCATATTATTACTATTATTTTTATCATTATTAAAAAATATTTAAACTTTAATAATTTAATTTATTTTATAAATCATTAGATAAAACTAGAAAAATAAAGCATGATAAAGTACAATATAATTATTAAAAATCAACCGCTAAAGGAATTTAGCGGTGATCAAATATTTTAAATTTAAAAAATCGTGAAATAATAAAATACTTTTATAACTTTTTAAAATCTTATTCAATATTTTCCTAATCTCGAAACTCTCTTGCAGATATATAAAATGTATATAAAATTAAAGACAGAGGAGTTTAAAAATATATAAAAACTTTACACTTTTAATAGTTATTTTGAAACAAAACAAAAAATGACTTATTTTAGAATATATCTTTTTTATTATTACTTTTATTATCAATTAATTAATTTCTAACTTGAAACATTTAAATTTTGGAATAAATAACTCTTCAAACTTTCCCCCTAAACAAAAACCGATTTTAATGTTTCATACAATGTGCAAATAGCTTTAGCATAATTTTTTATTAGTTGCTTTTTTAATTATCGCGCAACTTTTTTACCTTTATTTTGGAACATTTTTGTTTATAATCCTTAATTTACCTGGTGTTTAAAAAAACAATAATCAAAAAAATATGTAAGTTTTCAACATCATTATTTTTGTAGTAATAAATGTATTGTTTTGTTTTTTCATTAATTTTTGCAATATGATATATTGATCGTTTCATTAAAAGAGTGTTTATGGTTTTTAATAAACGGAGTATTCAATGACCAGAAATATTTCCAGATATTGCAATTGACGATTACTTAATTTGAGCTTTGCTAATGACGCAAAAGATGTGGAAAAAACTTATTAGTGAGTGACATAAAATTGACTTTGGCAAATTGGATAAATCATTAAGTAGAATGACAAGAATATGCATGATGGTTATTGTCGCTAAGGATGATTAGTAGGCAAGTAAATTATAAACTAATCTAATGGGACTTTTATGTAAACTTAATAAATAGCAATTTATTAATTTACATAAATAATTCAGATAAGTTTTGTCTTCAATTTTTCCCCCAAAAGGTAAGTATACTTTGATATTTTATATCCAATAGTATTGGTCATACTTTCAAATAATTATGACAGTAGTGTATATATAACTGCTTTATAATATATAAAGCTTTAACTTCCCTAGGATTAAAATCTTTCTTCATGAATGCACTTCAAATATGGAATGGATTGTCTATAAACACATGTAACTCAACTACTTTAGAAACATTTAAAAAAATAATAAAATTTTAAAAAATCTTTTATTAAAATTTTAAATTTTAAAATTAAAAAAAAATAAAAAAAAAAAACATTTTATAGACGGTTTCTTAAACTGAATCTCAGTGCTTCTGACTTCATCGCTATTGTGATTGATGTAAATGATGTAAATGATGGCATTTTGATCTTTAATTACTATTATTATATTTTATTATAATTATAATAATTATAAATTGTATTATAACTTTATAATAAACAACTAATTTTTGATAAATTTTATTATAATTATAAGAAAGAAAAAAATGAATCTTACTTCTTTAGCTTGATTCCATATATCATTTTCCATCGGACTAACCTAAATAGATATATTAATATATTTATTAAGTTACTATTAAATATAAGCTGTTAATGGACACGTAAACTGAGGTAATGAAACTTCATTAGAAAAAATGTAGGAAATGTGGAACAACTTTATCAATAAACTTAACGATAACAATGTTACAATTTTTAAATTATATTTTATTTAAAATATAACTTAAATAATTAGATTTTTAATTTAAATTTTTTCTTAAAAACACTTTTTTGACAAAAAAAAAAATGGATAAATATTTTAACTACTTAGCTTTTCTTCTGTCAAAAGAATGATTAAGAAGTGCAAAAATATTCAAAAAAAAGAAAAATTTTCAAAGCAGGTTAGAACAGCTATGAATCATCAATGGTAATAACTAAGGTTTAGAAGCAGCTTAGAACAGCTATGAATCATAAATGGTAATAACTAAGGTTTAGAAGCAGGTTAAAACAGCTATGAATCATCAATGGTAATAATTAAGGTTTAGAAGCAGGTTAGAACAGCTATGAATCATCAATGGTAATAACTAAGGTTTAGAAGCAGGTTAGAACAGCTATGAATCATCAATGGTAATAACTAAGGTTTAGAAGCAGGTTAGAACAGCTATGAATCATCAATGGTAATAACTAAGGTTTAGGAATTTTTTTATTAAAATTGCTTTTGTAACAGATAAAATTTTTCTCATCAATTTCAATGCTATAAGAACTAATCTTATCATCAATTTTAATGTTATAAGAATTGATCTCTTTATCAATTTCAATGTTATAAGGATTGATCTCTTCATCTATTTCAATGTTATAAGAATTGATCAAACAAAAATTATGTAAAACTATTCAAACATCTATAAATAGAATAAAAAAAAAAAAAAACTTGAAAAGAAAAAAATTTGAAAAACTAATCTTACAATTCAAAAGATTTTTCAATTAAAAAATATATTTATAAACTTTTGTTAAAACAAAACGGATAAAACCAAAAAAAATTAATTTCTTTTTTTAAAGTGAATATTCATGGTAATTATTTTTGTGGCATATGCTGGTGCCACTATGTCTGCAAAATAGTGTATTTTTATTGTTATTTAGTCAAATTGTTTGTATCTGAGATACAAGCAACTGTTTTTAAAGAACTAATAAATGACACAATCAAAATTCACAATGAGCAGTCCAAAAACCTAAAAACTAGCATTCAATTTTCACAACAAAATTTGATGGCACATAATGTACAATGCTTTTATAATTATCTATTAGAAGGCCCGCAATGTGCAATGCTTTTATAATTATCTAATTGGACCTTCTTTCAAAACAGTTTTACTATTTTGTTTTAGAACCTTTTAAGTATGAACCTTTTAAGTAACCTTATAACCTTTTTAAGTGAAGTCATTACCTCATTATAAAGATTAAGTTCAATTCTTTTTTAGCAATGTCTTTCTGATTTTCAGTATATGAATCAATTTACTCATAAAATTCTTTATAAAAATAATGTTGCAGCCTTCTGCACTTTTTTTCATAATGGTGGCTTTTTCACAATCAATATAACATCAGGCAGTGAGCATGTTGTAAACTATTGTGAAATAGTTGTCATATGACAATAGGCAGTTGTCATAATATGATAGTTTCATAATAAGACAGCTGATCTTATCAGCTATTTTATTTATTATTTTTTGTTTTAAATGTTTCTGATTTTTTCAGAAACATTTAGAACAAAAAATAACAAATAAGATAAAACAGATTCCATCGCTAATAAAAATTAATTAAGGAATAAAAAATATATAATTATAAGTTAAATAAAATTACATATTAACTGAAAATAAACAAAACACCATACCTCAATTAATGGGAGAGAAAACTTGAAATAAGGACGCAAGTTTTTATAGATATATACAAATGGTCCTGAAGCAACAGCAATCGCTAAAAAAAAAAATAAACTATTTGGTAAAATTATAATGAAAATTTATGTTGCTTGAGTTTTAGTTCAAGAAAAATTTTTAATTTAATTTTTTCTTCTTGATCATTTTAAACTTTTAAAGTTTTTAAAACTGTTACCATTCAAACATATTTTAAGACTCCTTTTAAGACATATGGATGGTTTAAAACAACATTTTAAGAAGCAAAACTACAATTTGAAAAAATAAATTTAAAAAAATTTTAAATTTTAAAACTTTTTTTTGAAATGTTGAAATGTTTTGTAAAACTTTTAATAGAGTGTTATTAAAGACTTGAATGAAAAATGTTTCCTTCATTAAATAGATTAATGAGTAAAACTGACAACCTGTTAAAATAATTTAGTGGGCTTAGTTTGGCAGGGATAGTGGCTGAACTTGTTAAAGGACTTCTGTGACATAGGTCCTGGATGCGAGGACCAATAAATTTCATAATTACTCTAAGTAAGTTCTAAAAAAATAAAAAATAATTTAATAAAATATAAACATATAGTTGTAGTAAGATTAACATATAAACATATAGTTGTAGTAAAATTTTTTAGAAGCATTTTTAAAACTGAACTTTTAGGACATTCTATTGTTCTAAAAAAGGTAGCTAGGATTTAAGTAACTTCTTTTTTTTTTAAAGCATTAAAAAAATTTTTTTAGAACTGCTTTAAAAAAATTTTTTTTATCAATATGTGTTATCTCAGGAATGCTGGTGGCTGAGAAGTTGAAGACTTTAAGAAAGGATTTGTAGCGGAGATATAGTCCCACTATGATGTTCGCACCATGGAATATAATTGCTTGACAAGGTAATTATGATCTTATTAAGAATTGCCAAAATGTAAAAAGCAGTGTATTTATCAATAACATGCAGTTTGGTTTTAGGCCTGGAAATAACAGATGCAATATTTATTGTAAAGCAAACTCAAGAAAGATTCTTGGAAATAAAAATAGATCTGTGGATGATAAATAAATGTAGATTATATCCAAAGCCTTGAAAAAAGAAAAAAGATGATGGTCAGATAAAAGTATAGTGTGATGATGATGATGATGATGATGATTATGATGATGATGATGATGATGATGATGATGATGATGATGATGATGATGATGATGATGATGATGATGATGATGATGATGATGATGATGATAATGATGATGATAATGATGATGATGAGGATGATGATGATGATGATGGTATAGAGCATTACTTTTTTTTAGTTTGGATATTGGCCTAGTGCAAATTAAATAAACAGCAAATGTTATTTAAAATTACTTTAGAGAGCATTGTTTTTCAGATTTATTATGAATCTGGTGACAACTAAATAACAGTAGATGTTATTTAAAAACTGTTAACTTTGTAGAGAGTTTTTGCTTTTGTAATAGAATTATGGGCCAGGTGGTATTAAAATAAACAGCACACAAAAACTTGAAGTTTATGGCTTAAGAAAATAAACTTATTTAAGTACTGCTTTGAAAGTATTCATTAAAACTCCATCCATGTTAAATATCAAAGCATTCATTGAATAAAAATATTCACAGAACTAGAAGGTAGGCATAAAACCAGTTCCAATTCTTTATAAATGTACATTTACCCAGTTATATGGTTCTGATTTTTAGAAACAAAAAGTTATCTGATGCCTTTAAATAAACTCAATTTAAATGAATTTTAATAACAAGGACTTACAAATTAAATTTTAAAGTTTATAAATAAACTTGAAAGATAATTTTGAATTTGAAACTTTATAATTTAAACAATGTAAAAGCTGAATTGCCAAAAAATTGATTTTTTTTTTTTTTTTTTAATGTTAAAAAGCTAATAAAAATTACATTAACTTAAAAAAATTATTTTTAATTTTTCAAACGAACACCTTTTTGCACCACTTATGAGAGTAAACGAACACCTTTTTACACCTCTTATGAGTGTTTTATGGAATAACATTATATTTTTAAAAATTAATGTTTTATAAATTAATATTTTTATTATTTTTGAAAATTAAAATAATTTTCAAAATAATATTTTTTAAATAATAAATTTTTTTAATCATTAATTTAAATGTAACTGCATGACAACTATTATTTATTTTAATTTAATTGGTTTTGTTTTTTTAATACAATTTTTTGTTTACTTATGTTTTTAATAAAAATGATAACTTTAATATAATTTTCATTCAATATTAAAGACCTGTTAAATGTTTATGTAGAAACTGCGGACCTGTCAAATGTTTGCGTGGACAAAAGAGTCATGTAAAACTGTGAAAATATTTTTTAAAACCCAATTTCTTCAATTTAGGGTTATTTCAATATATAGCACATTTATAGGAGAGCCAGAAAACATTTTTATTGTTGTTTTAAACACTTTATTGTCACAAGTTTTTTTATAAAACACTCTTACCAGGAGTTCGTGGCTCAACTGAATCCATATTAAAAGATACAACAGCTGTTGGAAGATCAGTAATTGAACTCTCAGAAAGAATTGCAGTACCTAAAGAAAGTGTTAGATTAAGACACTTTAAATTTATTTTATTTTATTCAATTTTATATTATTATATAAATATAATATCAAACCTTCTCAGAAGAGGCGTGCTATCGCAAGCCTTGTATGACCATCTCCAAATTTTCATGGTAAAAAAGTTTAATTTTATGTTTTTAATTATAATATTATTTTTGTGTTCAAAATGGTATAGTTTTAATATATTAATCTTTTTATTACTATTTTTATAACTTTAAAAATTGTTAGTTTTTGTTTTTTCATTGTCAATTTCAACCTTATTTTATAAAGCTGAAATTAAAAATTAATTTGTTGTCAAACAATTTTAAAAATTATGAAATTAATAATGTAAGATTAATTATAAAACATAAATAGCATAAAAAACATTAATTTTATTAATATAAAAAACAATAACTGTAAAATATTTAAATGATTAAAAATTGAAAGTTTTTCATAACATTCTCACAACATTAAAAAATAGAGATAGAACCTAACGTCAAGATATATATGTATATATAAATAGATATATTAGATGATTTTCTCATGTCTTCATGTTTTCCTGACTCATAAAATTGACAGTTTTTTTAATCTTCTGTCAACCAACTTCATACTTTTTAATTTTCTGTTTTAAACTGTTTGTCAAATTGACAGAAATTTGTCAAACAATTCCTAAAGGATTGGATGAGTTCTAAATATGAACAAAGTTTTTAAAAATATGTCATATTGGGTCTCAAAAGAAACTAAATTATATAAAAAATATTGAAAATAATCATCATTTTATATAAAGATTATCATGTTATATTAGATTTTATTACATAAAAAGTATAGTATATTTTAACATTTTTAACAAAATTAATTTTTCAAAAGTTTTTTATAATAATTTTTTTTCAGATATACTTAAAAAAAAAATGTATCACTATTATTTTAGAAGTTTTTATACAATTTTGTTTCTTTTGAGACCCAAACAACATTCAGTTAATTCCCAATAACTTAAACCTCCAAGGGAAGAAGAAAAATGGTTTGAATTAATGAAAGTTTGAGCGATTTCACATTTAGTCAAACTTTGGCTGATTTGAGATATTAGTTTGAGTTAAGGTGATTTTTTCTTTATTCAACGGTCAAGTATAAACATTAAATATACACCATTATACTAGTAAAAGTGTAAATTATGTTTCAGTGAAAGAAACTATGTATTGAATTGATACTGTACACTCAAAAGATAACATTGAAAAAAGTTAAACAACACAATAATTTCCTTAGTGTTTGGTAATAAATTGTGTCTAGCAATTTTTTATTAAGAAACTAAAAACCAAAAAATTTCTGCTTTATTTGACGTTATTTTGTTATGATTTATTTTGTAACTTTAATTAATATTTGAGCATTATTGAACTAATAATAATCTAATCTATTCAGATCTAAATTTAACAAAAAATAGACTATTAGGCTACTGTTATTTATGTTTCATATGGAACGACTTCTAAAAAAATTTTTATCAAGTTATTTTGATTTCTTTATTTTTTGGTCATACTGCTTCACAGGGAATCTCTGGAGATGCATCTTTCAAAAAACAAATTCCTTAATAATAATAAACACTTCAAAAATAATTTTTTAATTTAAAAAAATCCCACAAGAAACAAGTTAATCCATTGTTAAATATCTGAATCACTTCTAATTCTGCTGCTAAAGTTACTTTAAGTTATCTAAAGTCTTCAATAGCTCATAGTCCAGACAACATTCCTATCACAGTTTTCCAAAACCATTTTCCAGAATTTTCTTCACTACTTTCTGCAGTATTTAACAAGTGCTTAACTAAATAAGTATTTAACAAGTGCTTAACTAAATCTTTCATGTCTGTTGGAAAATAGCATTTGTGGTTCCAATTTTTTAAAACTCTGGATATCACTCAGACCCCTTTAACTATTTTGTAACCAGTATTCTTATTATGTAATCAGTACTCTTATTATATAATTAGTATTCTTATTATGTAATCAGTATTCTCATTATGTAATCAGTATTCTTATTATGTAATCAGTATTCTTATTATATAATCAGTATTCTTATTATCTAATCAGTATTTATATTATGTAATCAGTATTCTGATTATGTAATCAGTATTCTTATTATGTAATCAGTATTCTTATGTAATCTTCAAAAACTATTGCTCTTGATATATCAAAGACTTTCAATAAAGTGAAGCATACTATTTTTTTAAATTATTCAACTATTTATTTCTATAGTATCAAAGTTGTTCTTGATGGACAACTTTCTCCTTCATTTCCTTCATGATAATCTTACTCCTAAATATTTGCTGATGATAAAACTATATACTCCAATCTTGACAAATAGTCATCACTTTCTGATTACAGGCAGCCGATCCTGAATCTTTCTTTTGTGACAGCTTAGAGCTTGCAATGGCTGACGAATTTTAACTCAAATAAAACTCAATTATTTACCGCTAATAATTATCATTAGCCGTAAATAACTGAATAATTATCTAATAATATTGTTATATTGATGAACAGCAACTTTTTGAGTTGTCTACTTTATATCTTCTTGGATTATTATTCATTATTGACCTTTCACAGAAAACATATTTACAATCTATTTTTAAGTTAGCATTTGCAATATTTGCCTCTCTTGATTGCCATTTTCTTACTCATGATTCCATTCTCTACCTCTATACTGTTGTCATATTTAGGCTGGTTTTTCTAATAAGGGGACTTATTAGAAAAACCTTCTAGACAAGGTCTAGAAATGTATTCCAAATATTCTTGTACCAGTCTTCTTCATTCGAAATATAAATTAGCAAAAAAATGCTTTAGGTAAAAGTAAAATGATTAAAATAAAAACTAATGTGTTTTTTAAATTTTTATCAAAATGGCTAAAATGAAAGTTTTATTTAAATTCTTAACAAAAAAATAAAAGTAAAACAGCAAAAAGAACATTTTTATTAAATTTTTATTAAATTCTTAAAAAAATAATATAAAAACAGCAAAACAAGGTTTTCTTTAAATGAAATAATATAAAAGTCGCAAATCGAACATTTTATTTAAACTTTAAATAAAACAATTCATACATTAAAGTGTTATCACAATTTTTCATCAAAGTATTTGATGAACAAAAAAGACTTATTGCAATTTAATAAAAAACGTTTTTAGTTTTTAGGGGAGCATTTTTTTAAGAATGTGAGCAAAACGTAAATGTACAACTGTTGTTTCCAACTGTTTACAAATGGAGAAGACCGTTGTACCGTTCTAACTGATAAGCTTCAAATCAGTGCATCATCCTTATTTTATCAACCAAAACTTAATCTAACATGACGTCATTTAGTAAAGTTGCATCCTTTAAATGTAACTATAACTCCATGCTCAAAAAATATTTTTTTTCCTCAAACAATGCTGTGGTACTCTCTACCATTTCCTGACACAACTTTTATTTAAGCCACTTTCTTGTGCTTTAATTCTGCCCTTTGTGAACTGTGTGTGTAATTAAACCTCTAATTAAGTTATTAATTGGTGGTTATTAATAACTTAATTAGAGGTCGGTTGTAGACTTGTTGAGAGTTTAAAAAAAAAGTTATATTTAATCTTATTTAATACAAAATCATAACATAACTTGAACATGATTATAAATTAAGTAAACCTTTAAAAATCCTCAATTTCATGCTGTAAGAACCAGTTCCCAAATCAGCAATAATTAACTAAAATTAAGCAATAATTTACATTTAAAATATTAAAAATTACACAAACTAAACAGAAGTTTTATTGGTAGTTTATAGAATAATAAGTTACATACATCAACTGATAGTTGTAGATTTATTGACTAATAAATATACATTCATCAACTGATGGTTGTACATTTATTGAATAATAAATATACATACATCAACTGATGGTTGTACATTTATTGACTGATAAATATACATACATCAACTGATGGTTGTACAATTATTGACTGATAAATATACATACTTTAACTGATGGACATATACCTACACTAATAGATTTACATTAACAACTTATGGGTATATATTGAACTCTCATTTTCCTAAAATTTTTGTTAATGCCCTTGTTGGGGAACAGCTTATACTCTTTTATAATGTCATAAACAAAACAGGTTCTAATACTACCTGCAATTTCTAATTTTGAAGAAATAAGTATTTTTACAAATGTGATAATTTGAATGCTAGTATTTATTTTACCTTCTAAAAATAATGTTTAGGAATGATATGCTGATATTTAAAAATCATAGAAGCAGTTTGAAAGCAAGCAGAAAAAAAAGACATGTTAAATTGTTTTGACATTTCTTTTAGAAATGAATACAATAAAATAATAAGAATACGACTAAACCACATTCAACCAATAAAGAAGAATGTTTGTTTTTGGACAATCAAAAAGAGCTGCAAAAGTGTTCAATGAATTAAAGCGAAAAGAAATTATATTTAAAAAAATAAGAGCAAATCAATTTTGGTCAAATTGTATAATAGTCCAAAATTCAACACATGATCATTCATAATTAAAATTTATTTCTGCTAACTTGCAATCTGCTTCTGCAATTTTCAAATGTCAGTATGTTATTCCTAGATGATGTTGTTAGAAAGTAAAATAAATTAGTAACATTTTATCATGTTCATAATAATTAACTGATCTATTTTTTTTACATGACAATATTGGAGTTAAAGCCAACCATAGCTTTAGTAACACACATCAAGCCTTCTTGTTGCTGACAGCCACCACATTTATTACTTTTAAGCAAAAAAAAATTTAAAAGTAGGCTGGCAATCATATCTTGGAATCTAACAGACTTAAAAGAATTGAAGCAATAAAGTTGAACAGAATTGAAGCAATAAAGTATTTTCTATAATGAAGATATCCACACAGTTTTTCCCTTTATGCTTATTTTCAAGTACTCTTTGTTTGAATCAACATTAAAAAATTGTTTGATCAACAAGATTAAAACATATTTTAATCTTGTTGATCAAACACCTCTTACTACTTACAATCACCTCTTACTACTTACAATCAACTCTTACTACTTCCAATCACATCTTACTACTTACAATTACCTCTTACTACTTACAATCACCTCTTACTAGTTACAATCACCTCTTACTATATTTTCAAAGTATTATAGTATGATCTATGTGAAGAAAAAATTTGTTTAACATGGTTACAATGTCCAAAAAGATTTAAACTAAATTGTGTGCAAACAAAACCTTGCATTATAAAGACAAAAGGCACTTTCAAAAAACAAAAAAATTTAAGGAAATAGGATTAGTGTGCTAATCCTATTTCCTTAAATTTTTTGCTAACTTTTTTTAAACACAACTTACACAACATACATTTATTAAAAATTCAACATTTATACAAAATTCTAAATTTATTCAAAATTCTACATTTAAACAAAATATATAATATTAAAAAAAAATAAACCAACCACAGTACAAACACACATAGCAGTATATAGCATCAGTAAGCATCAGTAATACATCTAAATTATGGGGAAGTGGACAGGTAATATATGTGATTTAGTAGTTTGAGTGCATTAGTCTGGAGATCAAACTTATCTACTCATTTAAAATTTTCTTATAAAATTTTCATACAAAAAAAAAAAAATTTACGAGTTATACTTTCTAAAAATGCAATTCTAAGTTTTATAAAACTTACAGCTGGAATAATTTTTTGTAACAAACTGTATTTTTATTTATTTATTTTTTGAAACAAATTACGAGGTGGCATAACTTGTTTCAACAAAGTTGCCTACTATTAAACTAAATTCCCAACCTTCTTTATTATTAAGACCGGATTTTACAAATAATTGTCTATCTCTTTTATATAACCTCTTTTGCAAACATTTTGCAATCTATTTTGAAAACATATTTCTTTTATAACTTTTTTACTTTAAGTTATTCTGAAAAAAATTATTAGTTTGCATTAAAGGAAAACAAGAGAAAAATCATAAATAATGAATTAACTAAATTTTTATGTGCTTTGAGAGATAATAAGTTATTTCATGTTTCTTAGAAAAATTATAAAATTAAAAGTATTTTTTTTTTTTTTTTAAATAAAAAAAATATTGTTAACAGCAATAAACAAAATTATATAATTAAGTATTTATTAAATATAATATTATTAGTAAAATAAAAATTATAGAAAAAAAAACCTTGTATTCTCCATCAGCATGTAAGTCAGCTAATTCTAAAATATTTGAATTAAAGAATAAAAAATCAGACTTAATAACTAAAACTAGACTTAGTAACTAAAAAAAATGTTTATAGAAAATGTAAAACATACCAATGCAAGATCCAAATGTATACAGGGAAGCAACAGGATTATAATGTGCATCAAGCCATTGCTTACTATAAAAAAAAAATTTTACTAAATATTTTGTCATATAAGTTTATAACTTAAATTAATTCTTTTGATAGATCAGTGAACATGTTCAGGAATGACATGTTATGATATGCAATGGCATGCACCTAAATTTTGTATTGCATCAATTGCATTCATCATCTTAATTTAGATGTGCTTTTTTCAAATGCAATATTTATAAATGTTGCCAAAAAAAAAGAAAAAAAAACCCTTAGGTAATTTGCATTAAAATACACATTAGTTAAATAACATATTAAATAAACAGGCCTCGGCAGGAAGCGAGAGCTTTAGCTCTCACTTTCCGCCGAGGAACACTCTCCTGAAACAGTTTACGAGAGCTATTTACGGCTCTCGCAAAAGTATAATTTTTCTCATAAAAGTATAACTATCATTATAAATAAAATAAAAAACACAATGTCATTTTTAAAAAATTAATTGCATAATATACTGAAATGCTTTTTAAAATGCATGATTGTTGTAAAAAAAATTAGAATTAAAAAAGAGCGCCTATTTAAATGAGGAGCAGATCGCACAGCTCCTCAAGTTTATTGTAGGAGAACTTTTCTCCGCTCTCGTACTCACTTATTCCCGCCGAGGCCTGTATAAATAAATATTTTTAAAAAAATACAAAACTATGTTTCCTAAAAATTAAAACAATTCTTTTAATTAAAAAAAAAAAAAAGAAAAAAAGAAAAAAAGAACAATCAAAGTTTTAAAACAAAAATCTGATAAAGTTATTTTTTCAAAACATTCAGAAACATTTTATTTGAAAAATTTTTGGTATTCATTAAAAAATCTATGCTGACAAAAAACAGTCTAAGTTAATTCATGTAAAAAGAAAACTGAGTGGCTTTGGGAAAATTGGCAGAAAAAAATATTTATGGAGAAAAGCTATTTTGAAATAATAAATAGGTTAAGAAAAGCATATAGAAAAGCTAATATATAAAGATACTGGAGAACTGCATGGTTCCAGCAGCAGTTCCATATTTTTACCTATTTATATATCTTATTCATTATTTACTCATTATTGGCATATAAAAATAATATTGTAATATTTATTAATGCAAAACAAATATTAATTATATACCTCTTAGATTCAATGTTGACTTCATTTGCCACCATAGTTACAATACTCATTTTTATTCAAAAAAATGCAACCTCAAATAAAATAAATATAATAATTTTTAAATTGTTCATAAACAAAAGTTGTTTATGTGAATTAAACCAGTATGTTATATAAGTCTTAAATTTAACATAATGGTAAAAGAGGGTGCTTTTTTCAATATATACCAGTAAGCAACTTTGTTTTTAAAGAACTGAAAGGTTATCTTTGCTTATTTGTTTGTTTGTAACTTCTTTAATAGACATTATAATTTTTATACTAACTTAACAACAAACTTTTGCTAATAATTTTGTAGTGCTTTTTTTTTGATAAATTTTTTTGTGGTAAAAATCTAAATAATTGGAACATTTTCTTTTAATATTGAATTAGGAGTCTAATTATTTTTTCTTACATGCACAAGAAAAAACAATTAGACTCTGTTATACCTTTTTTACAAACTTATGGAAAACAAATACGAAACTTGGGAAATGAAAAGTGGTAATAATTTTGTTACTATCATGTGATGTTTTCTTATTTTAACATTATTTTCAAAACATAAAACTACAAACTCAATTATTCTACTTTGCTAATTTCACTCACTTTAATTTAGTTTTACCCAATATAATTTACTGTTTTAAATACTACTTTGATAATCTTTTACAGCTTTTACAAAACAAACACCATAAACTACTTTTTTTTTTTTGTATTATTTTACAGCCTCTACAAACACTACATATTTTATTTGTATTATTTTAAATATACATTATATATTTGTCTGATAAATTTATTTATTCGTGTATTTATTAGTTTTTTCAAGTTTTAGGATTAATACTATCAATCCTAAAACTTAAAAAAAAACTTTTCTCTATCAATGATCATTGATAGAGTAAAAAATTTTACAATTTTATTTTTACCTCAATCGAATAAAAAAGGAAAAAAAAAAGGTGGAAAAGTTCTTTTTTTTTTTTTAAGAAAAAACTTTTCCAATTATCTTAAAATGTTCAAATAAAAATTATTATAGCTATATAAATTTATGTCATGTACATATACCTCTAAATGAAAACATAATTTTTAAGTTAATAATGTTATCATGCAATTTCATGATCTGTTTATTTCTTTAAAAACACTAATTATTCAAGATATTAAACATAATGTTGTAAATCTATTCACAAATAAATAAAAACAATAAAATTAAATCAAAAACCGCTGCTATAGGCATTTTTTAGTAAAATAGAGAAAATATTCTCTCTAATTTTATTGTTTTGATTTTATTATTTTTTGTATTTTAGCGAAATATTTTTCGGATTGTATCAAATTTAAAAATTCTATAACGTCGGCGTCGTTTTTTGGTGTTTAACGCCAGCATACATCAAAAAAGATTTTCAGCATCAACAAGTATTATTAAATATATCAAATGGAGTTGAAGTTAGTCGTAAAGTTTTCACGGTATTAACATTTAAGTGTTTTATACCCATACCATTCAAATTAGTTTGTACTACGGTTTTCGGTACCTAATTTCCATACCTAAAAAAATGCAACGCTCATTGCAATGAATTGTCTAAAGTCTAAGAGCCCTTGACCGCCAAACCTACGTTATTTTATAAAAGCTGAAAATTTTTCAGTGCATGCTTCCAACACAAGTAGGAACGATGGTCAACAATGCAGTTTAGATCACGGTGGCTTTGGTTGGTATCAGATAAATACGACGGTTAAATACTACTAATACTAGTCTCAAGAAAATTATAAGAAAATTACGCTTTAAAATTTAAATTTTAAAGCGTAATTTTCTTATAATTTTCTTTAGAGTAGTATTAGAAATTATGCCATCCATTACCACACACTAATTATGTTGACAACCCTTTCCCAGACACCTTCAAATTTCAAAAAATTGTAATTGTACTTACTTTATAGTATAAAAGTGTAAACTTATACAGGTTACTTGGGTAACTATTAGAAGATATTTTCTTAGTAGCCTGACACTTTCTACAGTTCTAAACTCCAGCTAGACAAGCATATATGCTAGCAATACTGTTACTTTTATATGTAAAGAAAGTTTATGTGAAAATCTTAGATACGTAAATTAACTGAATAAATCTTTTAGCATTTAGCAGCCGTGGCGCAGTGGTTAGAGTTCTGGCTCATAGCATTGGTATGGAAAGAGGCGTGAGCTTCCTGTTAAATCCTCTCCCGTGGTGCTCTGTGATAAGACCGTAAAGACTTCTGGGAGCACCTAAATAACTACAAAAAAAAAAGAAAAAAATTTAATAATTGTTAGAATCTAAGCTTAGATTCTATCTTATAGATAGATGAAAATTGTATTGAAAATGAATTCAAAAGGTGGTTTTAATAGTTATTTTTTTCAAAATAAAATAAGGAATAACTTTAATAATCGTAAAAGGAAATCATTTTGAAAATATTTAAGGAATAAGACTATAAAAATATAAAAAATTTTAGTTTAGTTAATCTCTATTCAATTAAATTGATTTATGTCGCTACAAATGTTTTTAAAGTAGTACAATTAACGATATAAAATTATGTCTAGAGTAATAACTTAAACTATTAATAAAAAGTGAGTTGCAGCAGCAAAGAAACAGTAAAAAAAGGCCAGACTATGTAATTAAAAAATCCAAGTCTGGGTTAGAGGACACTCTATTACCAGAAAATCTAGACAACTCAGCAATAACATCAAGCTTTTTGGGTTTATATTTTTCTATTTTTATTATTATTTAATGCGTATGTAAACTTGTAATACTTTAATTGCAACATAAATTTTGAAAATTAAATTTGTTGTTTAAAAGTTGAAACAAAAAAAAAAGAACTATTTGTATAGAAAATTAATTTAAAGATATACCTTTAGTAAGGTTTTTCTACCTTTAGAATAGAAAATAATATTAAAAACAATGATTTTTCATACAATAATCAATCTTGAAGGTATAATTTTTTCATTTAAAAGGTAGAAACTTATACCTTACTAAGGGTGTTACTAAGGGCGTATCCCATATCCTACTCTAAAGTGGAAATTTCTACTTCTTTTTTTTCTGTGTATACAAAATAGATCAGAAAAATATTACTTCCGTTAACAACCTCTACTTAAAATACCTCTACTTGAAGATACCTGTTATGTAATGACGGATCCAGGAGAAGGGGGAAAGGGGTATTCATCCACCCCACCCCACCACCAAAACCACTAGAATCTTAAAGTCTTAAAATATTTTAGAAATTGAGGACCTTGGTACAAAATACAAAAATATTTCAACATCCCCCCACCAAAAATTCTTGGATCAGTCACTGAACTTATGATGCATGTAATCTTATGAACAGTATCAAAATATATATTTCAGTACGAAAATAGTATATAAAAATGCTATAAATTTTGACTTACCCTGAGCCAGAATTTAGTAAGTCTTGGGTAAGAAAGTTGTATTTTCTACATAAATAAAAAATATAATACGAAAATAAACGATGAAAAATAAAACCTCATTATGAGCAGTTTCTAGATTGCATTCATTAGTTTTTTGTTAGTTTTTTGAAAAACTAAAACTTTCTCAGAGAGAAGCATGCAACGTTGATTTTAGTCTAACTCGCACTGACTGATTTATTCTGGGTGACAGTATTGGTTTTACTTACTGAAATTTTGGAAAAATTGAGTTATTTAAATTTAGAGATGCAGATAAAAGACAAAAATATAAAAAAAACGATAAGCTCCGTAAATTCATTTATAGCAAAATTGGTTTTGTTGCTATCAAGTCTAGAGATCAAGTCATGCATTTCCCACTTGTTAAGTAAATGTTAGGTTAAAATGAATCAAACGTTAGTTTAAAACGAATCAAAAGTTAGTTTAATGGTTGTTAGACCAGCTAATAGAAAGGTTCCCCAAACTCTGTGGTAACATTTAAAGAGGCAGTTTTATTAAAAGATAATATTTATGCTAGAGCTAAAAAAACGCTAGAAGCTCTAGCATAAATATTATCATAAAAAATAATATTAATGATAGAGCTTCTAGCGTATTTTTGAGACCCCTTAAAGAGCCTTTTTTTTACAACTTTGGTTTGATTAACAGAAATAAGTATCACGCATCACCAAACTATTTCAATGTATCTTTTATTGAAGTTTGTGATCTTCGAAGTAGCTTTTCATCAGTTGAATCTTATCTTTGGTAAAATTCACGAAACGTACTTGCTAATTAAAATTTGGCTGTTCCATATTCGGATCTTAGTATTGATGATTACTATTATCTTAATCGCAAAGACTCCAATAGTTACCTTAGCCTAGACATATATTTACGCATTAATTTATCATAAAATCAGGTTTGAATCTTCTGACTTTCTTTTATATATGCTTTATTTTTACAACTTTTACTTAATTTTCTTTCTTTTTGTTATTTAATGTTATTAAATATTGATGTGATATATATTGTTGTTATTCTAATGTTCATTACAATAAATGGCTCGGCTCTCGTACCACAAAGAGGTAATAGGCCTTGGCTTCATTACCACTTGTACTTAACAAATTTTTTTTTTTTTTAATCTTTAAATTTTTTTTCCAGACACCCTAATTATTTATCTTTATTGTTTGATTTGTGTTTGGCTTCTGATAGTTTGTTAAGCGATGTCACATACATTTATTCATACATACATTTTCTATGTATGTATGAATAAATGTATGCGACATCGCTTCTTTACTTGTTTGACGGGGGTGGGGGGGGGGGTGGGGGTGTGTGTGTGGCAAATTTATAGTTACGCCACTGAATTAATTACTTTTAGATATTTTATATTTAATTTTTTAGTAAACTTCCTTTTAAGTTTTTGTTTAGAAAAGGTTAAGGAATTTTTTAATCATATTTCAAAAAAATCATATAATTATTTTAAGTATATATCAAATATATATCAAATTGTTATATAAAATGTAATTAAATTTAAACAATATTTTTATCATCATTTAATGTTTTTTTATTTTTTTGTTATATTACTGCGATTAATTTTTAGTTGTAAATAAAATAAATATAATGGCTTTCTACATAAATGGAACTCATTTTTCAAATGTGAAACGTATTGTAGGTGTCAAACATGTAAGTTTTGACTTCGTAAAATTTTTTAAACCAGTAGTCTTCAAATGTAGATATAAAAAATATAGATATTTCATAATTTTTAAACGGAAATTTTTCCTTTTAGTAACACGTCAAAAAATTAAATACAAAATTAATTAATTTCAGAAGTGGAAAGTTTCAAATTTCAAGCAGAATCTTTAATGGATAATCTAAAAAGTACCAATCCACTTGATTGAAGCTGCTTACCCAAACATTGAAATCTGTCTGAGGTTATTTTTGAAACTACCATTGACAGTTGCATCTTGAGAAAGAAGTTTGAGGATAATAAAAAACTATTTAAGGTCTTCAATAGGCCAAGACAGATTATCAAATTTGTCTATCATCTCAATTGATTCAACACTGACAAACTCACTTAATTATGATGATGTTATAAATGATTTCGCATCACTGAAGGTAAACCAAAAATGACCTTTGAAAACATTGAAAGATTGTAATTATTGAAGTTTAATAAAAATTATAATTACAAAGACCAAAAATGACATCACTGAAAAGTAAACTAAAAATGACCTTTGAAAACATTGAAAGATTGTTATTATTGAAGTTTAATAAAAATTATAATTAGTTTGAACTTTTTTTTTTTTTTTTTTTTTTTTTTGGGGGGGGGGGGGGGGAAGAAGGGCGCCAAATTTCACTCTCGCTTCTGGCGTTGATTTAGCTTGCTACGGCACTGTATACTTTAAATATTTCCCCAAGTTTGATCTGCTATATTTTGTTAATTATCAGATTTAATTTTGTAAGTAAAATTTATTCTGCAAATTAAACCGATTGCCTAAATAAAAGGCGTCTTAAAAAAATTGTTATGAAGCAAAAACTATATCAAATGGATTTAATTGTGATTGCTATACAATAAGGGTTTTTATTGATTTATCCAAAGCTTTCGACACAGTAAATCATGAAATTCTTTTGAAAAAATTAGAAAACTATGGTGTTAAAAAACAAAGTTTACTTTGGTTTAAATCATACTTAACTAACAGAAAGCAATTTATACTTAAAGAATCAAAAGACTCCAAGGTTCTATTTTGGAACCATTATTGTTCTTACTTTATATAAATGACTTATATTTATCATCAAAAGTATTAAATACTATCTTATTTGCAGATGACACTAATTTGTTTTATTCTCACAAAGATATTACTGTTCTTTTTAAAATATTTAACGAAGAATTAGATAAGATCAACGAGTGGTTTATAAGTAACCGATGTCATTAAATGTAGAGAAAACAAAGTTTATCCTATTCCATAAACCTAGTAAAGCCGAGAATATTCCTCTTAAACTACCCAATCTTTTAATCAATAATAAAATAATTAAAAGGGATTTGACTACAAACTTTCTGGGAGTGCTCTTAGATGAAAAATTGTCATGGAAATTTCATATCAAATATATTGAAGGTAAGATCTCAAAAAATATTGCCATGTTATATCGAACAAAACTTTTTCTTCATAACAAGTCTTTAAAAAATTTATATTTTCCGTTTATACACAGCTATCTTTCATACTGTAACATTTCCTGGGGTAGTACTAATCACACTAAACTCAAAAAAAATTTTAGTAAGCAAAAACATGCTTGTAGGATAGTATTTGGGGCAAATAGGAAAACAAAATGCGAACCTTTCTTACGTCAGCTTGGAGCTTTAAATATTAATAAGCTTAATATTCATCAAGTAATGTTATTTATGTTTAAAGCAAAACTTGGGTTTTCTCCAGTAACATTTCAATCCTACTTTAATGAAATCTCCCATAAATATCCAACCAAATTTTCAGTGAATAACTTTGTGGTTCCCATGAACCTTCTTAAATTAAGTTCGTACCAAATTCAATATCGGGGACCTTTAGTTTGGAAAAAATTTCTTCCCATCTTTAGTAAAAAACAAAACTTTGCTTTAAACTGTACTTTGCAAAGTTTTAAGGATGATTCAAAACGGCATTTACTGAACATGGAATTCGATATATTAGATTTCAAATACCTTTTTTGAAAACAGTTTAAAGGTTTAAAACTAAATCACTTGAAAATAAATTAAATCTTTAACACTTTCTTTAGCTTTTATTAAAATGGTTTCAAATCATTAGTATAAAAGATAACGAAAATAAAATTGTCTTTTTCGTTCATATTTTTGTTGATATTAAATAATCAGCCCAAATACTTAAGTTTACATATATTGCTTTTTTTTTTTTTAATAAAACAACACTTTTTTTTTTGTGTTTTTATAACTTTCATGATTTTCTGTCGTTTTTACTTTTTTATTTTTAAAATTATTCTGCTGGAAGATTGTAAGCAACAAATTATTTTATTGCTGAAGTTTTTTGTTTTGTTTTTGTATTTATACTGTCTTTTTGTCTTTTATCATTTATTGTGCATGTAAATTTTTGTGCGACAGGGCTCGGTGATAAGCATATATATATATATATATATATATATATATATATATATATATATATATATATATATATATATATATATATATATATATATATATATATATATATATATATATATATATATATATATATATATATATATATATATATATATATATATATATATATTTTAATTTTGAGTTTGACATTTACGCTTTGAACTTAAAATTCCCGCTGAGTAATTATAATTCCGTCGGTAATATTGTTATCGGATTGCAATAAGTATTTCGAACAGGAAAATATTATAAATTATTATATCTAATTAATATATTATTAATTTAATATTTAAATCACAACAATAAAAAAAAGAAGACTATTAGACCAAAATTTTCAATATAAAATCTGCCACATCTGCATGTGATATTTTACTCGGATTGTAATCACGTGACTAGTTTTTTTTACTGTTTCTAGTTAGACGCAACTTGTACGGTCAAAATATAGCAAATGGTAAACAATATTTATGCGCCTCTTGTTTTTGGACGCACTTGCTTAGTATCATACCGCAAAAAGTCTTACTTATGGATAGCATTTTAAAGTCAATTTTAAGTCAATAACGGATTGTTTACTGTTTTGCTTTTGATAATACCTTATAATATCTCGATTAATATTATTTGTTGTCTTTATCTAGAAATCTTAAATACATAGAGAAACATTAAATACATATTGTAAAAAGTATCCCTAGATGAATGAAGCAATGAATTCATAACTAGATTTCTTTGGACATTTTAGATGTAGTCTTCTTATTTCCTAAGATATCAAATGGCCTCTGTTAAAGTCGCAGTTCGAGTTCGGCCAATTAATAAAAGGTTAATTTTTTTTAATAATTAACGACATTTACTGTTTTTTGGCTAATGTTATCATGAATTTTTTTTAAACTGTTAAAAAAAAAAAAAATATAATAACAACTTTCACAAAAAATGATAAATAAAATATAAAAATAAAATAGTCTTGAAACTTTAGTGTATTAGAGCAAAATGTCCTAAAATCTTATTAAGATCTAAATTTTGGTTATGTTTTATTGTATTTATTTATTTGGAGGGGCATTTATATAGTTAATATACTTTTTGTTTCTTTAACATCTATGTTCTGTTCTAGCTTTTGTATAAATATTACTTTCAGTCTTAATTATTTAGAACTTATGTTTTTGTCAGCCTCAGTTTAAGAAAATTGTTTATACCAACAGTAGTCATTTTGGTTTTTTTCAAGCACATTTAGTGCAATACTCTTTTGGGGTCATTTCTGTGATATATCTAAATCTGTTTTAGTTGCTTAAATATTTTTTTATATACTGTTTTTTTAGTCACCATAAGATAGACAGAAGCATAAATGCAGTCTAAACACTCAAATAGTCTCAATAATAGATACTCGTTTGACCATATAAAAGCTGAAGCCCTTATTACAAATGTATCTGTAATTAGAATGATTGTGTAATTTTTTCTATATAATATATATCATAAAACCTAGGAACAAGGTCAGCAAAAAAATAACCACCTTGTTAAGGTCAGCAGTTAGTTGCCGACCCTAATTCTGAGTACTGTATATATATATATATATATATATATATATATATATATATATATATATATATATATATATATATATATATATATATAATATATATATATATATATATATACATATATATATATATATATATATATATATATATATATATATATATATATATATATATATATATATATATATATATACTATATATATATATATATATATATATATATATATATATATATATATATATATATATATATATATATATATATATATATATATATATATATATATATATATATATATATATATATATATATATATATATATATATATATATATATATATATATATATATATATATATATATATATATATATATATATATATATATATATATATATATATATATTGAACATCTTCACTTCCAACAAGACTGCAAGCAACCACTATTAGAGTTAGAAGTTACTGGAAGAGAAAAGATGATGTTTGTAGAGCAAGATAAGGATCGACAGATGATTTAGAAGATTTCAAATTATATGAATCAGGAAAGCAAGATGAAGTAAGCGAATATCAAAGAACTGATGTTCAAGGAAAAAACTAGGCGAATAAGAGTTTTTGGACCACTTAGGAACAGTCACAGAAAAAGGATAAGACTTAATTGAATGAGGAGTAACATGAGAATGAATTTTAGTAGATGGCACAAGAGACGCTCTCTATTTAGAGCAGTGCCCATTATCAGGTTTGTGGAGCCGACCGTTTGCCCACTGCATAATACATGGAATTGTTAAATTCAAAACGATAAAAAAAAAATTTAAAATAGTTCAACTAATGCAAAAATGTCAATATTTGTTTTAATCTAAGGAACTTGAAGATTTTAAAAGTGCTTTTTATTTTAATATTTTTCATTATTTCAAAGGACATTGTGACTTTGATAAAATTGTAAAAGTTTAGCTTGCAAGTATTCTTTGATGTAAATATCCAAGTTTAAAGTTGACGATATGACAAAAGCTCGAGATCTCAAACCACAGCTGCATATTGCTTGCCAAAATTTAATCTTGAAAAAACTCTGAAACTTTATACCTTTTGGGTTGTTCTCTGTTTGGTAAGCCAGGATTATGCGCGAATGATCGTCAAATACTAATTGCTGCTTTCTTATCCTTAAAGCCACTCTTTCTTCCAGATCTACTTGCTCATTTGATAGACAGAGAGTTCTTGTGTTGTTTTATGACTATATAAACAGTAGTTTTGCTAGATTCAGATCCTTTAGCGATTGAAAGTAACAATGTAGAAGGATTTTGAAGGTGCAGAATTTTTTTTGTTTTTCGAAATTTTTTAATGATATTTTAATTAAGAGAAACATTTTGACTTATTTGTTGATGTTTTTAATTAATACTACAGGCCTTGTTTTAAATAAAAAAGTGCTTAATGCAATAGCTTAACACGATTTTGACGTCATAAAATTATCTTTATTCTTTTTTATAGACGTTAAGTGTTTTAACTACCCCAATAACTAACTAACCGCAAACTAGTTCAATTTAACAATTAACAAAATAAACGTTTTAAATGTAAATTTATTATGAAAAGTTTGAAATGTTTTCAATTGTTATTTTATTATTAACTTTAGTTCAATATTATTTAGTAAAAATATATATATATATATATATATATATATATATATATATATATATATATATATATATATATATATATATATATATATATATGTATATATATATATATACATTTTAATTATTTCTGAAATTTGTTTTTGAATAATTATTGTTTATAAATCGTTATTGAATAAGAAATTATGATTTTTTTTATTTTTAAAAATTTCTGGAGTAAACAAAAAATATTAACATAGATAAACAAAAACCCATGTTAATATTTAAACAGCGATTTTGTTTTGATTAGCAAAGAATAATTTAGGTTTTTAAATATTTTTAAAAATTTATCTTGCTTAACGTTTCAACTTGTGTTATATAAAAATATAAAAAAGTTTTGTTTTTTGCTTTGAGCATTATTTTGATACATAGTTTAGAACGCGTTTGCCAGGAATTTAATTCATAAATTTTTTATGTTATTGTAAAAATGTTTTACATTTTAAACAAATCACAAAGAAACAGAGCTATAGAGAAAAATCGTTTTAAACAATTAAATCTTTTTTTTTTTAAATTTTATGAAATTAAAAAAAAAAATTAAATTAAATATAAAAGTCTTAACTATGCAAACTCTTTTGTTAATATTCTTAAAAAAAAAAACAAATACTTCTACGCAAAACTTTAATCGTGCAAACTTAAAAAAATACTCAACTAAAATAATTATATTTAATAATTTGAATCGTATCTGTTTATAATAAACGTTCGTAAAAATTTGTTTATTAAAAATTAAGTTCCTTAACTTATAAACAAACTCAAAAGTATTTTCATTCTACGTATAATTACAAAACTCTATTTTTTTTTTTGTTTGTAAGCAATTTAAGTTAATAAAATAAAAGAATAAATATGAGGTAATCTTTGTTAAGAACAAATTTAATTTATTTATTGAACTATAGTAACTATTGAACTATTGAGTACATTACTGTTCATAAATATAGGAAGATGTAAATTGTTGCGATAATGATTGGCTGAAAAAAATTAAGTTTTATCTGAATTAAATTTCACCAGCCACTGTGAGCCCCATGCTGTAGCAGAAGTGAGACCCTTTTCAAGCTCAAAAGCCCCCTCCAAGCAATTAGAGAGTGTTGGTTTCTTATCACAACTAGAATAAATGGTAGTATCATCAGCAAACAATGCCACCTTAGATGTGATAATATCTAGAAGATTGTTAGTGTAAATTAAAAAGAGTATAGGGCCAAGGATTGAGCCTTGAGGAACCTCTGAAGTTACAGAATAAGAAGAAGAGTGCTGTCCATTGAGGACAACTTTTATATTACGATCGGAAAAGAAGGATTCAATAATCTTCCTTTCCGATCAGATACACCGTAAAAAGAAGCTTATGAAGAAGACCAGCATGCCAAACTTTATCAAAATCTCTAGAAATGTCAAGAGCAATGGCCTTTACCTCTCCAACTTTATCTAATGCACGATAAAACTTATCGGTTATTACTGTTAGCAAATCAGCTGTAGAATGAGAAGATCGTAATCCATATTGATAATCAGAAAGTAAGTTATTTCATTAAAGATGAGAGGTTAATTGTTTGTTAATTAATGATTTAAAAACATTGCTTATGATAGGAAGAAGACTAATGGGACGATAGTTAGGCGAATCAGATCGCTCTCCGAAATTTTTGAAAATAGGGATAACAGATACCGCTTTCCAGCAGGCTGGAAAACAAGACTCTGATAAGCACTTGTTAAAAAGTTTTGAAAGTATAAATGACAGCTCTGGAGAACACTTCTGCAAGACTATAGCAGGTATGTTGTCTGGACCACAAGCTGTAGAAGAGTCTAATCAGGAAATCACTTTAGATACAGAGCTGGGGTGATATGAATGTCAAGCAATAGATCAACCTGTTTAACGACTATCTTAGGTAGAACGCAGCTAGTGGAATCATAAGATGACATTGATGAAAAGTTCTCAGCAAGCAATTCAGCTTAGGAATTAAGAAAGGCAAAAGTTGCGGGTTTTAACGCCTGCAGAGTCACTGACACTAGAGCCAAGCCATTCAGTGTGATAAGCACAACAAAGTCACCAACAACCACAATATTGGCTGATGGATAAAGAGAGAGGGCTCACTCAATTTGATCAGAAATAACATCAAAAACAGTGTAGGCTTGAGAGGAAGGAGAGCGATATAAAACAAAGAGAAAGGCGATAAAGTGAATTGATGCTAAACAAAAGCACATAAAATAGTAGTCTGTGTACTCAAACCTAGTTTGCCAACAAATGGGTGAATTCTTACAAATGTAAATACCCAGGCGAAGCATGTGACTAATGGAGTCTTTAGGAATTAAAGGAAGATAACCATCAACACTAAGATCACAAGATATTACAGCTGAACTCAAATTAGTTTATAAAGAGCAAGTAGGTCTGGTGAACTTTGCAAGAGATAAGACTCAACAGGAGAAAAGTTACTTCAAAGACCACAAACATTAGTGAATGATAAATTTAGGGAACATGGTGATGAAGATGGTTTTTTGTATTTTATAGTTTTTGGTACTTTATTCATTTTTAAATTTGTTAAAGAACTTGACTCAAAGCATAGATAGTACTCAGAACATTGTTTAATAGCCCAATCAATTGCCTTATTACTATTAATAAGCTGTATCAAAGGGCTCCAAATGTGGTCTTGACAATGCACACGCTTACAATGACCATGCATATATATTTTTTTTGTTGATAACATAGCCGCAATTTTTTTTTGCATATATTAAAAATGATGCATTTTAAAAACGCGCTGATAAAATCAAACTAATTAGTCATCTTATTGGGTTTTTTTTATTATTAATAATTTGTTATTATAATTATTTATGAGAAAATAAAAACCTAACAATAAGCACATATATATATTTTTAATTAATGACAAAATAAAAAGATAAAAATAATATATAAATATATATATTTTTATTTGTTTTCATGCATTTAATTCTGGTGATTTTTTGTTAAGTTTTTGTTTACTAAATGAATTACGTCATTAAGTTAGAATTAATAAAAAAAACTTTTTTTTTTATATGTATTAAAATTATTTATTTTATTGTTTTTTTTGTTTGTTTGTTTATGTACTATTATTTTGGTTGACATATAGATGTTTATAAAAGATTTAAATGTGAATACTTAGCAGCATTTTATAAATTAAATCTTATAAAAATAAAGCAATACACATAAATGTAAGAAGTGTAAGTAAAAACTTCGACAAACCAATGACTCAATTAAGTAATAATAAAGATGTAAAACTAAAATATTTTTCTGAAGTTGCTCTTGGTCTTGTGAAAAAACTGTTTTAGGTTTGATAACTTTCATGAATGTTATGAAAAATCACTCAGGAAGAGTGCCACCGGTTTTTAAAAAATTTCTTTGTTAATTATTTTTGTTAATTATGAATGAGTTCAATACTTATGCAATTCTTTTGTTACGTAACTCTAACTTTTAATAATAGATAAAAAAAATCATGATAACTGCTCGATAATGTAAGTGATGTAACTTAAGTCAAAAATACAGTATCAAAAAAACAATTTTATTTAAAAAAAGTTTTTATAAAAATTTTAAATTGGTATAGAATTCTCTGATTCTCTAATACAGTCTGCTTTACTGAATCGCAGAAACGAGACCTATAAGTTCAATCAGTTTGTTTACCTTGTTTTCCGTGTAACATAAGTACAAGTGGCATTTTCATTTATAAGTTTGCTCTCTTTTGGCCGAACTTAAAACTTTTTAGCTTATTTTATTTATTAGACTTACAGCTTTCATACAAAATGGCTAAAAGTTTAATTTAAAAGTTTAAATAAGCAAATATTTTATAAATTTGGTTTTTTCAGCGCGTTTTTAAAATGCGTCATTTTTAATAAATGCAAAAAAAATTGTGGCCATGCTATCAACAAAAAAATATATATGCGTGGTCATTCATTCGTGCGACCGCACACGTCTCCTGAGAAGGCCTGCCATAAAACATATTTACGAGGTCGGCAATTTTTTACTGTTCTCAAACACTGACCGCTTGCCTTTCAATTCTATTTTCCATGGTGTGTATATATATACATTGCCATTATATTAGTGTATATATCTTGCCGGTCATGTTTGACCAGTTGAAAAAAAGCTTAGAGTTTTGAAAAATAATGTTCTACAAATAATCATAATGTAATTTGAAAAATTCATATACTAAAATATCCCATATCCATTTTAAAATTGGCGTTTAAAATAGTTTTATTGTTTACGACTTGCTACTTCAATTTGCTTTGTTAACGAATTTATGACACAAACTTTTTTTTTTTTTTGCTTCACTTATAAAAATTACTTTCATTTTACTGGTTGTTAAAAACCTCTTTTTCATGAACAATTGAACTTCTTATATTATTTTGTTTCTTATTTTTAATATTATTGTTTTAATAAAAATATTCAATATATTATTTTTTAATAGTATAAAAATATATAATAATTGCTGTATTTGACTGAGAATATTTTTTCTTTTAAATGTACCAAGCCACTATTTATTTATTTTTTCTCAAAATCTATTTATTTATTTTCTCGTAATTTTTTGCTCTGTAAAATGTAATAAATGAATGAATGATTTTATAGGTAAATTCAAAATTTTCTTCAATACAATTCTTAAAAATAGGGGAAAGGTATCCCCAGAACAGGTATAACTCCAGACACCTGATGTACAGCACAAACTTAAGAAGCTATGTGATTTTAAATACCATAAAAACATTATTTGAGTAAAAATATAGCATATGCAAAATATTTATCATAATATGCTGAAGCGATTGGCTTGGACTGCAAGATATTTTTTCCCACCTTCAGATGAGTAATGTATCATAATATTTGATTCGCATTAGTATACCTAATTTTTATTTAAACCAATATCTTTTTATTGATTAAAGATTTTATTTACAATAATTATTAAAATAAAAAAAATTTGTTTAATACTTTATTTCACTGGTTTTAAAACTAGTATTTGTGAATGAGATATGATCAGGTGGTATTGGACACATGTTAATCCATTTACATATTAAAAATAAGCTTTCTTGTATATCAGTGGCGATTTTTAATGGTGATTTTTTTATATGTTTTATTATTTAATTATAATTAAATAATAAAACATATAATAAATAATTATATATTATATTTGTGTCATACAGGTAAAAAAGAGGTAAAGTCATTTAATAAAGTATGCGTCCAGGGTTACAATTGGACACAAACAAAAGTATGTGTCCAATTTTGAAACATGCTTTTTTTCTAACATTTGTTCTTTTATGTTTTGAATATTATTAAGGTACACAATAATTTATTTTGTTTATAATTCAATAGATAAATGTTTATAAGTCTTTTGATACTTTGTTTTTTGTTAGCATATGAGTACAATCTATTTTTTCCTTAAGTGTCCGAAGCTACCCGACTTTATTCTATCTATGTTTAGTAAAATCTATTTTTATGTAACACTAATAGTTTTTGTAGTATACTATAAAAATTTGTTTAATAAAACAATTGTATTCTTAATATCAAGTTTGAATAGTGAAAAATTTTTGCGCAAGTGCTAATAAAGTTATAAGTAACTAATTTTAATAGTTTTTTAAATTGAGCAGAGATAAAATAATATTTTATATCTCTGCTCGTTAAATTAGAGATATAAAATAAGAAAATTTTCTTTACCAACTTTAGTTTTTGTATTGTTTTTTGTATTTATTTAATCTTTTCATTTTTTTTTCTGTAGCTTTTTCCTGCCGATGAAAAGCCATTGCAATGAATGAATTATTTTTAAATAAATTTTAAATTATCAACTGTGTATTAAATTTTTTTTAATTTTTTTATTATTGAATTGTAATAGAATCATCAAACATCAACCCATCTTAATGGAGGCAAATCAAGATACAAACAATGCTTTCATTTTTCATTAGCATTCATAAAAGGATTTCTTTTAGTATTAAGTTTTCAGTTAAAATTTTTTAAATATTGCATAAAATTTGTTATAATATTAAAAAAAAAAAAATTCAACAATAAATTGCTCGGATATTGCCAAACTTTTTTAAGTGAATGAAAATTATCTCTGAAATGTTTTGTATAAGTTATTTCTAAAATGATATCATTAAAGTTTGTTGAAATACAAAATTATCAATATTTTAAAATTAATGTTTTTAACATAAAAGTAATTTTAAACAAATTAACATTAACAGGTAATTTCAATGTTAGTTATTTGTTAAATTTTAAAAATGCGTTGATTTTATTCAAAATTATTATTTTTAAAAGAATACAAGTTCGTTCAATTTTAAGCATTAAGTTTTTTTGTGTGTTCAGTTTCAATCGTTAACAACTAATACTCATGACTCAATACTATAAAAATTTAAACATAGAAAGAAATAAAAACTTTGAATTTAAAAAAATATATGTATGTGTATGTTTATATTACATGATACTATATGTGAATATACTTAATACATATAATAAACCATGCATAATAATTTTTACAAATAAAAACAAATCAACCTAACTTAATTGTAGCCAAAATAACATTTTTTTTTGATTAAGTAAAATGTAGTTTAAGTTAAAAATGTTGTTTTTACAATTCTTTTTACTTTAATGTTTCTACTAAAAATAATAACTCATAGCTTTATTATTTGGTTGATCATAAACTTAGTAAAAGTTTTTTTCTTGGCTTTTTGATCAATCTTATTAATGTCTTATTAATTTGAAAAAGTTATCTCAAAATTAATTGTTTTTATTTTTTGTAGAGAACGAGATATGAATGCTTCTATTATCATAAAGATGAATGGGAAAAAAACTTCGATAACAAATCCATCAGTAAGATGAATAAGATTAATAGCACTCAATTTATTGCTCTGTGGCATAAACGTTTTTATTATAATATTCATTTGAGAGTGTTTAACTTAGTACTTAACTTGTATTGTATCAGCATGATATTATGATTTGAGAAAGTTTAGGCTTTTATAATTGATATATTGTTTGGCATTTATAAATAATATATTAACTCAAAGTATGAGAAATAACATTTTGGTGTGAAAAATTAAATTTAGGTGGAAAATGATATTAAAGACTTCTCTTATGATTACTCATATTGGTCAGTTGATAGCAACAGCCATAACTTTACAAGCCAGCAACAGGTTTTGTTTTTTTCTTGTTATGAAGTTGTTTTATAATTTCATAAAGTTTATAAATTTTAAGTTTTTATAAAGAAGGCCTCCATAAAATCTTTCATTTTAAATTGCATATCCAACCCTTAGAATTAGGAAAAATGAGGTCAGCAATAATTTGATGATCTCAATCTTTTTAAGGTCGGCATCAGGATGGCAAAAATTATTTGATACAAAGGTCTGACCCTAAAACTTAAAAACGAAGTGGGCAACTTATTGCTGACCTCTAACACTTTCAGGTAGGCAGTTAGATCGCCATTGCTGAATGCCGACCCTAATTTCAAGGGTTGCATATCTATAGTTCTATTATAGCATACACTTTAAATACAACTAATATTTTATTATACTAATTATAATTTTAAATATGCATGTTAAAATATTTAAACCTTTTGAGTTTGTGTTCACCGTTTATATTTTACTTTTTTAAATTTTTTTAAAAAAGGTTCTAATGTGGAAGTTGTGGTACAAAGCCTATTGTTGTCGACAAATCAAAGACTTTTAAAAAAGTCAGATATGTTAATCTTCTCCATAAGGCGTCTTCATAGGTTATATCTAGGAAAGTTTTTAAAATTATTGAATCATTCTTTCCTAATTACAGTATCAAAGTTGTCCTTAATGGATAGTTTCTTTTATTTCCAGTAATTTCTGAGGTAACACAGCGTTCCTGTGACAGGACCAAAGACAAAACCTTAGAGGAAAGAACAATATTATTATAGATGAAAATGACAGTTTTCACTCATATTAATGATCTTGATAATGCTACTTCAAGTGGCTCTATTTGTTGAAGGGACAACTATATTCTAGTATCCAACAACACAATGCTAGACACAACTTTCTCTGTTTGATAAAAATGTTATTTTATCAAGTAGGAAAGTTTCCTTTTGTATGTATTTCAGTGGTATAACATTTTTTTTTAACCAGTTTTTTATTGATCTTGTTTTGAGGAATTACTTGTTTTATAATTTGTCTTATGTTTTATAATTGTTTTGAACTATTAACTTAATAACATTACACTGTTAAATTAATTAAAAATTTCATATATTTTTATTTAGTTTTGTTGCTATCGTTATTAAGTTGAATTTAGCTTGAAACAAATTCAAAAATAATGTTATCATTGAAAATATGTTATAACAGTTAAATTACTAAATTATGATGTAAGAAATTCTTCGATTAATTCTTGATTAAAACTATTAAACTTGATGGCAGTCATTCTAAATTGTAGAAACATTTTTAATTTAAGATAAATTGTAATAATGATTAATAAAGTAATAAAAAATATGAAATAATATTTATTTTAATTATAAACGATGTGTGGAATATTTCAAACAATAAATCAAAGGAATTTTAGGTTTTTTGAAATCTTAACTTTTGAAAAACTTTTTAAAATTCCTAATTAAAGTTTTATCAAGTTTTTTTTTTGGGTTCAATTTTTCTATTAACAGCAAGTTTATGTGTGCATTTTGAAACTAATAAACATTCCATTCTATCAATTAGCAATAATAAAACTTCCAATCATTGTTTGTACAAAACAGAAACTTGTGTTCTAATCAAAACTTAAAATAGAAGTTAAATATTTCAGTTTTATATTTTTTTTATTTTTTTATTTAATCATTTTTTATATTTTTTCCAGATAATGAGCATCTCAAGCCTTTATTGCCCATGTTTTATGGCTTTATATTATAACACTCTAGGTACATGCAGTGTTTTGTTTCATGGCTATATATTATAATACTCTAAGTGGAGCAAGTGTACAACTTACTTTTTTTTTTAATGAAGCACCTCTTGTTTTTATAGGTGGATATAATTTTCTAAACTCAGACCCAGGCACATCTTAATTTTACTTATTAATTAGCATACATTGATTCTTTTTTTGATCCAACTGCAGGTCCAATTGTATCTTTGAGATAACTTACCAGATATCTAAGAAAACACATCATCACATCAAATCTTTTTATCAACACACAATCTTTTTTGTCTCTTTTTTAATCTTTTACTTGACATTCTTTGTATTCACCTAAAGATTGTTTTTGTCACTCAAGAACAACAATATTAAGAGCACCATATATATCGCTACTATCTTTTGTGAACACATTTCTTACAAACTGTACAAACAATATGGTTTACCAAATTTAAAGCTATTACTCTCTCTATGTTTTGTTTTAATTCCTGTTGTGACACTTTCATACACAGTCATGATGTTATCAGCCATTTTTTAATACTACAGTTGTCAAAGCCCACCATACAATTACTTTTGGTACTTTTACAAAAGCTTTTATAATTAAAAAGTTAGTTGTTGAGGTGGCAGACTACAAATTAGATTTTTCTTGATCAGGCACTAGTCATAAAAGCATTGTCACTGAGGATTTTTAATGGAATTCACCTAATTTAAGTTTTATCTTTTTGATGGCGCTTAGTCCTAAAATAAAAAAGTTTAGAAATCTTTTGTAAGAAGATAACTTGGGTCTTCATGGATTATCTTTAATAATAGTATTAACTACGATTAGATTGGATAACAAAAAATATGCTTAATAAAATAACTAACTTAAAAATATTTTATAATTATTTTTTTAATAGTTTTTAAGGTTTTTAAGGTTTTTTAACAACATAAACTTAATCATTAAGTTAACATTGTTAATAAACTTTATTATATTTAGTGTAAACAATAAAATGTTTACATTAAATATTATTTATATCATCATTTAAGGTTTTCATCATTAATTACTATAAAATTCTTTTTACTTTTAAGTATGGCATAATATAACACCCTATAAATAAAATTTTGGACAAATTTTAATTGCATTTATTATGTAATTTATTTCATGCACGCAAAAAACTCTTATACTTATTTGAAAGAGGATTTTATAATCTAATTAAATTTAATTTAAGTTAAAAATATTATTTAAATATTGAAAATAAAATGGTCAAAGTAAAGGACCTCGAAAAAATGATGGGAATTTTTTTCCAAAAAAAATTGAGAAAAAGGTAAAGCGTTTGTTGCTAAGCAGTTTATGGAATGGGGTTTACCCAGATCAACTGCTTACGATAAAATCGTAAAATTGGAGAATGGATCTCTAAAAAGAAAAGTTGGAAGTGGTCAAATCGCTAAGGTAGCTATTAAAGAAAATATTCCAAAGGTCGCTGCATTTTTTGAAAATAATTTAGGGTGCTCCCAAAAAAAAGTAGCTCAAGTTTTTAACTGTAGTCAAACTCGAATTTCCCAAGTATTAAAAACAATGACTAATATAAGAACTTTCAAAAAAACAAAACGTCATAATTGTAGCCATCAGCAGAAGAAAGCTATGCATCTTAAATGTCGTAAATTGTACGAAAATTATAAAAACTTGGATTTTGTTATGGATGATGAAAGCTTTTACCTTAAACAATAGCACATTAGCTGGTAATGATAGGTTTTATGTCGCTGATCCTTCTCAATCTTCTGACAAAGTAAGATACAATTTGCATAAAATGTACAAGGACGAGTTCTTAGTTTTTTGTTGCATTAGCCCCTGTGGAATAAGCCCTCTTTATATTCATCACAGTAAGTAGGCAATCAAAGAGACACTAGAAAAAACTTTACTTCCTCTAGTATCAGAATATTATAAAAAAGACAATGAGTTTATCTTCTGGCCTGATCTAGTCGATCATATTACGCAAAGTTGGTCATTGACTTTTTAAAATTAAGAAAAATTAAAGTTGTACCCAAAGATATAAACCCAGCTAACGTTCCAGAAGCAATACCAAATTAAAACTTTTGAGGTGATTTAAAACGGCTAGTGTACAAGAATAATTGGAGAGCTGAGAATTTGGAAGAGCTTGAAGCAAGAAATAGATATTGCTATTCAAAGATGAATAAAGAAATTTTCCTTACTCAAATAAAACATTTTTCAAAAAAACTTTATAATATTGCTAAATATAGTATTTAAAATAATTATTTTAATATGTTTATAAAATACATATACTAACATATTAACAGTTGATATTAAATAATAAAACTTGTTAATTCTGAAAAATATTAATTTTTAAATTTTGTCCAAAATTTTATTTATAAGGTATTATTTCATATCATAAAATTTCATTAGTGATAAAAAATTTCTTTTTGCAGTATTTAATAACAAGTCGTTTTTTAGCATTGTAAATAGTTTTGGTTTTTACACCAAATATTCTATTGATATAACAAATTGTGCAAATGCTATTATGACAGATAGAAAAACTTTTTTAATGGGCCATACCTGTTTCAGGCAAATGTTTCTGTGCTCCTGTGCTCAGTTACTCTCAGTGAAACCTGTGTCAATATTTTAAACTAAATTTATTTTTTTACTTTTTCAAAAAGGTTTAATGATTAATAGCAACTTGTAATTAAATGACATTATGATATTAATTGTTAGGTGTTTGAAGATCTTGGTATGGATGTTATAGATTCAGCATTTCAAGGGTACAATGCTTGTATATTTGCATATGGGCAAACTGGTGCTGGAAAGTCCTACAGCATGATGGGATGTCCAGTAAGTTATATAAAGTTATATAATATGTTGATTATTGTTGTTGCAAACTATTCTTATATTTTCTTTTCTTGTTGTTGTTATTTTCTTTTTGTCTACAGGATGCTGTTGGACTTACACCAAGAATTTGTGAGGTAATATTTTAGGATACAACTGTTTTGAAAGTTTTTCCAAATAAATCCAAAGAGTTTAAAAAAAAAAAAAATTTTTTTACAAATCATTTTCAATTTTTCAAATTGTAATTTTTCTAGTGGCAGTATCAGAATAAAAAAGAAGTCTTGTTAAAAATTAAACATAAGACATAAATCAACTATTGATTTATGTCTTATGTTTAACCAAGTTGTCATTTTAAATGTCATCATCAGGTTATGTCATTTTAAATGTCATCATCATTTTAAAAGCTTTTTTAAACTACAAAAGTGCCAAAACATTAATGTTAAACATAAAAGAAAAAAAAAAGTAAAGAAAAATATGAAATTAAATATAAAGTCATCAAGTTTGCATTGAATAAATTTAATTTAATGGAAATTTTTTCAAAACTAATAAAACCAATCTTTTATTTTTAAGTAAGCAGCTAATTTAAGAATATAAACTCTAATTTTTTTAAAAACTGAAAAAAATCTCAACAGATACAATAATGTGCTATGCTAATTACTTTTCAATCCATAAGCAGATGAAACAAAAAACCTTATTTAAAAATATGTTATATTGCATTATTTGCATTGCACCTGCATATCTGAAAACCACAAACAATGGTTGTTAAAGTGTGAGTACTAAAGGTCACAAGAAAACATGCTAAAATGCTAAAAAACATAATAAAACTCAGAACATTAAATTGATCTCTATGGGCAACTTTAAGGTAAATCGCCATGATTAGTGACTTTGTAATTATATTGAGTTTTTATGTTTAATTTTAACTAAAAACAAGATAAAGTAATTGATGATTTTTTTTTCTAAATAAGTAGTTTCTGAAAATTATTTGATTGATTTATGATAATGATTCATAAAATTAGGTAATTTAACAAAAACTACTTGTTTTTAATGCAAATATTGGTATTTCTTTTAAAACCTAAAAACTTCTTGTATTGATTATTGTCATTTTATTTCAGAAAACATTTAATCTTATTTTGTTTCAATTTTTACAAAACAAAAGAAATCTTAACAAAACATTTTTTTTACTGTTTTGCATTGTTTTGAGATGCAGGTACTTTTTAGTTTAAGGTAATGTCTTTATTAGTTCAAATCAAATTTTTATATTATTTATTTTTGATACAAAAAGTTTGTAGACTGCTTATAAATTAGTATTAACATAAGAAGTTTGCTAATATATCGATATTCAATAACTACTAAAATACAATTAAACTGTTCTATAAAAATGGAAATAGAGGAATACATAGTTTAGAAGTAAAACAATATATTATATAACAATATCAGGCAGTTAAAAATCATTATGTTGCTCGCATTTTACATGCAAAAAGGCAATTTGCCTCAGTGTTCATCAGTTTAGGTTATGCAAAAGCTTATTTCTTTTATAATATTTAAATTATCTTTTGCTGCCGTTTATGTGACGTTTTATTCCAAAGATATTTGGTCGTAAGTAAAAGCATTTAACCACTATAGTTAAAAAAAAACTTTTCATCATATTTAATTTATAAAATACATAAAAAAAGTACTTATGATTAACTTTTTATTAAAGTATTGCATGATCATCAATTGGCAAGACCAAGGGGCGAATTCATGGGTTGTGTGGGAAGGAAGTTTTTGCTCTTTCTGCATCCCCCCATCCTCCTAAAGAAGAGGGAAGAATCAACATTAGACTTTACAAATTATGAAATAAATGACTTTTTAGTGTCAAAGTTGCTTTTTCGAAGTTTTTCCAATATCAATTTTTTTTTTTTGATTGATCATAGAAAGTACGTCAATTAAAAATGACAAACAAGTTTATGAGTAGTAGACGAATATTTTACCGAAGTCAAGTTCATTAAAAAAAAAATTGTTGATAGTTTTTTTGCTTTGCTTGAGCACTGTTTAAAAATGTAAAGTAGTATGAAATTGTAGTTATTTGTAAATGAAACTTGTAGCAACTATTAGAAAGAAACAAAATAAAAACAGATCTTTTTATTACTTTTAATTTCAATCCAAAATGACGTGATATGACTGAAAATTTATATCTGGGTCAGAATACAAATAATTGACCAGATTTGGTTACTCGAGTATTTAAACTCAAATTTCCTCCTAAATGATATTTATAAAAATGTATACAAAAATATAATATTTATAATTAATACTTAAGAAAAAACAATTCTATTTAGCACAATTAATTTTTTCTTGTTTCTAAAAATGTTTTCCCTGTAATCACAATATTTTCTGTCGTAATGTAAAATTAAAAAAAAAAGAAGGTAATTTTCTTTGGCAACAGGTACTGTTAAATAGCTCACAACTAAAATATTAATTAATAACTATTGGATAAGAAAATTTTATGCGACCTCGTTTGGAAAAAAATTAAAGACACATATGGCTACAATAATTTTAATTTAAAGTAAAATGATTATTACACCTAGTAAGGTTGGCTATCATTTAATACATCTTAAATTTGTTTCTAGACTAGAATTGCTTTAAATTAAAGATAACGGCAATTTGTTTTTAATAAAGCGAAATAAACTTCTAGCTTTTGATAGTTATTTGTTATTTCCTAATGAAATTTTTTTATGTTTACTATGGCTTTCAATGAATCAAATATGAGTTTAGATTTTATTTGTAACTTTTGTTTTAGTTAAACTGTAAAAGTTAAATAATTGAAAGAAAAAATTATTTTAATGATTTTTAACGCGGTTTGAAAATAACAATGGAGTTACTCTAGTGGCGCAATTTAATTTTTAATGATTTAAATATGTAAGCTAAGTTGAATTACTTTAAAATGCGTTAAGCGTTTTCGTTACGCAGCAAAATCTTGTAACAAGGCCTGCAATATATAAGTATACAGTATTGAAATATAGAGATATTATTTAGAAATATTGAACTTTTCTAACAGTTTAGTTATATTTTAGTATATTTATGAAGAAAAATATATCAGGCCTTGTTTTAAAAAATTGCTCAATGCATTTATTAATGCATTAACTCGCCATTAGCTTAATGCGATATTTTTCGTCATAAGATTATATATTTTTTTTTATAGACATTAAGTGTTTTAACTACCACAATAAATAAATAATTGCCAACTAGTTCAATTTAACAATTCACTCAAATAACCAAAACAATGTATAAATGCTGTAAATGTAAATATATTATGAAAAATTTGTTATGTTTTTAATTGTTATTCTAATATTAATTTTAGTTCAATATTATTTTGTAAAAAATATATATTTTCATTATTTCTGAAATTTGTTTTGAATAATTATTGTTATTGAATCATTATTGAATAAAAAAAAATAATGGTTTTTTTATTTTTAAAAATTTCGAAAGTAAACAAAAAATATTAACTTATTGATAAACAAAAACCCTTGTTAATTATTTAAGCAGCAATTTTGTTTTGACTAGTTATCATAAATATGCTTTACATATAAACAATTCACAAAGAAACACAGAGCTATAGAGAAGAATTGTTTTTAACATTAAAAATTTTTTTTTTTGAATTTTATTGCAACTCTTTGTTAATTATTATTAACTATGTTAATTATTATTAACTATGCAAACTCTTTTGTTAATTATTCTTAAAACAAAAAACTTTTTAAATACTTCTACGCAATATTTTAATCGTGCAAACTTAAAAAAATACTCAACTAAAACAATTTAAGTATATTTAATAATTTGAATTGTATCTGTTTATAAAACATTCATTAAAATTTGTTAATTAAAAATTAAGTTCTTTAACTTATAAACAAACTCAAAAGTATTTGCATTCTATGTATAATTACGAAACTTTTTTTTTTCATTTGCAAGCATTTTAATTCAGAGTAATAAAATAAAAAAAAAGAGAATAAATATGAGGTAATCTTTTTTAAGAACAAATTTAATTTATTTATTGAACAATATATTTATTTTTTTATATACCAGCTTAAATATACTAACATGTTAAAATATTTTAACATGACTTGCGCCATTTATAAACTGTAGGGCAGCTGCCCTTACTACACCATTGGTTTTGGATAAAATTTTATTTTGATGAAGATCACACAAATTACATATGATTTTAATAACATAAGTCTTCTCTTTTTCTGTGATAGTTTCAATTTAAAAAGCATCATTCCAAAATTTAAAAGATTTCAAATTAACTCTTTTATCCTTCAAAATATAATTCATATTTAAATTTAAAACCATTTGGAGAGAATAGAAGTATACTAGGCTTTTATATACTAGTTTGTCTTACTTTATATAGAAAAATGCATAGTCATTAGTAAAGAATAAAGACTGTCATTAAACTAAAACATGCCTTAGTATTAATTTAACGGAGTCTGTAATGTGCGCGTGCATAATGAAACCTCCGTTATATAAATATATTTAACGTAATATTAGTGTCATCAGCAGATGTTATAGTTTTCTTGTGATTTCTTTAACTTTATAATATAAATTGACTTGTGAAAAAAAAAAGTTATTGAATCGCACGCAAAAGAAATTTAACAAATTTTCTTCATTCAAAAATTGCGAATAACAGGTAATTTTTTTCTCTTCTATGCCGGCCTCCCTCCCCTTGTATATCTTAAAATTAAAGGAATCCATATACCTTTAACTAATAAGAAAAGCAAAGAGTATTAACTAATGAAGAAGTAATTTTTAGTACAATAAAAATAAATTGGCACATTTTTTTAATATCTCAAAAAAATGTCTTGATATTTTTGTTATCAGAGATTACAGAATATAAATATTTTTTGTAATATAGATTTTTATAGAGTTTTTTACTGAATTTTTATTAAAAACATCTGCAAAATATATTTATATTTTGCAGATGTTTTTAATAAAAATTCATCTGCAATAAATTTTTAGATAAGAACTGATGAACTTTTTTCATGTTGCTAAATATTTAGCGTAAAATTATGGTATGAGAATATGAGATAAAGTTTGAGTTAATATGACATACATTATACATTAACCTATAGTTTTATGAAACAAAGTTTTAAATAGGCTTGTAGTTTTCCAAAATAATACATAAAGTAATAATATGCACAAAATTTGTTGTTGAATTTATGTAAGAAAAATTAATCAAGTTTGAATTTTTTGATGCTCATAATTTAAGTTTTAATTTGGATTTTGTTTTATCATTATGAGAACCTAAATGCTTAGAGCATTTAATGAAACACTTAAATTCTAGGTTGAGTTATATTTGGTAGTTTTTTAATGTTACCAACATATGTTTCCTTGAGAGTTATATAGATATTAATGGTTTACTCATTGAGGAGACATCAAAATTTCATTTTTTGTTTATTTCATTTAGTCTTTATACTCACGAATGGCTACTGACCAAGCAGACAATAAAAACAAAGTTGAATTTAAAACTGAAGTAAGGTAGGAATTTTTTTTTCAATAACATAATTCATAAGTATTTAAATCCATTCTATTATGTTCTATGATTGTTACTAAAATTATTATTTAGTTAAATTTATTTTTATTTTTAAATTATTTTATTTGTATCTAATTTATAATGAATTTTTTAAAGGTAAAAATTTTATTTGCATTTCTCCTGTCATTTTTAAAAATGTATTTAATTTTTCAGTTACTTGGAAATCTACAATGAGCATGTTCGAGATTTACTTCGACCAACAACAAAAAAAGATGATTTTAACTTAAAGGTTCGTGAACATCCAAAAGATGGTCCTTATGTTCAAGGTAAAATGTTTGTTATGTACGGATCATATTTGTTTAAAGTTTCTTTCTACTTTGCTCTTATGTTTTACTACAGAGTTTTACCTCAATTTAAATTTAACCATGTTATGAATGTAAAGCTTTACAAAATAAAAATTATTAATAATGTTAATAAATTATTTTATAGTTATAAATACTTTTATTTAATCATAGATCTAAGTAAACATCTAGTGACTAAATATAGTGACATAGAGAAATTAATGGATATGGGAAATAATACCAGGTATTCTTTTGTTTTTTTATTCTTTTTCATTTCTGATAAAATAGAATATAATAGTGCCAGGGGTGTGGAGTCGTAAAAAAAAGTAGTGCCAAATCTGCACAAAACAGATTTGATTGAATTATTATGATAATTATGATTAAGTTATTTCATAATTGTTTCACAACATCTGATTGCTTTAGAACAACAGCCTCTACCAATATGAATGACACAAGTAGTAGATCACATGCTATTTTCACAATCAATTTTACTCAGGTATAATTGTTAAAAGGATTCTAAATGACGTTGAAATGTTCATTTAATTCTTTATTTTGGAGTCTAACAAAGTACTAATTCCTAGTTCAGAGGGATAAGTCATTTAAATAAGAAAATCTTTTAGTTGGTTAAAATTTTTTACTTACACTTATGTTTATGCCTTATTTTCATTAGTTTAAATTTTTAAGAGCAAAGGATTTAAATTTAAATCTTTTAAAATATTTTACAATTTATAACATTGCATTTGAAAAAAAAAATTATTGAATATATATTTAGATTGCTTTCCTATTGAAATGATTTATTGTTTTACAAATATTATTTTGTCTAGTGTTTCTTCTTACTTTTATATTTAAAAAGGTCTTTTGTCATTCTTCTTCTTTGTAAAATTTTTTTTTTCTCATTTAAAAAGTTTAAAAACTGCTCTGAAAAGTGCAAGTAGTTATAAGAAAAGACTTTGGTAATTAAAACTTGAATGAACAAGTTCGACATTTTTAAAATTGTTTTTATGTTACATAATTTAAATTTAAACAAACTAATTACTGTTTATTTAAAAATTAAGTTTTAAATGAACATCTAATTGTTTCACTTAATAAAATAAATAAGTTAACAAATAAAAAGATTTAATAAGTTAATTATTATTACTATTCTCTAGTTTCAAAAGCTTTTTAGATCAACATGAAATCTTTTTTTTTTTTTAGCATAAGTATTTGATGAAGTTTTGTTTTTAATTGGTTATAAAAAAAAATAGTTTTGAGGTTATTATTCATGTTACATTTTTATTCAGAACCGCCCTAAAAATTTTATTGGGAGTTTTCTTTTAATTAATTTGTAATCAATGAAAAGGTTTAGATGTTTTTGATTAAGATGATGGAATAAAGTGTACTTACCTTTATTGATATTTAAAGTAAATTGTATTAAATAAACTTTCATGTGTCTACATCAATCAGGCTTGGTCGGGAAGTGGAATCGATCACTCTCAATTGCTGACCACGTAAATAATATTTAGTTGCGAAAAGCTGGCCAGATTTTTTAGTCGTTTTGAGAACATTTAAAAAAGCAAAAAAAAAAAAAGGCACTAAAGATTAATTGGACCAATAAGAGACAATTATAAAAAAAATAAAATTAGGCTAATAAAATATCTTTAAACACATAAAAACTTAAAACTAAATAAATTACGTTTAGAACAAATATTTTCGAAACATCGCTCTTTTATAATTTTTTTTATAAAATTAATCGATGTTTTTTATATAAAGTAACAACTTACAATTTTTTAAAAAGGAAACAAATATTCTTTATTTAACAAAGTTTGCAAGTTTTAGTTTTATTTAAGCTAAATTGTTTTATAAATAAAAAAGTTAATTTTTTTAATACCTATTTTATGTTTCGCGTAGTTGAAAAGTTTAACATATTTGAAGCAATTCTTCTTAGTAAGATAAACAGATGAAATAATTAAATCATTGAATTACTATAGAAATTAAATTAACAAGATAGAAATCAATTAAAAAGGTTAAAAATACTTTATGACGAGGAAGCGAAACTGCTTCACAATATCACTGATGATGTGTAGTGAGTGGGCTTTTTAATTTTAATTAGTATTTAAAGCAGAAAAAAGTATAACGAGTTTTAAGAATGGCAACTTAAGCGAAAATAATTAGCTTTGCTTTATATCTAATTATTTGCTATATATATTTGTGTTCTGTCGTGACCTCAGGCGCGGTGGTTGTTCATCCGCAAGTTACTTTGTATGCGTTGTTTGTGTTTAGTAACCAGAAACTTCTTATGTTTGTTACAAAATTAGTTTTTTTAACTTTAACAATTATAACTTCATTGAAAACGCAATTATTTTTGTAAGTCCTAAGACTTACATTTAAATCATAAAAATTGCTTTAAAAGATACATTACGATAAAAAACAGATACACAAAATAACATTTACATAAAGAATAAATACTTTTTAGATAAAAAATAAGAATATACTAATAAAATCTATAATTTATAATAAACTTTTCAAATTTTGACAATTTAGTTAATATATATTTAAAACATTTGTTTTTGTAAACAAATAATATATACACTTAAAACAATTTATGCTAGAAATCTCAAAATGTAACAAATCGTGAATAACACGATTTCTAAAATATTTTAACAGAATACTCTAGAACTTTATTTCGCTTAGTCAGTGTATTTTTTGAACCAATAGAATTAGTTTGTTAATTTGGCAGGTTTTTAGTGTTCGCAAATATTCTTTTTATCCTTTCGCACCAAGATGTTTTGAAAACATTCAAGTTTTTTATGTTTCCATGTATGTCCGTAAAAGAAAATATTTTTGTTTCATACATAAACTTAAAACAAATAAGAAACCTGGCCAGTTTTTCGCAACTAAATATAATTTCCGTGGTCAGTATTCGAGAGCGATCGCTCTCGCTTCCCGACCAAGCCTGATCAATAATCATATTCTAAAAGTTGACAAAATAAAATTTGACTAGTATTTCATTTTCTGCTGTGCAATTGCTCATATGTATACTTTTTTATTATTATTATAAGGTAATGTTAATTTCTTTTTTTTTTTTTTTTTTTAAAAAATGATTGTTTCTTAAATTTCTGATTGAGCGTTTGCAACTACAAATGATTTTTTATTTAAAGACAGTTAGCGAGTAACAAATAAAAAATTACGTTAATTTAATAATAATAATAATAATGAAAAGCTGCGGTGAGAAAATATTAAATTAAGGATTAAACTAGTAACACAAAGCAAATGAGTTTTTTTTTTATTTTTATCTAGCTTGAAAGGGACAACAACCCTTTAGCTCCTTGTCGGTAGACAATGACCTGTAGCAGCAATTTGGTAATAAATCGTAAAACTAGTGCTGGATAGAGTGTAGAATTTATTTACTTTATTTATTAAAAGTTTATTAGTTTATTATTTTATTATTAAAATTATATCGCTGTATATCATTTATTAAAAATTGATCGCTGCGATTTAACTTGCTTTATAAAAATAAAAGTTTAACTAAAAATTTAACCTTTTGTGCAAATTATTAATGCAACTATTTATTTAAATTTATTTACTACTAAGCTGCCAATCAAACAATGTAATCAGCTGCAGCCGATTTCAAAGTCGCTCTTGTCGGCTGAAAAAAATAGAGAGTTTAGTTAACCAAAATTCTCTGTATTTCATTTTGCATACTTTAGTTACTTTTTCAGAAAATTTTTTACGGATTTTTCAACATGAAAAGAATATTTAAACATAATTATTTAAACATAAAAAGTGTTGTTATTACTTAGTTATAGATAGAAATAAGCATATTAGTTTGCATAACAGTTTTTTAAAGTACTTGAACATTAAACTGTGCAGCTCATTTAAAAATAAAAAACTACAGGTTCTTAGTATGGGATTACTATTGTCAAATATTGACCCAGAGTTGTAATGTTATTGACAATGAACAGGCCTTCTCGTAAGAGGCGTGCGATGGCACGCCTTATATGACCACGCATATAATTCTTTGTTTTAACAACTTGACCACGGCTCATTGCAAGATTTGATAATTAGCGCATTTAAAAATTGCCCAAAAAAAAAACAAAGCAAATTAAATTAAACAATCCATAAATTGAAAAGAGAATAAAATCCTTAAAATAATATATATAACAAAAATTAACCTAAAAAAATAAAATATTTAAAGAATGATAAAATAAATAAAGGAAAAACCAGAAAAAAAATTCAAAACACGTATTAAATAATTTAAACTCAATTAAAAGCAAAAGTGAAAAAATCACAGCTCTAATAATCTTTATCATTCCTTCCCATGAATAAATAGGTTAATACAAAGGCGGATCCATAGTGAGGGAAAGGGTAATGAAATTTTATAAAAAATTGGTGGTGCAAATTTAAAATTTCATTAAAAATTTAATAGGATACAGGGTGCAACAAATCGACAAATGTGCGCGCATTTCTCTAAGACAGACAGAAAAACAAACATCACTTTTTTTTAATTTTGCTTCTGCAAAATTAAAAAAAAGCGATGTTTGTTTTTTGTTGTTCTTGCCGTTTGATTAAGATTTTTCAAAACAAACGCATTACTTTAGCAATTTTTTCAAAATAATTTTGCGATCAATAGTTTTTTATTTATTACAAAAAACACATACAAAAAATGGCAAAACATAATTACTTTTTTCAATTGCGTCACTTTTGAGTAAAATAAAAAAAAGTAATTATGTTTTAGGATGGTTTTTGCATGCGCTCACAAAAATATGATAATTTTACTTAAAATAGATGCTTTTGCAAAAACTTCAAAAGAAAACCGTCCTTAAACAATTTTATTGCTTTCTTTTATTGAAGAAAGCGATCGTAATGTTTAAGCTTGGTTTCTTTTCTGCTTTTAGCAATTACAGTGCATGTTTTTTTTTTTAATTTTCTTATTTTCCATAAACTGAAATAATGTTTGTTTGCATATTAAAAACACTTTTAAAAGTTTTTTTTTATTGTGCGTTTATCATTAATTTGCGCGCGCTTTGCAAATGTGTAAAAAAAGCGTCCGATCTTTATTAGAAATTATAGTTCCACGATAAAAAGATTTGTAATTATTTTTTGATAGCTTCTGTATTCATTTAGCCTCAAACTCTAATATGAATATTTTTTTCAACGATTGCTTTTATTAAGTTGCATTAAAGTACTCAGGAAATTTTGTGGCAGTTTAATTGTAATTATGGAATCAATTAAATTAAAAATTGTATTTACATTTGCTTTGTTTTCTTTAAGCGCATTTTTTAAATGCGCTAATTATCGAAACTTGCAAAGAGCCGTGGTCAAGTTGTTAAAACAAAGAACTATATGCGTGGTCATATAATGCGTCCAATCGCACGCCTCTTCAAGAAGGCCTGATGAACATTATTACTGTAGCAAATGTTTTTTAATAGAAAAACAAAAAACTCGGGTTTTCAACAGGACGGAATTAAAAATTCACAAGATTAAGATTTCTACATGGAATTTAAAATATTATTTGTTTCTTGCTCACAAAATTTTAACAGATGAATGGAATGTTGAATTGAAAAATGATAAACTTTTACATAAATGCAATTATATTGATGTGACAGTTTATTTGACAGTTGGACTGACAAATACAAAAAAAGTTTTATCGGGCTAAAGTGTTCCAATATTAACGATAACTGGAATAAAAATATGTTTACTCTTGCATTAGAAAGTCATGCAGGTAAAAAAAGGTCATAGATTTATAAAAGAAACTGTTCAATAATTTTTTCAGAGGCATTGCAGAGACATTACATACTGTGCACAATGGGGCAGAAAATATGACAAAAAAGGACCTGATTTTAAAGATTTAAAATCAGGTCCTAGTGCTAAGCGTATTTGCATTTATTGCTAAAAATTTAAAAAGCAACTTGCTTAGCCAGAAGCCTGCAACTTTATGATCAGCCAGTATTAGCTAGTTGACTAAGTCACTCAGTTTTTAGCCATTATTTATAACTGCTAGCCAGTAAATTGATTGTTTTAAGCACGGCTTGATGTAAATTGATTATTTTAAGCACGGCTCTTTTGATGACAAATGTTAATTTTTCAAAATTTTTTTTACTGTATTCACCTCTCCAAGGCTAAGGGGACTGCTGCAGTCAAAGTTAAATGTTTTTATTATTTTTTAAAGTCATTTTTAAAGTCATTTTTACAACCCTTTAACTGATATATGAGGTTTAACACATGAAAAAATATCAAAAGTTCGATTTAAGTCAATTTTGAAGTTTTCAATTTTGTTTAGGTACTTCAACATCTTTTTTTAGTTTAAGTTCTTCAACCTTTTTTTTTTGTTGTGTTGTTGTAAACACAAACTCTTTTTTAGGATAAAGCATAAATTTTTATTTTGTTTTCTATAAATATTTTTAGAGTGTGGATTGCCTATGAAAGTTTTTGTTTTTAAATGATTGTGTATGAGTTTCTTTCCACGTGCTTTCTGATAAGCCAATATATTCTATGCCAGGTGTGTCTGAGGAAGATGTTGTAAATTGTATTTGTCATTTTATAGTTTTCATTCCAAAGGTAGATTTCATTTGGTTTGTAATTGCATGATTAATTTTGTCAGTTGCAATTTATTTGATGTTTTTAAAATGGTTTTATTTGAAAACTTCTTTGTTTACTTATTTTAATAAGTTAAATATTTTTTAACTCAAGACTTTTTGATTAGCCTGTCTATAATAGACAGCGTGGTCTGTTTAATTACTTATATGCGGATGATTTGATTCAGTGTTAATCTAAAGTAATAATCAGTTATTATGTTTTTTGAAAAGATGATAGATGTTTACACACAGATATATATTCTTGGTGAATTTATGTTCACACTGTACTAATTTATTGACTTAAATTAATATAAATCTTAACTGTAATTCGAAAAAAAATTATTTTAATATTTTTAAATTTTTTCAGGCTAAATTTTATACAGATATGCCTAGTGAAACAGTCAGTAAAATTCATCTTGTAGATTTAGCTGGAAGGTATTTCTTTATATTTATATTTTATTTTCTTATCTCTCAAAGTATTTGTAGTTAAGTTTTGTTAATATTGCAGTGAACGAGCAAATTCTACTGGGGCTAGCGGTCAACGATTAAAGGAAGGGGCTAATATTAATAAATCACTTGTCACATTGGGAAGTGTTATATCTGCATTAGGTAAGTCTTTTTCCTTTTTTGTTTTGCTGCACAAAAAATGTTTTAGTCATTTATTTAGTTTTTAGTAACAAGTTTTAACTTATTAAAAACGGTTAACTTATTAAAGATTGTTTACAAATAGTAAGGAAAAGTTTTTTAAAAAAAATAAACAGTAACAGTTATAAAGAGAATAAGTTGTTAAAAGGTAAAAAAATGTGTAAATATTCTAATAAATAAGACAAATTTTTTAATTTTTGTTAAAATCATTTATTTTGTAAATACATGTTTCAATTATATCATAGCCATCATCAGTTAAAATATTAAAATGCTTAAATCAAGTTATTAAAATTAAGTTGAACTAATAGAGAACTTATAATAAAAATACAATAAAAATGAAATTAAAAAGTGTAACAAATGTTTTAAAAAGATAAAAAAAAGGTAATGTCAAAAGGAACTAGATTGAAATTATCATTTGTCAATTAGAAACTACTCGCTTAAAGACACGCCATTTAAAGACACGAAACTACTTGCCATTTAAAGACATGAATAAACGAGCACCAAAAAAGGGATAAAAACTCACACATATTCATTTAAACGGAAGCTGTTTTAATAGTTTTAATCATGCTAATTTTTCAATTTTGGATTCGGCCTCCAACAAATTTATATTAAAACTCAAAGACAGCATGTACATAGAGTGAGAAAAACCCACTATTAATAAACAAATAAATTATGTAAAAATGACAATTTCAATCTAGTTCCTTTTAACATTTAACATAACCGGTTCTTTTATTTTTTTTAAACATTGTATATATGTATATATATATATGTATATATATATATATTTTGTGTATATATATATATATATATTTTGTGTATATATATATATATATATATATATATATATATATATATATATATATATATATACAGGCCTTGTTTTAAATAAAAAAGTGCTTAATGCATTAGCTTAACGCGATATTTGACGTCATAAAATTATCTTTATTTTTTTTTATAGACGTTAAGTGTTTTAACTACCACAATAAATAACCGCTAACTAGTTCATTTTACAATTAACTCAAATAACTATAAACGTTTTAAATATAAATTTATAATAAAAAGTTTGTAATGTTTTCAATTGTTATCTTATTATTAATTTTAGTTCAATATTATTTAGTAAAAAAAATATATATATATTTTAATTATTTCTGAAATTTGTTTTTGAATAATTATTGTTTATAAATCGTTATTGAATAAAAAATAATGATTTTTTTTTAATTTTTCAAAATTTCTGGAGTAAACAAAAAATATTAACATTGATAAACAAAAACCTATGTTAATTATTTAAACAGCGATTTTGTTTTGACTAGCAAAGAATAATTTAGGAAAGAATATTTTTTTAAATTTATCTTGCTTAGCGTTTCAACTTGCGTTATATAAAAATATAAAAACGTTTTGTCTGCTATTAGCATATTTTTGATACATAGAAAACGCCTTCGCCAGGAATTTAATTCATAAATTTTTTATGTTATTGTAAAAATGTTTTACATTTTAAACAAATCACAAAGAAACAGAGCTATAGAGAAATATTGTTTTTAACGATTAAATCTTTTTCTTTAAATTTCAGGAAATTAAAAAAAAATTAAATTAAATATAAAAGTCTTAATTATGCAAACTCTTTTGTTAATTATTCTTAAAACAAAAAACAAATACTTCTCCACAAAACTGTAATTGTGCAAACTTAAAAAAATACTCAACTAAAATAATATAAGTATATTTAATAATTTGAATCGTATCTGTTTATAATAAACGTTCGTAAAAATTTGTTTATTAAAAATTAAGTTCCTTAACTTATAAACAAACTCAAAAGTATATTCATTCTACGTATAATTACAAAAAAAAAAAAGCTCTTTTTTTTCTTCGTTTGTAAGCTATTTAACTTAATAAAATAAAAAAAGAATAAATATGAGGTAATCTTTGTTAAGAACAAATTTAGTTTATTTATTAAATTATATTTTTATTTTGATTTATATATCAACTTAAATTAAATATAGTAACATGTTAAAATATTTTAACATGACTTGTGTTATTTATAAACTGTAGGGCAGCTGCCCTTACGGCACAATTGTTTTAGGACTATATTTTATTTCGATGAAGATCACATAACTTACATTTGATTTTAATAACGTAAGTCTTCTCTTTTTCTGTGATCATCGCATCGGCAAAGTCCCAAGATTTAAAATTTTTTTAAAGGAAATCTTTTGTCTTTCAAAATACAATATTCGAACTTTAAACAATTAGAGAGAATAGAAATATAAAAGGTTTTTATATACTAGTTTGTCTTGTTTTATAAAGAAAAATACATATTCATTAATAAAAAATAGAGACTGTCATTAAACTAAAACGTGTCTTAGTATTTATTTAACGGAATCTGTAATGTGCGCGTGTATAATGAAACCTCCATTATATAAATATATTCAACGTAATATTAGTGTCATCAGCGGATGTTATAGTCTACTCGTGATTTCTTTACCTTATAATATAACTTGATCTATGAAAAAAATTTATTGAGTCGCACGCAGAAGAAATTTAACAAATTGTCTTCATTCAAAATTTGCGAGTAACAGGTAACTTTTTTTTTCTGTGCTGGCCCCCTCCCCCCGCATAACTTAAAAGCAAAGGTATCTATATACCTTTAACTAATAAGAAAAGCAAAGAGTAATAATTGATGAAGTAGTTTTTAGAAAAATACAAATAGATTGTTCATTCATTAGCACATTTTTTTTAATATCTTGAAAAAATGTCTTGATATTTTTGTTATCATGATAACAAAAATATTAAGATGTTTGATATATTAAAAAAATGTCAACCCTTAATTACAAATTTTTTGCAAATGTTTTTTAATATGAGTTTAGTAAAAAACTCTTAAAAAATTTATATTACAAAAAACATTTATATTCTGTATTAATAAGTTTGGAATATAGATTTTTTAAAAGTTTTTTACTGAAAACTTTAAAAAGTTACTGCTTTTTATTAAAAACATTTGCAAAAAAATTGTAGTTAAGGATTGGCGAACAATTTTTCATGCTACTAAATATTTGAATAAAAAGTTAAGCGTAAAATTAAATATTATAAAAACGTATGATATGTCGTGATAAAAAGTTACTTCAATTATTTTTAACGTAATTTTTTTTTTTCTAATAAATATTTTTACATATCGTTATTCAAAAGTTAATGTGGTTTTTTTAAAAATTAATTACTTCTTTTATGTTACCGCTAATTTAAAAGTTAAAAAATGATAAAAAGTAGCTTAACCAAAACAGCTCTACGCGTACGTAAAAATCGCTTAAGGCGTACCTAAATCGCTCTAGGCGTAACGCTTTAAAACAAGGCCTGATATATATATATATATATATATATATATATATATATATATATATATATATATATATATATATATATATATATATATATATATATATATATATATATATATATATATATACATACATACATACATACATACATATATCAGCTCCCCTCCCCCCTCCCCCCACATCCTTGGCACCGCTTTGTGGTAATGAGGGGAGGGGGGAAGCGAAGGGGTTGTGTTAGTATAAAGTTGTATCTTTTGTACATTAGTTCTTAATTGGTGTTTTTTTTACATATTATTTCTCATATTTAAATGTTATCTAATAATTTTCTCATTTGGCGGAGTTTAAAATGGCATAAGTTACTGTTATAATTTACAGCTGAAGTTATTATTTAAAGTTTAAGTTGCAGTTATAATGTAATGAGCAAGTAACTTATTTAATACTATAAGATATTACTTTTAGTAATTGTTTTTACTTGATGCGTTTTTTAAAAAAAGTAAAAGTATAAAAGTAAGAATAAAAACGCAAATATTTAAACACTTTAATTGGTCATAGAAAACTATTTAATATGTTCACGCTGACAATAAAACACGTGTTATTTTTAAAGAGTGTTTAATTGTTATTGTAAAAAGCAATAAAACAACAAAACAAACTGCAAAGTTGTTTTAAAAATATAAAGATCTTTATTTAAAACAAAAAAACATTAGATGCCACAATTTTTATATTTAATTATTTTTTGATACTATTAAAAAATGTATACAAAAAATGTGGTATAGTTAAATTTTTCATTCAAATGACTAAGTTGATGTTTTCATTAAATTTTTTCATTCAAATTATTTTGCAGTTTAAGAATATGCTTAAATTATTTTTTCAGATACAAATTTTTTTGAACAAAATAATTTATTAATTTTATTTTAAATTTTTTATAATTTAATTTTTATTTTAACTTTGGCAATCAATGGTTTAATGTTTGCAAAAGAATGTCTTAACTTTTAAAACTATTTTCAAGAAACAAAATATAATTAACTATTCAAAACCTTTTTATGATTTAAATAAAACTTTCTTCTTCAGTCCATAAATTATGTAACACAAAATATATTTTAAAAACAGAAGTACTCAGCATAGTAAAGGTACTTTTTAGAAAACTGCCGTCAGTCGGTTATTAGTTTAAACAATCGAGATATTTCCGGTAAATATCTAGTGTGCAATAAACTATTCAATATTTTATTGCAAAAACACGTTTATTTGCGTAATACAATCTTGTATTGTAGACTTATTAAACTTTATTTTTAACGTAATTACTTGCTTTTTTTTATTTTTGATTTAACTATTTCAGGGCTGTGGCTTAGTTTTCGAAGCTCCAATATGGGGGCAGGGGCAGTGAAGTTAAGTTCAAATTTAAAAGGCTAAATTATTTGTATTTTATCATAAAATATATATAATTTCAACAAAAGACCTATAAAGCCTAAAAAAGTTATTTTTTTACACCCCTTGATATCGACGTCAAAAAAATTTAATTTTTCCGTTCCATTCATAATTTATATTTTATAGATATAATATAATAATAGCAGTAAGTTATTATTACAAGATTATAACCATTAAAAATAGTTTACAAAATATAATTTACTTGATAATAAAAACAGTTAAAAT